GCTTACCCACTTCGACCCCGATGACTACCAAGGGCCCTCGCTCGACGTTTAAGCTTCTGGCGTGACTAGATTCCCTGACTCTCTCGCATGACTGTGGCTCCCCGGTCTTTGCCCGTTTTTCAATTTTTTGGCTTTCTAGCATTTTGCTGAGGTTCTGCAGGGTCGCCCCTTCATTTTGGTAAGGGTTTGGAGTCTCTCCAAACTGATCTAGCCCTTTCCAGAAAGTGAAAAGGCCCAAGACTTTGAAAAAAATCCCTGCCACGTCTTCGACGCAAAGAAAAAAAAGCTGGCGAGACGAAGCGCGGGCAGATCTTGCAACTTTTTAAGTTCCGAGGTGACAGCCTGGTGAAGAGATTCAGTCTGCTCCTGTTTCCTCTCTCCTCGTTTTCGTTTTCTTTTAGGAGTGGACGGCGAAAAAAGTACAAATCTGCCAAATTCTCGAAGATTTTTATCCAGTCACCACTGAAAAAAGTTCCAGAGTCTACCGATTCCAAGTCGGGAAATGGCTCAAAAGTGACCAAGTCGCGCACAAGAAATCCCAGACACCACCGGAAAAATGGCCCAAAATTTGTCAAGCTGTGCAAGGAATGCCCTGGGCGCCACTGGTAAAAAAATCAAAGCCCGGAGGGCCCAGGTTGGAAAGTGGTCCAGGAGTTGCTAGCCTGTGCCTACTTTGTTCCAGTCACCACCAGGAAAAAAGTCCAAGGCCAGAAGGGCCAGGCTGAAGGATGGGCAAAAGTGCGCCGCTTTCTGGTAGCCTGAGGCGACTCACTTAAGCCAACCCCAAGCCAAAGAAACCCAACGAGGCCCAAACCGCGACCAAACTGAAACCAAAGGCGGGCGAAACTGAAACCCCGCGCGGACGAAACTGAAACCAAACGCAGGCCAAGCACGGGCCAAACGTCAGCCAACCACGAGCCGAACCAGAACCAAACGCAAACCGGGCCGAAACTCAAACCAAGCCTGGACCAAACTCAAACCAAACCCGCCTGGAGGGCCCAGGTTGGAAAGTGGTCCAGAAGTTGCTAGCTTGTGCCTACTTTGTTCCAGTCACCACCAGGAAAAAAGTCCAAGGCCAGAAGGGCCAGGCTGAAGGACGGGCAAAAGTGCGCCGCTTTCTGGTAGCCTGAGGCGACTCACTTAAGCCAACCCCAAGCCAAAGAAACCCAACGAGGCCCAAACCGTGACCAGACTGAAACCAAAGGCGGGCGAAACTGAAACCAAACGCAGGCCAAACACAGGCCAAACGTCAACCAACCACGAGCCGAACCAGAACCAAACGCAAACCGGGCCGAAACTCAAACCAAGCCTGGACCAAACTCAAACCAAACCCAAACCACGCCCACGCGCAAACGCAAACCAAACCCCAGCCAAACCCAAACCAAACCCACGCCAAACGGAAACGCGAACCGAACACATTCAAAAAGCAAGCGCAAGCCGACCAAACCCGCCCGCCGGAAGCCCGCCCGACCTCAAACCAAACAGGCGAGCCCTAAGCACGCCCGGAGCTCGAGGCAGGGCCGAAACTCGCAGCATGCTCGAAACTCGGGCCAGGCTTGGGGCTTACGCTGAGCGTGGAACCCGAACGGGACAGGCTGCGACGCGCTGCGCGTGCGTCTTCTCCGCTCTTCCCTCTCCTTTTTCTTGGGCCTTCTGAACCGCAGGGAGCCCGGTGCCAGCAGCCACCGCGGCGCGCCCTCGAATCTCGAGGAGCGAGAAGCAGGGAGAGAAACAAGAGAGGCAAGGGGCGGGATGGCGTGACGATGCTGCGGCTTTGGCTGCGCGTGGTTCTCCAGTGGTGACCCGGTCGACGCGGTCCCTCCTGTGTTGCCTTTGTCTTCTCTTCTGTTTCCCTCTCGTTTTCCTCTCTCCTGGGAGATTCGAGGGCGCGCGGCGGTGGCTGGTGGCGGGCTGCACTGCGTGCGCAGTGTGTCCCGCTCGGTCTTCTTCGTGCTTGGTTCGCTCCTGAGATTCGAGGGCGCCGCGCGGTGGCTGGCGGTGGGTTATGAGGCGAGTGCAGTGCGCTCCCCGTCTCTGTCTTTCAGAAAGCTCCGGCTGAGCTCTGGACTTATTCAAGACGAGGAGCCCCCTCGGAGTCGGGAAGCCCTCGCGACTAGAATCCACACGCGGCCGAGGTCGCTCCTGGTTTCGTTCATCCGGGGAAGGAGATCCATCTCCCCAACGAAATGAAGCCGCTGCGGGTCTTGTCGGTGAGGGGTCGAAGTTGTGCGAATTTGATCAATCTGAGGCGTGTCCGTCTGTCATTTTGAGGACACTTCGAGACGGCTCCAAACTGCCGCAAGAACACAGGAAAAACCATAACGGGCGCCGGGCCGACTGCTCCGGGACCGCGGGCCCCCCTCGACCCGCCCCGAGACCTTTGCGGCAGCCCGGTCGAGGCTCATGGGTGAGTCTTCTCCAGTCTTCTCGGAAAGCCTGGGGGGCTGGGGCAGAGCCCGCGGGAGCCGTCTCGCAAAGCCTCCGGCAGGCTCGCAAGAGGCCGCCGCTGAAGCCTTGCGCGGGGATGCGTTCCCCCTCGCGTGGGTAGAGCGTAACTATTAGAATCATGCGCAGACAGATGGCTACGTCTAGACTATGGAGGAATCTAGACACCGAGCGGGCGCCGACGCTGTGCGGCGTCGCGGTTCTGATGCTAGAGCAGATGGCCGCGGAGTCCTCTCAATGTCAAGAAGCTGGCTAGTTTGCTTCGTTTTGGGCTCGGCTTGCTTCTGGTCTGATATTGGTAGGCCGCAGGACTCACCCGCTTCCAATTTTTAAACGCCGGGCGGGGGAAAAAAAGCAAAGGCCAGAAGGACTACGCTGAAAGCTGTACAAAAGTGCGACGCTGAAGAAGCCCAGCGATGCCCAAACTGTGACCAAACCAAAACAAAACGCGGACGAGACTGAAAATCAACGCCAACGAAGCTGAAACGAATTGCATGCCAAACAGGAACGAAACTCCCCCGAAACTTGAACCGAACCCAAACAAACCCAATCTCAGCCCGGACGAAACTCAAACCAAGCCCGGACCAAACTGAGACCACGGCTGGACCAAACCCGAACCAAACTCCAACCAAACCCGGACCAGCCTCGAACCAAACCCGAGCCAACCCCAAACCAAACCCAAGCCAAACTGCAACCAAACTCAAACAAGACCCAAACCGAAACCCAACCCAACCCAAACCCAAGCCCAAACCAAACCCAAAAGAAACCCCAACCAAACTCCAACCAATTTCAAACCAAACCCAAACCAAACCCGAACTAAACCCAAACCAAACTCCCACCCAAACTCCAACCAAACTCCAGCCAAACCCAAACCAAACCCAAACCCAAACCAAACTCAAACCCAAACCAAACTCAAACCCAAACCCAAACCCAAACCAGCGCCAGACGTGAACGCGGTCCGAACTCCTTCAAAGCCCAAACGCAAGCCGACCAAACCCGACGGAAGCCCGCCCGACCTCAAACCAAACAGGCGAGCCCTGAGCACGCCCGGAGCTCGAGCCAGGGCCGAAACTTGCAGGGCTCGCGCTCAGTGTGAAACCCAAACGGGGCAGGCTGCGACGCGCTGCGTGTGCGTCTTCTCTGCTCTTCCCTCTCCTTTCTCTTGGGAGGGTTTTCCGAACCGCAGGGAGCCCGCTGCCAGCAGCAACCGCGGCGCGCCCTCGAATCTTGAGGAGCGAGAAGCGGGGAGCAAAACAATAGAGGCAACGGAAGGGACTTGGGCGGCGCGTGGTATGACGATGCTGCGGCTTTGGCTGCGCGTGGTTCTTCAGTGCTGACCCGGTCGACACGGTCCCGCCTGTGTTGCCTTTGTCTTCTCTTTTGCTTCCCCCTCGTTTTCCTCTCTTCCAGGAGATTCGAGGGCGCGCTGCGGTGGCTGGTGGCGGGCTGCACTGCGTGCGCAGTGTGTCCGCCTCGGTCTTCTTCGTGCTTGGTTCGCTCCTGAGATTCGAGGGCGCCGCGCGGTCTCAGCCCATTAACGATTGCAAGGCAAACACGCGCTGCGCCCGAGTAGGCGCCTGGAGCTGTGGTCGCGTCCTTTTTCACTCGTGCTAGGTAGAAAAGACCGCCCCCTTTAGCATACTCAGGTTGGGAGCCCCTTGGGGACCTCGCGGCTCCGTGACCCGCGACCGCGGTTTACCGATTCATCCGTCCCCTCAAAGGGCGCTGCCTTCCCTGGTCCTGCCGCACTCCGCTAAGATGGAAGAGCCGCACTCCCAGAAATCCGGAAAGAAAGCGCCGGCGAGTGAGTTCAGCGCCAGCTCTCTACCCTTCTCTACTAACGTTTGTTTGCGTTACTGGGGTTTCGACGTGGCCACTTTGCGCGACTTGTCTATCTTCTGGCGCGACAAAACATGTTATGGGGCAGAGCGTTTTTTCAGACGAAATCATGGTCGCGCGTTATATTGAGCTATAGACTCATTGCAAAAAAAGTGGGAGCCTGCTCATGTCGAGGGTCTTCATGCAAAAATAGTTTGATAGTATGAGTGGGCATTTCGACCCGGAAACCATCTGCCTAGAACCTGATTTATCGGTCATGAGAAAGGAGTCGTGGAAGGTATATGCGACCCGGGACAGAGAGCGCAATCTGCTAGCGGAGTAAGCCTTTGAAGTCTACTGCTGCGTCGTCATCCTCTTGAAAAGACTATCTGGTGCAAGGAATATCTGTACCTCCCGAGAGAGAGGGAGAGAGAGAGAGTTATCTGTTACCCCCGTGGGCTATTGAGATGTGCCCCTCAACTAGCTTTGTACTCACGGAATGAGAGCCTGGTGCAATAAGCCTGTCTGTACCTTCCGAGAGAGAGAGAGAGAAAGCGCCATCTGTTACGCGAGTGAGCATTTGAGGTTTGATGCTGTGTCGTCATACTCTTGTAAAGAAAATCTGGCGTAATAACTCTGTCGGTGCGTCCCGCAGGAGTGAACAGTCAAGTGCGTCTTTGTGTTGTGGCATTGCTGTATCTTCATGCGCACATAATTTCTATCATGCTTCATTGCTCGTGCATGATTCTTCTTAAAAAGCCTTGACCGGTGTTTCCACGTCGAGAAAAATGCAGGCTCAGTTAATTGAAGATTCATTCTCCGCCCCTCATAGAAATACGTCATGATCGATCCGTTATTGTTAACCATACGGCATAAGCTCAATTTTGATTTTTTTTTGCCTTATGCCAAAAGTTGCACTTGAGTACTTTAGTCGAGCAGTAAAGAGTTTTGTTCAACAACGCTATATTTTATGTCTAATTATCAGTATAACTCTCTTCTGCAAGGACATCGGCAAGCTGTCATATTCGTCTATCCTTTCCCACTATTTTGGAATCCACTGGGATCAGCAACAGACTTGAAGCACCAGGCGCCTGCTTCTACGATTTTTTGTGACGAAGAGACTTGAACAGGGGCAGAGCAGGACGAAGATGTCGTCCCCTACGTCTTCGCGGGCTTCACTGCGAAGAACGTCAGCGGCAAAGAATGGCGAACGACCCACATCGACGTTTTCAGAAAGCACATCACTCTTAAGTGAAAATGATGCCGGTAATTATTTTGCGTCATTTTTTGATTCATCTGTCAGAAATGTTGAACATTTATCAATCTTTAAAAAATGTATGGATGACGTTTAGTACCCACTTGTGTCTCCACTATATTGATAAAGATGTTCTTGATCTCATTGATACTTGCTCCGGCCTGCATTCACTTTTTCCGTCAACTATACTTTTCTAGTATCTTAACCTCTTAACCTTTTTATTTTCCTTTATTTTAGGTGCGGCGAAAATGTGGAATAAATCTCACGTGCCCACCAGAAACTATGGGTCTCTGGAAAGTGGCAGCGGGGCTGTTAGTAGTACAACGGCAAGCGGCTCTTCCGACCAGAGCAGTAGCAACGAGTCGGAATGGGATGTCAAGCCAGGAGGACTGGATCATCTTCAGGATCGATCGTGGTCCCCTGCGCGATCTGGCGAAGATCCAGGTCTCGAACTCCAGCAGAGTCAATCAGCAGATAACGTCGAGCCAGAGTTCGTTTTTTTCGACTACTTTAAGGCTTTATTGTTCTTAATATTGTTCTATCTATTGATTTTTTTGTATATATAATCTTCTTCTTCTTCTTCCTCTTGAGGAAGATCTTCGCCATCCGCTCCGGCTGCGTCCTCCTTTTTACAAGTACTGGTGGCTGGAGAATATATGAATATTGCGTGTATCTGAGTATGATGTAGGTGCACCACCTTCAGTAGCTATGTCTTCTCATTACAAGATATCGCTGAAGATGCTGCAAGAACCCAGGATAATGCAGATTATGTGAAATTGTTCTTGATGACCTTTCTAATGTCTCGGCGGAGAAGCCTGGATACCGTGTGTGCTCTTGGGGCGTCTACCACTACACGGCTTGGAAGATTTTCGGGGGAATTTTTGTTGTCTCCTTCTGCCTTGGCGCTCTCCGTTGTACGCTGCTTTTGATGCGAGGCGAGGAGTCTTCGGCGTTCTTGGAGTGGTTCTGGATCATTGACAACGCCTTGCTGATTCTGTATCTTTCGCGCTGTGTTTACAATGTAAGCATGCGGGTCTGGGCGCCGACGATCGAGGAAATGACACCACAGTCCCTCCTGCCGACAACAAAGACGACACCACGCGGAGCTTCATCGACAGGACACAATCAACATGAACTATCGTCCATCTATAGATCATCGCCAGCACAACTACAACACGCAGATGAGGAGGACGACGGGCGAAGCCACGAAACAACTGATCCTGAGCAGCATGTTGATTGTAGTACCATCAATCTTGATGATGACACGGAGCTTTCTTCTAAAAAACGAGCTCAGAGGGCGATGGCCCGAAGCGCGTCATCGGGTCCAGCCTTCTACGCACTGACCGATCAGGAGTCTAATCCCATGGAGGACAGCGCTCGCGATTTCTTCTCTACTTCCCAAAGTTCGGTGACCCCAAGTTCGATGAAAAGTAGGGAAAAGAACACCGCAGGAACTGCATCTTCGGGGCCTATCTTTTACGCGATAACGTCAGATCAGGAAGAGGAGCACTCTAGATCGTCTCCTTCATCTTCTGATAGTGATCGGGATTATTTCCCTGCAACGTTAAACGCGATGGTGGACCGACAAACGCAGTGCAAAGACACCGCCTCCGACCGCTGGTGGCTACACGAAAAAATCACTTCCTTCTTCACGGGCAACAGAGCAGATGTTGATGACAGGTGTCAAAACACGGATGAGTCTTGCGAGGAGAGGAGTGGCTGCTGCAGCGAGGAGGAAGGCGAGGACCGGATGGAGCCGTCTGAAGTTATCCACTGCATCACCATCCTGCACTACAAAGAGCCCTTTGAGATGCTCGACCGCTTGCTGCAGCAAATCGGACGGTGGAAGTGCGCGGGCGAAAAGGTCGTCTTGATCGCCATGGAGGATGCATCTTCCGACAAGGAGGAAAAAATGAAAGCCCTTGCCAAAAATGCGCGGCAAAGTAACTGCGAAGAAAGGGGAGCGAAGAACAACACGGCGACTCCATCTCCTCACAGATTATCTGGTTCCGGCGCCTTTTCCTCTATCGTCATGGATTTGGAAGCCGGTAAAGCTGCCACGGGACCTAAGAAAAGTGATGACGCGGAAAATCAGGGCTCTCCTAAAGAGCACATTGTAGACGTCGATGAGCCACTCATTGGCAATGAAGCATCGGCACCGAAGCAACAAAGCGGACCGATTCCACGAGGCGGCATAGACAAGCTTCTCTGGTGCACGCACACTCTACAACCGGAGACTGAGGTTGCAGGAGCCCACTCGAATCATTTCTATGCCCAGCTCTGCATGGAAAAGTACTTCCGGGCACGTGGGCAGCTATCCCGGGTCATCATGTTATGGATACGCTTCTTTTTCAGATAAACTATCTGACGATATTGGAAGCTGTAACGTTGCGAAGTCGTCTCGCGCAGAAGTGCGAAGAAACTTCAATTCAGAACACTCTTTTTTCTTGGATTTTCTCTCTGCGATCCCGTTAGACAAGAATTATCATTTTGCAGTGAGAATTAACCACATATATAATACATCTAATAATTACGAAGCTCGATACAAATATGGAGATCGCCTCCGTTTCCGTATCGCAGGGCGGGGAGGAGGATAGAATGCTGGAGGAAGTTGAGGCAATCTGGTGCTACAAGTGCCAAAACGCAGAGGAACGAAAAGGTGCGTGCTTCCTTCCCTATTTCGTTTGGATCGGAGAGGCCGCTATTCCGAGCCAAAGTTGTGTAGCCGGCACTTCCACTTCTACCGGGCTGATGTCCGTACAGGAACCTCTAGGTGAACTGCGCCGACGTGGGATCGTCGAGCGCGTTCTATCCGGCATGTCAAACATGAACAGCGGTAAAGACATCGGCAACACCGTGGTTTGTGGGTCACTAGAAGGTGCGTGCGAGGCTGGCTACTGCCCACCCACCATGTGGTCTGATGATAACAACTGCAACACGCTTCGCCTGGCTGCGTTGCCGGAGGGAAAGCGCTATCACCTTCGCACTGCGTTGCTCGCCAAATTGTGGTTTCCTTCGGCGCCAACTGCGGAGTTTTCCCAATGGGATTTCTTGCGAGTGGTGTGCATACCGAAGTTCAAGCGGTGGTTTGTCGCGGAGGCGGAATACGACACTTTCCTGCTTGCCTACATGTTCAATTTCCTCGACCCCGAGACGGTGCCGCCGGTCAGGCGAAGAGGAAGCCTCCTATGGTTGGGATTCTGGCTACTAACAGTAAGCTACATGGCACGAATTGTGAGTCCCTTTCTCCTGGCGTACGGGGTCATGAACCTGGTTCCGTCCTGCGCGCAGCACTTTGCGCAACGTGCCGACGCCACATTGGCGAAAGGTGCTGCCGCTGCGGATCTTTACCATTATGGCGGAGTGTCTGTCTTTCTGAGTTGGGCTTTCCCGCTCTCGTTGCTTTTGCTGTCGGTCGGTATTCAACTCTTTATGCAGTCCAAAGTTCGCAGACGGTTTCAAAAACCGGAACCACCAGAACTACCAAGTGCAGGTGGAGGCTTTTCCTATTATCTAGCCCGGTTTTCGCAGTGGTGGGAAAGCAGCGACGTGGTTTTGCTGCTCGGCATCACAGTGATCGGCCCTTTCCTTGGTATTTACGCGCTTTGGACCGTTTGCGAAGCCGCGCTCAAAAACGAGAACATCGTTCATAAGGTGACGGCGGACATCATATCGGACGAAAAAAAGGAAAACTCGGCATCAGAACAGAAAGATACAATGAAACACACCTCCTGATATTCATTCGAGGACTTTGCATACGAAATGCATAATGCAAATATTTAACCATCCTAAGTACACGATGTCGTCTTTTCGTTATGCAATCCCGATAAGGAGGAGGAGCAACTTCTATTAAAGAGATTGAAACAATGCACAGTCATAGGAGTAGTGGCTTGAGGAATCTAAGACGAATTCCAGTTCCTCTTCGATTGTATCCACCTTCTCTGGGTACAATTTATTTTTTATCATGATTCGAACTACAGCACGGTGAACGTAACATGTAATTTTCTTTCTAATTTGTCGAAATCTTGTGCGACATCAAGCATGTGATAACTTTGAGTACATATCTGCAAGAGTAAGGTCGGTTCGTAGAAAAATCGAAAATGTAGTATTTCCGCAACAAAAACAAATGATCGATATGGGGTTCGCGAGACCGATTGAAGGATGGGCCTGATCAGTTGATAAAATGTTAAATTTTCTTTTTGCGAAGAAGATAGGCCAGACAGCTTTCGATATAGAAAACGTAATTTACTTTCCAATGGGAGATAACTAGGCAGCGCGACCGTCAACATGGACTATGCATGGATTTAATATCATTGAGTACGCGAGTACGCGACACCACGCGCTGCACAAATTTCCTACCCCTGCAAGGCGATGGCGAGGTAGATTGTAGTCTCAGGTAGAACTCTGATGAGGATATTGTTGCACAGGGAAAATGACACAAACAATATTGGGAATGTTCGTCAGGAACTGAATTGCTTTGTAATCAAAAACGCTATATATGCTGGGCATACGCGTAACCTCGCGAAGAGGTTATTTGTCTTGTTCGTCATGCCGCGCGATTTAGATGATTGGCGATATAGATCTTTCCATCGTGGATCATTTCCGTATACTTTTTTTGCCCCAGTGTGTCCGACCCACTCCGTCTTCCTTTCCTGAGCACAATAACACATTTTTATCAAAGCAGAAAGGGGCAGAGGTCGGTCCTACAGGAGACGGTGAGGCCCCTGTTACTACAGAAAGAAAAATAGAATTACCCGAATGTCAGCTTTAAATGTCATCTGCGGAGTCGCAAAAAGAAATAATCAACATCTACTACTACCGCTGAAAATTTCATCACCTAAGAAATGGAGTTTCCACCAGAGCGCGAAGACGTTGTGCTATGGGACCGCTCAAAGTTGTCCTACACCTTCACGACGGTTTACACGCGTCGAGTCGAGGACTGGAAACAGATTTATGGACGAAGCTTTTTCCATCCGTGAGACGTTCCTGGCGCACGCCTTTTTCTACCTGGAGGGCGTCTAGCTTGGGCGGACCTACTTAGATATTCGGAAGGATGGAAGAAACTATTTCTATAAGATGGCGCGCGTTCTTGCCGCTCGTGCCCAAGCGCATCGAGTTGATGACTTTCAGAAACCTTTTCCGATCGGTGCGATATCTTTTTGCTCGTGCATACTGATGATGTTCTATGGTAAGGCGTTGTTTAGAAGTAGTAGAGACGTGCCCAGCCCTACGGATCGATAACCTAACTTGTACTATCGAGCGGCGTGTGGAGAAGTAGCAAGACCCGCTCTGCTCCAGGTCGCCCTCGTCCGCACGCCCTCCCGTCATATGTTATGATGATCCCTTGCAATAACCACGAACAGATAGCGTTTCTTCGGCACCCGATGGAGACGAGACCTCCGAACTTCCTCCTCACGTGCCGTGGATTCCTCCCACGCCAGAGATTACGCCACCAACAAAGCGTGGTGAGGCCTTTCCTTTCGGACCTTTCGGTTTTAACGCGTGTTTTGAGTGCGGAAATTTGGCCCAGGTTTTTTGGCCCGCTACAATATTCAGCATTTGGTTTGGCTTTTGAATATAGGAATTTCTACTAGCTCGGCGAGAATATTGGAATCGGTGCTACATAAACGGTCTGTATCTTTAGTGTTGAAGAACATACTCGCTAAACCTGTGGCACGACGAAAATAATGATTACGATTACGCGACCTGGAATTCTTGTTGTAGCGCAATTTTTTTTCATGAACTTTCCATACTGAGTAAAACGCTCCTTTCAAGGCTCGTCATGTTTCTGCGAAAGCTGCAGCGGAGACGCGAAGAGGCTCTGCGTCGACGCTATTTAATACGACCGGAGGAGGGCGCCGGCGATCTGCAGATGCTGCTGGGGATGCGGGACTGGGTGAGGCGGGTCCTGTGCCAGGAGCAACTACTACCGCCTCTAGTACAACAGCTGCAGCTGCGCGGAGACGTTCTGCAGAAGCTACTGCGCCTAGTGCGCACGCGAACCGTTCTCGTGGTGGAAAGCAAGGCACAGTGACGCCTCCGTCAGGCAGCGATGAAGACGACGGTGGAACGAATCGAGATGACGATTTGAGTGAGCAGCGGTTTCTAGACGATGAAAATCGCAGCTTAGATGAAGCGTCCGCACGCGACGACGATAGCCTTCTGCAGCTTCTGGAAGAAAGTAGTGACGCAGCTTCGTCCTGCGGTGACGGTTTCCCACCGCGTTCTTCGGATGAAAATCAAAACGGTATCAATAGCTCTGGCTCATCGCATCATCGACAGGGACAGCTTAAGAACGGAGTGACGCAAGGCCCGCGAAGGCCTGCCACGATTCGCGAAGACGAGGACAAGGCATATCACAGTAGTTCGAGCAAAGAGTCGGCGTCGAGCAGTGGATGGTCTTCTGCAAGCCGCACAGCAGTGATAAACCATCGGAGTTATCGTAAAAGAAGGCAGAGTGCTGGTGAACAAGCCAGTGTCCAAAAGGCTAAGAGTGAGCGGGTGCGTCGCGGAGAGGTGCACGGGGACGATCAAGATGAAGATTATAGGAACGACAAAGGCTTTGATACGGAGGCCGAAGCAAGAACTAGCAACCGCACATCAAATCACGTGCAAAATGTGCGGCAGAGGGATCGCAGTAGCAGGAACCCATACATGGAAACTGCGACAGGAGCTGATGCGCAATCTACTTCTGGGGGAGACTTGTTTTTAGATGAGGAGGAGAGTGGGCGCAACCTGCCATCGTTAGGGACTACATCTGTCGCGCCTCCTGTGGTGACGCACTATTGCAGTGCCCTTCCCACTTTCAAGAGCTCGTCGACTGCACCGACCGCGGCGTTTGGCGGTGCGGCGGAAGCGACGGACAATGAGCCTGCTTCCTCGATCTCGGGGTCAAAGAACTACACGTACGAGCTTTGGCTGGAGAGTGACACGCATACGATGGGCACAGCGCAGTGGTTTTATTTCTGCGTGAAAAATTTCGCGGACGCAGACGCCGTTGTGCACTTCCGGATTGCGAATTTGAAAAAATCCAAGTCCCTGCACCAAGAAGGACTGCAGCCTTACGTGTATTCGTCCTTGGAGCAGCGATGGTCTGCTTTTGCGTGTTTCGACGTAGAGTACTCACAGGCGAAGCGCGCGAAGACGGAGCGCTACATGTTGCAATGGAGCTACCGCTTCAAAGCGCTGGACGTGGTGTACTTTGCTCTCTTCTACCCCTACACTTTTCAGATGCTAAGGCTGTTTCTCTACAATCTGCAAATGCAACGGGGTGACCACTTGGCCTCATCGGAACTGTGCCGAACGATAGGCGGCGTCCCGGTGCCTCTTCTGTGGATCTCTGAAAATCTCGGCTCGGCAGTGAAGGCGGCAAAGGAGAAAGTATTAATACAGGACAGTTTTCATAACTTTCGCCTGGAATGATTGATCTTGTGACTGCGAGAAATGAACACTACTTCGGATGAAGTAAATCATGTTAAACGGCCTGCTGGAAAAGAACCCACTTATGGGTTAGTGCGGCAGAGTGGCTAAAGTAAACTTGATCCTTGTTCGAGTCACTCAAAAGTGCTGTCCCGTAAGTGCCTCGCAGTCCCTTAAGTGCCTCGCGAAGCACTTGAGACCGGCGCCCCTTCAGTGCCGTGCGAAAGGCCCAAGAGTGGCGTCCATTAAGTGCCTCGCGAAACACCTAGTGGTGGCGTCCGTTACGCGCTTCGCGAAGCACTTGAGAGTGGCGTCCGTTAAGTGCCTCGCGAAGCACTTGAGAGTGGCGTCCGTTAAGTGCCTCACGAAACACTTAAGAGTGGTGTCCGGTAAGTGCCTCGCGACACACTTAAGAGTGGTGCCCGATAAGTGCTTCGCGAAACACTTAAGCGAGGCGCCCGATAAGTGCTTCGCGAAACACTTAAGCGAGGTGCCCGTTAAGTGCTGCGCGAAGCCGTTATCTAAGAGGCGTCCACTAAGTGCTTCGCGAAACCGTTAAGCGAGGCGTCAACTAAGTGCCTCGCGAAACCGTTAAGCGAGGCGTCTCCGAAGTGCTGCGCGAAACCGTTATATGCGTGGCGTCCGCTAAGTGCTTCGCGAAACCGTTAAGCGAGGCGTCCACTAAGTGCGCCGCGAAACCGTTAAGCGAGGCGTCCCCTAAGTGCTGCGCGAAACCGTAAGCGAGGCGTCCACCAAGTGCTTCGCGAAACCGTTACGCGAGACGCCCCGCAAGTGCTTCGCGAAACCGTTAAGCGAGGCGTCCACTAAGTGCTGCGCGAAACCGTTATAAGCGAGGCCTCCCCGAAGTGCTGCGCGAAACCGCAAGCGAGGCGTGCCCTAAGTGCTGCGCGAACCCGTTAAGCGAGGCGTCCACTAAGTGCTTCCGTTTACGCGGTGGCCGCGTCGTTCCCTCAAGTGGTGCCAGCACCACTGAAGCAATATTTGACATTTTCCACATCCATTAGGATCCGCCACTTCCGGGAGAGACGGCCAAGACACTCAAGCAAATTGTAGGAGAGCTAACTTTTGGAAAGAACAAACGAATTATTTTCATCATCGCGCGACAGCACTCGGGAGAAGTTGTTGGCTCATGGGTCATGCAGGGCTTTTTACGTTTTCTACTATCGAAGAGTCCCTACGCTCGCGTGCTTCGAGAAAAATTCGTGTTTCACATAATCCCGATGGTGAATGTACTAAGTGTCATTTACTTTTTTCATGGTCTATTAAACAATTAGATTCAACACTGATCCCATCGTAATACATTTCGCTCTTCCTTCGAGTCTACTCGCATAGGTTCTTCCGCGTTATTGTGCCGAAAATGATTAGACACCTTCATGCTATTCTCCAATCGCAAGTGTAACTTTTCTGAGTATCTGTAGTACTCTTCACGCACGCACGATCTTCAACTCTCGTCCTTCTACAGATTGACGGCGTCGTTTATGGGAATGCACGTTGTACGCTAGCCGGCGTCGATCCGAACAGGGTTTGGAATGATCCAAATCCGATTATTCACCCTGTGATTCATCAAATCAAGGAATACATGCGATGGCTTCCACCGGATTCCATCGATATCTTTCTGGATTTTCACGGACATTCTGCTAAATGTGCTTCGTTTTTCTACGGTTGCCAAGAACACACAGACGCGAAAGTACTCAAGTCTGCTTGAATAGATTTTTGGATGCATGGAGATTACGATTAGAAGGCTTTAGTTGGTACAGGGAATTCTGAGGCAGTCAGCCAAACAGATTTATACCATCATCAAGTCGGTACAGATGAAGTCTTCATTGCAAAACTTGATTCCATTATCGTGATACAAAACTAAAGGCTGCGCTTTTTCCCAAGCTCGCTTCGCTCACATCGCGCGATATTTCGTTTGAGGACTGTCGATGGCAGCACGGTAAGTCACACACGAAAAGCGCGCGTGCGGTGGTCGGGAAGGAATTTCATGTAATGAACTCTTTCACGGTGGAGGGTTCGTTTTTTGCGCAAAGCGCGCCCAGCGCTTCCGTCATGACAAAAAACAACGGACGGAATTTTGGAGGATTATTGGGTACTGCTCGGAAATATTATTTTTGCTGCTTCTTGCAGCACCAGGTGCAATAAGCAAGCTAAAAATGTAATTAGTGTCTGCTTTTGCAACAGTACCAGTGCATGCTCTGAGGGGACAGATCGGAATTGTTCACAAACACATAATTGATTTTCACCTTTACAGAGCACGGAGGATTCGCTGTGCCTGGTTCGAAGATGTTTACGACATATCCGTTTACGATTTTCACACCCTTTCGTTCGGAGACGATCGGATTTGCCGTTGCACACGCAATGACCGTGTATTTTCGGCTGAACCTAGATGTCCTCAATCGATTGCGCGAGCCAAGCAAAGCAGCGCCGGGAAAAAAGTCCTTAGCTTCGACATCAAGCGCTGCCGCACTATCTTCCCCAGGCGGGAGCGGAGTGACTAGCAGTCGAACAACACTGGACTTTCCAGGGTCACCAGCGAGTGGCGCGCCGAACAATCAAAAACGCTTGCAGACCAGCCCAACCGCTTCCTCGCCACTGAATAGTCCTAAAACGCTGCAAGTTTCGTCCCCACAACACGGCGCACCGATTGGGGACTCGAGCATCACAAATACTGGCACAGATTCCTTACCGCCGCCGTTTGAAGTGGCAGACACGCGGAGGATACACACGGTGAAAATAGTCGCAGGTGGAGGGGGCGTGTCTGCTGTGTCGCGATCCTTCGTTCGCCGTGCTTCAGCAAGTGAAGGGGGGGAAGATGGTTATGAGTAGTACATTCGAGAATGAAGTTGATCATCAAAACATGCGGTCCAGTTCCTTCCAGAAGCACACAAGTAAAACAATCGGTTACTTTTCCCTACTGGCAATCCAGTTCTTTCCAGAACATCAACATATTTAAGTTAATTCGCTTGGCAAGACGATGCATGATGACAGCGTCATTCTGCTCGGTACCTCTTGTCTAGGGTGCGATACAACATGGGTCGCTAAGGTCGCTCCAGCTGCGATCCTATACGCAGTGAAGCGAACTTTGATCCAGAGGCGATGTGGGCGCGCTTGTGGCCGAGCGGGAATCTCGCTTATTTCGATTTTGGGCGTGTCTTTCCGGATACGTTTTTCCCTTGGTTGACCTTCGAGCAAACGCGGACGTCGGACGCCATGGATACTCTACAACACCTGAAGGAGATTAGTGGGAACAGCGTTTACAACCTTTTCAAAGCCGACGAGGAGGATGGGAGCGACATCGAACCAGACAAGGTCGTTCAGGGCGACAATAAGGCAGGCGAAGCGGGCGCGGGAGGTGGTGACACGACCGGGAACGACGGAGAGCGTGGAGTAGCGGCTGGAGGGGAGCGAACACTTACGCTTGACAAAAAAGCGCGTCGGAAGTCGATGGCAGCGTTACCAACCGCAACTTCGGCATCAGGAGCCTCCTCGCAAGCAAGTGGAAACAAGAAGAGTGGTTTTCGCCGAGGCTCGGTTGATGTGCCAGCGCCGCATCCTTCCTCAAGTTCTACGCGTGGAAAAGAGACCGCGAGTGCAGCAGAAGCAGCAGCGGCGCCTGCCTTTGGGGATGCCACAGTCCGCGGCGCCACAGTAGAATCTTCGGGCCAAAAGTTGAAATCACCGTTGGGAATGCAACCGACGGTACCGCCACCTGACAAAAAGATGATCAGCGGTCCTCGACGCGGAAGTCGATTACTGGATGCGCAGCCGGTGAATCCCTACGCAGATGTCAGTGCAGGCTTCTCGAAGTCAGTCATAGAAGTCGACATGTCAGCAGCAGCGCAGCCCAGCACCAGTGGACAGAGCGCAGCGGCAGGGACGACTCCGCCGGGTCTCTTCGGGCAATCCGTGAACGGTTTCGCAGACGGTTTTAGCGGTGGTTTTTTCCCACAAGCATCTCAGCAAGGTATAATTCCACCCTTCGGTGCGCCGCCGGGATTCTTGGGTGCACCTTTTGGGCGAGCTCCTCCGAGCTTTTTCTCACCGCACAACATGGCAGGTGGTGTCCCAGGTTTTGGACATCCGTTTCCAGGTTCCCCTGCTGTTAACGACCCATTGACACGGCCAACGCAGCAATTTAGTCCGGAGTTTGGTGCTCCCGACCTCTTTAGTGGCGATGGCTCACCGCGGTCCCCGCCTTTTTCACCTAGTAGCGCTTCTGAGGAGACGCGAGCAGCTGCGCCGGTCTACTGTTCACCACTTGGTGGGGCAGGCAATGGCACGACCCACCCAGCACAGGCGGATAGCAATGCTATGGCGAACGGCGCGTTCCCACCAGGCGTGGCGTCAAGCATATTAGGCCACGCCGGCACGTTTCCGGTACCAGCAGCGATACCTCCGAACTTGATGGCCGCGTTTGCGGCAGGCGCAATGCCTTCACTGACGCATGTGCCAGCATCACAGATACCGGAGTCAGGAAATTGGACAACCACGTCGCCGAAGGGCCGCCCCAACAGCGGTTTCGATTTTTTTGCACTAGGCGAGAAAAACGTCCAGAAGCAAGGCCTGGAACATAACAGCTCTCCCAGTTCTGGGACAACAATTGATAGAACGATCGCTGGTAGTACTCGCGCATCGGAGAAGGTGGCGGAACAGGACTACAATTCTTGCGAAAGAGGAAATCACGAATCTGAAGCTTCGGGTCGTCGCAACCAAGAGAGGAACTTGGGTGCGACGACATTGCTGCAATTATCCGAGGAACAAGTTGGAGAAAGCGCAGCTTCGGATGACAAGAAACGCGCCGGCGGAAGCACTGCAAGCAGTCAGCGCGGTGCGGCGAAGAAGCATTTTACGCCTCGGGTGCTGCCGAAGGGACGTGCGCTTCCACCTGAGGCCATGCTCGCGCGTAGCGTTGTCAGACCACCTGGTGTTGGCCCGAAGCAGGATATGAAAGACGAAACACCGAATTCCGCAGCTGGAGGCACGATGACCAGTACAACATTAAATACTGCTGCAGCGGTTGGTGGCACATCTACTCAACATCAGCATGCTGTAACTGGTAGTAGTGGGAGTGCAATAAGAGCAGCAGGAGTTCTTGGAGACGAGAGTTCCGCGTGCAGTAGTGCATCTTCATCTCAACAAGGCAAGCGTGCCAGTAAGAAGTCGCTAGTGGACGGATCTTCTTCGGGTGCGTCATCGCGAGAAGGCCAGAAATCCAAATCTTCAGCTCGTAGTTGCGCTCGAGGAGGTGAAGAGGCAGTAAAGAAAGCAACATCTGTTGAGCGGAGGAAGTCACGTGGCGATGCACGAGCGGGCTCGAAAGATGGCACCACATCGAGAGTGAGTTATTCCTCCTCCAAAGCTGTAAGTAAAAATGGCGACGGGTCTAAGCCGTCTTCCTCTGCCTCGCAGGGAAGCGACGCGTCGTCTAAAACCCGACGAAGCAGGAGAGAATCCGTTCCACTACAGTCGACCACAACTCTTCCACCCACAACCTTCGAGTTGCCACTTAGCGGGCCTCAAACTCTTTCGCCTGCTAACAATTCTATCTCAGGCCAAATCGCAGGGAGAGGTGGAAATAGCGTGGGCCAGCCAGAACAGACAGCCTCTACTGTCACAGCACCTCATAGTGGCAATAATGCCACCTCAAATTATGGTCAGGATGCTGCTGGGCTAGGGGGACTGTCATCTTCTCCAAACGTCATCAACAAGGGATCGAAGTCACGAACCGACTTGCAACATAACGCCATGCTCACAAGTGTAACGGACAAGTCATCAAGGAACAAAAACAATTTTTACATGCAACCACAGGTTCCAGCACCTCCGGCGCCGCCTGCTGGCTGGCATGCAGTAGGCGCAGGACCTCCTGCTGCGACAGTGTCTGTTAGTTGTACAATCCCTCCTAAGGTATCTTTAAGACTGCTGCTAATCCATTACAAGGGGGATCCCTCTTCCTTAAGTGCGAGGGATATTTGTGAGGGACCCCCACAGGGATGAACTACGGGTAGGTCTAATATCTTCAACGAACATTTGGCCTGCGGTTTCAGCATCCTCGTCTGGTGGTCTCTCAACGACGATTGTGGAGTTGTCGACGGAGAAGCAGAAAGAGTTGCTTGGTGGCGCACCGACCAAAAAAGTAGACTTTAGCAGTCGCAGTCCCAAGGTCGCTTCGCCAAGGGTAGGGCATAAGTCGAGCTCTGCTCTTGGGGAAACAGAACAAAGTAGGACCCACGATACCATTACCAATCAACATACGGCTTCTAGAAGTTCTAGAAATCACGGAAACACAGGACATGGACTGGCATCGAATAATTTGGATGAAGAAGTACGGTTGCTGCAAAATTTAGGCCGTGGCAGCCCAAAAAGGACAGAACAGAAGATGCTACCGCAGATGAAAGTCATAGAAGGTGAAACGGTGCTGCCATCAAGGCTGCTTACGAGGAAACGGACTGTAGATGCAAAGTCCACCAAACAGTAAAGCTACTTTTTTGTTACAGATCTCTTAAAAGGCTGTTTCAATCGCAAATTATTTCAAATATCGACGATTACAAGGCCTGGCTTGAGGTAAAGTAACTCGAGTAACAAAAAAATAATCCACGTAAGATATATAAGCCAGTACATGTTTGAGCACGAAATTTAAATGGATCTAGACCACTAGCGTTCCTTCCGCTGAAGAGCGCTCGGCCGGGCTCGTCGCCTCTTGAAAAGATAGCTCGTGAAAGCTCGCTTCCTCGTGTAAGACCTAAACTCATCATGTACTCATCACTTGCATAAACTCGTCTTTTTTCCATTGTGAAATATGAATGGAAAGTTGTGTTTCAGTTTCTATACTTTGCAAAATGGGCAAGGAGCCGAGTACGTAGCGCAGTAGGTAAATGAAAATGTTGGTTGCAAAAAACGTGTGTAAGATTAACTTCTTCGTAAGGTTCTTTGCATAAAAGGACACCAACAAAAAGGCTAGTAGCTATTATCATTCAGGTGGTGTGTAGGTAGAAAAAGTTGGATGGCACTGCTACAACATTGATATAGGGTACGTTTCGTATTAAATACTTCTTTCGTTCCTTAATTGCCAAGAACACTTGGCTGCTCAGACTTGCACACGAAGGTCACGGATTTCCCTAATATCTATCTCTAACGGCGTCAACGATTCTCGAACCTGACGTTCAGTTTTTTTTGTTGAATAGATTGAGGCATACTCGTCGAGGCACCACGATTCTGGCGACGCGGCTCTGGGATGCTGCAGATCCTTTGAAAGACAAGCGCCGGACGATGGATGTTGCTAGAGTTTGTACTTGAAGTCCTCTTGAGTCCTTTTTCTGGGGGGGAATGATTTAATGTCGGAATTTCTTCAGATGGCGGCAGAGTAATGACCGTTCGCGCCCGGCCCAATGCTTCTCCGGATTGATCATTAGGAAATGACTATTGTAGCATCGAGGGGAAAGATGTAGTCCTATAGAAAAATGTTGCTTGAATACGAGTGGCCTGTCTGTTCCCGAGACGATGATCTGTGAATATGAGTGGCCTGTCTGTTCCCGAGAGGATGATCTGTGAATAGGAGTGAAGCGGTAGGATACAAATTGTATTTAGAACGGCTTCATGCGGTTTCTACAGCGACTTTTACTTTCTAGATTTATTGAATGATGAAGACCGAGCAAGAACTGAGCATAAATGTTTCAAGCAAAAGGAAATATGTAGTCACTGTCTAGATAAGGGCAAACGGGATCGTTTCGCCCTATTATTCTTCGCAACTGGAGGGATCGGATTAGCGATATTTTCCGCCATGAAAGGCTAGGTCCGTTTCGTGATTTTGTGATAGTAGGCTTGTTCTGATTTTAGCCACCCTAGTAGGCTTTGCCACTAAAGGGACCGGATTTTCCAACGACTCTAAGAACGAAGACGACAAATGTTTAATTACCCAACATGAGATATTCAATAGTGTGTTCCTCGCGCTACAGCCAGACAGAGTCAATATGTATTGTGTTCTTTCGTCCCATAAATGTTGAAAGAGGGGCTTTCATGCGAGAAGTCATAAGTTCGAACCCTAATATGATGCCTCCCACTAGCTACATCTCCACAATGGCGTGACGTTGAATGAGCCAATACTTCTGGATCGAGATATAAGTCTACACCAGAAGCACACACAGGAGGCGATAAAAGCCTCCCACCTTTCGATTCAAAACTCAGAATAAGAAAAAACATGCCGGACGAACGCGTGGTGTTGCGAGCGCTGCTCGTCTTTGGTGGCTTGGTCATCGTCCTTGTGGGAGCCGGAATGTTGTTAAGGCTTCACCTAAGCGCCCATCTTCCGAGATATCCCAGGGATTTTTCTCAGCGGGAAAAGGGGCCCAGGATGTGTCTCAATGTGGACTGAATCAAAGACCTTCGCACTACTGTGGGGGCACTGCATAGACCTCCTTCGAGGCACATTCATTATCATCGTCAGCTCTAAAGTTGACCGCGGTTTTGACTACGCGCGGAACGGCATGCCTCGACTCCGAGGATTCTACACTGGCGTTACGCGAGGAGCTCGAGCCAGCTTCATCTTCGTCTGCTGTTCATCACGAGTTCGACCGGCCTGCGTCGATCGAAAGCAGTACTGGTGTGCTTTTTACCACACTTGGTAGCAGCGTTGGCAGTGGACACGGAGGTGGACAGGGAAGTGGCTCAAAGCTGTCGACTGCAGGAAGTTGGCAAACTCCTGGAGGTAGGAGTTCAAATGCGGCTGAGATGACGCCAGCCAGTATCAACAAGCGTTATGCGTTTATCGACTCGGACGCTTCCGGCATTGACGTTTTTCTGGATGTGCATCCCGGGGCGCGAAGACACGAACTCTACTCCTTTTTCTGCACACCAGAGGGCAAGGAACTTGTGTACGTTCCCACAAGTCATTTACAGCTAGGATCATTGTATTCTACTCCAGTACGTAGACTTCCGTGCGTCTGGAAGCACGGTGCTGCTGCACGTCGAGACCTAGACGTAGACACTGCTTCGTCCGGAGAGAACGAGGGGAGGACAAACGACGCGAAAAGCGACGGGACCGCTGGAGATGGCGATGCGATGAACCCGAAGCGTGAGGCTCGCAGAGGCATGGAAGGCGCCGTGGTTGCTTCGACGCATCAAGACCACGTTGACGATAGAGGCAAATCAGAAAAAAGGAAAACAGAAAATGATGAGCAAGGAGCAAGACAGAAAAAAGCAGCCAAGAATACGAGTGAAGCAAGAGCAACTAGTACTGTAAGCCGTGGTGAAACTACTGACAGTATCAATAAAGAACGAAAATCTTCTCCTATGAAAAATATGCCAGCACTTGTATCACAAGATAAAAAACAAGATTCTTCAACAACACAAACACTTGTCGACGGCCACGCAGCGTTTGCTTCTTGGCTTTTGGGAGCCTTCGGGGACGCGGACGAATTGATCGTTCGAATCGGAGTGCAGGACCGGAACTTCTTTGAGTTGGTGCGTCGCTACATGGCCGAGAGCGACCGGCGGCAGAAATTGTATTTGGACGGTCTTGCCACAGACCAGGGAGCCCCACGCCAGGGACCACGGATCAAAAAAGTGTACGTAACGGAGGGCCACGTGCTGGCAGAGGAACCTTCGATGTCGGGGCAGCAAACTTACCACGGAGGTGCTGGAGTCAGCCATTATACTCTTGGTGGCCGTGGTGCGGCCCTTTCAGCTGAGACAGCATCTTCCTCTACTCTCGATAGCAAAGCACTACTGGCAAACGCATTACCAGGGCCATTGGGAACAGGTTCCTCGCCGTCCAAGAACAATAATCCTCGAAATATAGCCTCCAGGCAGGATGCGTCGCCTCTCGAGGTGCCCGATGCTTCGCTTCTCGGCGACAATAAGGTGCTCGTTTGGCCGCTTGGCGGAAATCCCGCTGATATGTGGCAGGTGAATACGTTCGAGTCTGCGGATCGGAACCTGCCGGTTTTGCGGTCCTGCATGCCTCGCGCCGAGGCGCAGCGAGAACAGGCGCTCATAGCCATCAAAGTTTCGATGGAGCTCGCTCCAGCTGCGGACTTCGTGCAGCGATGGCGTGCACTGATTGGGCCGATCGAGCGTCTCAGCGACGTGGTGTTGCAGGGGACAAATGTCGGAGGGGAGCGCTCTTCGAAGCCGAATGAGATCGCGTCATCTGAACAACAACTCCTCAGTGATAATTACAACAAGGAGAGTAACAAGGGGACGTTGACCGCGTTTGTCTTCTCTGAATTTGTAGAGCAGTTTCCGAAAGTGGTGCGTTCATGGCAGACACAAGGAGTGTCCGTACAGGCGCGTTGTTGTCGCGGGACGACGCGTTTGGTGCAGAATGGGGAGAAAGGAGAATCATCCGCTGCTCTGGAGAAAGACATTTTGGAACGGGGTTTTGTGAAAGCCTTTCGTACGTTTCGAAATTTCCTTGATCCGGTGCCCAAATTCCTACTCGCTGAAGGCGATGTAGTTCCGCCCTTGATGAAGTTCACTGCAAATCGGCTCGGGTGGCAAATTGTGCAGCCAAGCTTGGTTCTTCCACCAGAGATTATTGTTGCACCTCCGTCAGACACGGCTAGTGTGCAACAGCGGGACAACAGTGGGGACTTGCAGAGACCACTTCCAGGAGATTTTGATGGTCCTCTTGCTTTCGGCGACAATACAAAGTGGGACGCTGCGTGGGCGGGAGGCGGCAGCGTTCCGGTTGGAGATCTGAGCGAGGACGCTCTCGAAACGCCAGTGCTGAGTGAGAACACACAGTCGCTAGGGGGTCCCGGCTCTGGCTCTACACAGCCGAGAACTTATTTCAGCGGCCCTTATGCGGCTCCGCAGTTTCAAAATGCCGCACAATCGGACATGACCCTAGGAGTGCAACAACCGATTGCACCACCTGCAGCACCAGCTCTAACAGCCCCGTTGTCCTCGGACGGTTCACCTGCAACAACTAGTTTCAACCCGTCGTGGTATGGAAGTTTATGGCCTACAACGTCTGCGCGCTTGGGAGATGCGGAGGCAAGGATCGCACAATTACTGGAAGACCCGCTAGAATATGTAATCCGAAGACCAGTTTCAGAAGCAAGGCAAGACGGAGGCATTTTGGTTTTCGAGCCTTACTTCATGTACGAGGTCATCGAACCGTTTTTTGACGAAGCTAGATTCGCAGGAGTCCATCTTGCCGCACTCTCAGACTGCGCTTAGAGGAAGTTGCTGCAACCTGGTGCATAGAATTATTACTTGGAGGTTCTCGTTGTCATCAACGTCGAAGCGCGAATATTATCTCATCTGTAGTTATACGAATTACGCCTCTGGTGCAAGTTAAGAGAACAAAGCTGCACTACATCAGAAATCGTCGTTTTCATTTCGTACTCCTTAGGTCGAGCGCGCAGTATTTTCCTCAGTATTTCTGTATCGGCTGCAGAGGCATGGATAGGCGTGTCGGTTTTCACGAAAAAAAGATTAAAATTGTTGACTCGACAGAAGTGATCGTGTCGTGTTAGATTCACAGTGCAGAAAGTAACTAGAAATAAATCTGATGTCATGAATCCTGTGTTCGTATGCAATGAAAGCTCCGTTCCGTAAAGTGGAGTGGTATCGATTCTCGCGAGTTATCACCTTCTGTCTCAAACTGATTTCATGATCGGTTTGGAGGGACGCGTGGAGACAGTCGGTCTGTAGTCGACGAGAGAATTGGTTATCTGTTATCTGAGTGACACTTTACAAAGCATGAGGCTTACAATGGACCATATGCCTGCAATATATTGCTCCAAAAGATTGTATGACGTAAAAATCCCCTCAGATTGATGTTGATCATTCACAAAATGTATAATTCAATCAAATTGATGGCTTATGTTCACTTGCTCTGAAAAATCAATGCAGCTTGAAGAACCAATGAGCTCCTTTCCCCGCACGCCGCAAAATGAAAGATACCCCGTGAGTATACTTTACTATGCCGTTAGTGGTTTCTTGATTTACCTTTTCTTTGTTGATTTTGTATGATAAAGCAACCGATTCCATGAAACTTGATGTTGTGTAGCTGGGACAGCCTTTGACTATACTCCATCGCATTCAAAGATTCTTGCTATTTTTATTTTATCAAAGGGAATTTGAATAATTCATCTATAGCGGGCGGGGAACAGGTTCTGGTCAATATTACAATATCACTTCCGGGGGCGGGAGGCTGCTTTTGCGTAAAGCCTGGGCTGCCTTTCATTGCGCTCTGGCTGCAATTGTTGTGTAACAAAGGCCATATAAGTCACTAGCTCGAATTTCCGCAGTTCATGTGCATTCTTTAAAGGTAGGAGCTCGTTTTTTGGCGGAAGCAATCACAGAAATGAAAAGTTACTTCTTGCTAGCGTTGCGCGAACTTTGATCCTTGTTGTATACTTCAACACGTACTTCATTATCTCATTCTCATGTGCAGTCGCTGAATGAGTTGTGAGGCTGGCTTCAAGAGTTATAAATATGTGTAATTAGGACTGGTTATACTAGATTGTATCAGCCTTCATGTCAAACTCTGTTAGCGTGAAATCGAATCAAGGTTGTTTGTCAAGTAGCTGCTCATGGAATGCTTTCGGCAGACGTGCTAACCTGTTCACACTCGCTTTTTATCTTGGGTTACGAGAGTTGTATCGAGGTATGCATCCGTGCTACGTCGCCTATCTAGGGTAAGTACATCTACTTCTACGTCTACGACCTGGTTTCTGGATTCGATAGACCTAGAAGATTTCAACTACAACTCATAATGTTTTTTTTTCAATAAGTAAGCAGTTCTATGGAGGTTTTTTTTTCAAGGCAGAACTTCGAGGAAAGGAAGACGAACAAAAGATTAACATCGTTGGGAAGAAGATGTATCCGTGGGGGTCCTCTGAGGTGCCTCCTGCTCAAAGGCGAGACTTTCTGGGACGTCTCTATTACGAGAACCACTGTGATAACTCAGCGGGCTGTGTGTTAAGCGATTTTGCTTTGGTCGTCGTGCAATTGTTGCTTGTCCGAAGATTCCTCTCTTCGAATGGTGTCTCCGCTCGAGATGGGAGCCGGAACGCAGATGACAAGCGCGCTGGTAACAAGTTTTTTACCTGCAGTAAGTATTTTGAGTAGTTGATATCTATTTCACTAAGTTAGAAGCTTTGCTTTTATTCATGGTCCAATAACACGACTAGGATCAATTTGTGCAACAACATGAATACATTCAGAAATAATTGCAACAACATTTTATCTCACTCATATCCTCTTCTCACATGACGCAATCGCGACACAAGACACTGCTGTGTAAGTCAGTACTTTTTCTTTCAACAATCCTTCAGGTCCGGGGAGAACCGCTTTGCGGCTGTATTCATGGAGTTGGTACACCGTCTTGTGCTCGAATTTTGCGGCTGGATTGTACCACATGAATTGCACGGCAAAAGAACAAGCCGATAAGCCGCTAGATTTTGCCTTCTGGCTCGTGAGTGGCGTCCTTCTTGTTTGCAGCTGCGCTTTGCTCTTCCTGCTCTCTCTCCATTTGGTTCGCCATCGTACGCAAGTCGCGTCCAGTCGACGTGGTAGCGGTGTTTATCGTGGTAGCGAGCTGATGAAGCTGAAAACCGGTTGTTCAGATCCTAACGTAGGCAGTCGGACTACAAAAGACGTAAAGAACGTAGACGACAACGGAGTAAGCCTCCTTGCACAGGAGCAAGAAGACGCACAAGCTGAAGTTTCGACGACAAGTGAGACAGAGGACGGTGGTAGTTGCACCACTGGAAGCACCACTGCTGCGGTAAAGAATAAGCGCAGAGCAAGCGAAGGCACAGAAAGCGAGGCGTCCACGCGTGAGTCTAGGTCGGGAAGTACAACCGGCAACGACGAGTCCTCCTCCGACGACAAATTCGGTCGTGCCGACTATTCGGATAAAATTGTGACATCCTCTGGTCGTGCGAAGAATATTGAAGAAGATGAGGATGAAGAGCGGTTTTTCAATGAGATCAAGTCATCCCCAAGACCGCCGTTAGGTGGAGGTAGTGACGCCAAGAAAGCGGGGAGTCGAGGACGCAAGTGGCGAACGGGAACTTCCAAAAAGGAACATCATCAAGGCAGTTCTGTTGGAAATGGCGTAACGACAGGGAGGAGAACTTCTTCTTGGTTCACCGCATCCGATAGGGAAGCACTACGACATCCGATTAGCATTGCGATCTTACTGCTGGCGACCACAATGTCAGGCGTTCACATGATCTTCTCTCTCCACTTCATTGTACTCGGCATAACATATCTCCTTGCGTGGATCAGCATAGCAGCAGCGGTTGTATGGTACCTTCTTGTTTTGATGCGCATCCCGTATAGAAGTTTCTACTTAGGGAGGAACATATGCATCTTTAGATTAAGATTCATAAAAAACAAGTTTCTAAACAACTCCGATTGCCGTCCCTTCCTGATGTATTTTGGAACAATTCATTCTATCAATCTGTTCCTCATTGATTTGTTTTGCTAGGTGTTGTCTGCGGCAGTGGTGTGAAGCTGGCGGATGGAATAATAAGTCATCTTCCGGGGTATCCGGGGTCTCCTTTGGGCGGTCAGCGCTTGCCTTTGGTGTTGGATGGGCTCTTGCGTTAGTAACGTTTGCAGTGTTTGTGAAGCTGGGTAGTACGTGTGACGAATCCTGGATTTACGACCGAAGCGCATGCGCCTTAGATCCGGTGATGCCCCACATCAATCATAACACACTTGCACACCTCATATTCTTGCTCGCAACACCCTTCCTGATCGGCGGCGGCGGCCGAACCTTCGCTTCGTTGGTATCCTCCTGAGAAGGCAGCCGCAGACCACCACGGCGGGTCCTGCGAAGACTTCCACGACGGGTCCTGCTACAGTGCTGCTACTTCGTAACCCGAAGATCATAAGTAATGCTCGGCTTTTAGTATCAACAGAAACAGCGGTCAACGCTGCGTGGTACAAGAACTGACGATAAGCTACCTCACTTCTGGCTCATCGCAGGACTGGAACTCAATTTTGACCATTCTGCTGCATTACGGGAGGTTGGACGCTACAAATAGTACTTCTGATGTCATGACAACCAGGCTAAAATCTTCACCGCATAGACGTAAGTATCATGATGATTCCTTTGCCCTCAAATGAAGATTTGTCGGCTTCTCCACCGTCGTGGAGCTGTGCTAGTGGTTGAGTACCACGCCACTTCTGTGGTTGCGTACCATTGATGTGGACATCTTGATGCTGACAATTCGGGTTCTCGTGGAAGATGTATAATTTTAGCCATAAGACACCTAGTATGTTTGCGCTTGGAGAAAAGCATTGCTTTTAAAGTGCCCCGCAGTGCTTGCACAAAGCACTCTAATAAAGAGCTCGCTGTTGCTGTGCAAGGTATTATTTTTGTTCGGTAGACTATCAGATTGTTGGATGATCTGATTCTCGTAGCTAACCTTGTACATGGATAGAGTTGTTGTAGAGGTTGCGCTGTTTTTATAAAGTACCTGGATAGGACTGTCACATTGAGAGACTCGAGCAAAGCCGACAGATAGATATTACGAAGAGAAAAGTTGGTTGTCTAAATCCGTGAGTGCAACCGAGTGAAACAGTGGCTCCACGTAGTTCAGGCTTTTGTCACGTGCGGCTGCGAAGATCATCTGCCAACATCGGAGAGATCATGTAAATTTCGAAGAGCCACAGCTTGTTAGGAGAGGGATACTCAGCAAGCTACGAATACTGTCAAAAAACTTAAGACTGCAGTTTGATAAAATCTAGTAGAATATGGCAGATGTAGTTTTGCCGTTCTATTAGCCGCTGGTACAACATGTTCAAAAGTGTTAACTAGCATGTCTGCAAAACCGTAACAAACTATTCGGCCTTGTTCTTTCACAATTATTCTTTCTTGCGGAGTTGCAATTCTAATTTGCGATAATTAAGCAATGCAATTCATACCCATACTACTACCTTGTATCTACTGCGTTTGAGCCAACATGTTGATGACCCGTACTACTACTTGCCTACTATTCTGAATTAATAATTCGTGTGCTGTCTGCTATCGGCTATTGTATCTATCGACTTTTTATTCGTTGTATTGGCTGCTGACGATAAGTAGTGCCTTTGTTTGGCAAGAATGGGAAGAAAACTGTCGCGAATATGTCTTGGTACAGTGATTCTGCGGTTTATCTTCTGGATTCATCCGGCGCTTCTCGCAACTGGGGCTGGTGGGAGCTCGAATCAGTACCCGTTTTTCCGTGCTTGCCCTGAGCCGTACCATGGGCGCGGGCGCGGTCGCTCTCTCAAGTGCTACGATGGTACGGCGATAGGCGCGGCTTGCAGTACTGCGTCAGGCGCAAAGTTAAAAGACGACCCCGTACTTGGAAAACAAACTGTCAACGAAAATGAGTGCTGCGACACCTTGCACGGAGGCCACGCGACGTGTCCGCGCGAGCGGCCCGTGCTGTGTCCAGCGTGGCTGGAGAACCAGCAGACTTTGAGGCCGTTCCGGCAACAAGGGAGCAGCCAAAGTGCTCCTTTTTTCGCTACGCCTGACTTCGCGCACGCTTTTTCGCGCTGTGTCGAGAGGCCCACTTCGAAAAGCAGCGCATGCGTTCTAGAGCATTCTTCAGCTGGCTCCTCACAGGTGGATGATGCTCCCGCGGGCACCTGCGAATCTGGCTGTACCACTGTATACTTGCGGCCCGCCGTGTCATCAGGGGGAAGTGGTTCTTCGTCATCCAGGCCGACAGTCGAAGTTCAACAGCTGTTATTTCGCAGTGGGCCGGCGACCTTCTCCTTACTTCCTGACTCGTGTTTTTCGCCCTCCGTTGGATGTGGGCTGCGCTTGTGCGACGTGCGACACCTAGAGGTTCAATTTCCGCCAGCTTCAAGTAGTCTGGCCTCCAGCAGAGACTTTAATGGCTTTCGAGCGGGGGTCGAGGTTAGAAACAGTTCGGGAGCGGTGATCTTCACATTAAGGCTACTAGTTTTCTGCTTCACTTGTTGTTTTAGTAAACTGCGCAGGGAGCCATACTAGGGCAAGGACATAAAGTTCTTGTTGCGATAGTTCATTCAATTTAGTTTTGTATAGTGGAATATCTTCTGTGAATAGCTTTCAGCACCTGTCTTCGATGATGGAAGTTTTGGATCACCACATAAGCATAGCAGAATCGTGTATTAATCGCACTAATCCCAGGCGACGTTTTGGAAAAGCAGCTGTCATTTACGGGAAGAAGCGAGTGGGTGCAGGAAGGTCGGGGTTGCTGCGCAGACCCGCCAGGGAGTCATGCGTCTGCTACGGAAACATCACTTTCGCTGGCGGGTTGCAAAGAGCTCTGTCTAGCACACGAGTGTGATTTCATCGAATTCGCGCCAATCAACAATAACCAACAAGCGGTGGCGTCAATGTACGACGATGCTGTCGGGCGTTGTCGGGCGCTGCGAGGACAGTGCCGTAGCAAAACATTGGCAGCTTGTGCGGAGGAGTCCCGAGCAATGACAGCTGCAAGCAGCGCCTTCACGACCCACAGCGTGCAGCCCGCGACGCGGGCCGTCAGTCCGGGAGCGCGATGTGATGAAACTTTAGACTCTGGCGCGTCCTCGCTATTCGCGTTTCCAGCGTGTGGCGATACAGAAGTGTGCCGTGCGGGGCGCTGCCACCGGACTTGCGTCGCATCAAAAGAGTGCGCGGCCTACCCTTACAGGGTGTGCGATTTTTTTGACGAGGAAAGAGTCTGTAGTCATAAAAAGCTCTTCGCAGATCCGATAGACATGGACATTCTTGGCACTCTATGCTTCTTCCTCTTTGCAGGGTTGGCGCTCTCCGCGGGCGTTGGTGGCGGTGGCATCTACGTCCCACTGCTTATTCTCCTCTTGCGCTTCCGACCGCAGAAAGCAACGGCGATTTCGCAGGTCTTCCACTCCTGTTGTAAGATCGATTGCATATTCCTAACTTAGTGCTTCTGCTGCTGCATAATCGTACAACTCGCGTCAGCAGGCGTACTGTTTAAGAGAAAACTTTCGGATTCATCTAGAGTCATAGTACCACTCGGTTGAAGATCAAGATATTAACATAATGCGGAATTTTTGACATGAAATTCACAAACAGTCAATGTTAGCCGGCGGCTCGATATCTGTTCTGCTGTATAATTTGAAGCAACGACATCCCGTGGAACGCGATAGACCGATGATCGACTTCGATTTGACCATTATTCTAGGGTTCCCGTTGATGGCAGGGGTCCAGATGGGGGCAGTAGTCCACAAAATATCGCCGGATTGGCTGATCCTGTTCGTCTTGATAGTAGTATTGACGGACTCAGGCAGGAAAACGCTGAAGAAGGGCATATCCTTATGGAAAGCGGAAAACAAGTCGGCCGCGGAGGGAGGAGTAGCAGCGGGACTTCCAGTACCAGAAATCGGACGAAAAATATACGAAATGGGAAGGAAAATGTCCACAAGCACAACGAATACGTCGTATTCCACTTTTATTTCGGTCTAGTACTAGAATACTTCTAGTTGTTGTCCTAGTCCTACATAAGTAGATTCAAGTCTGTCATATTGTGTTTGATTTGTTCTGTTTTCCTAGGGAATATGACTAAGGCAGAGGAGGTCATAAGGAGCCTGCTACAACGAACTATATGTATAAGTAGTTTCTCCCTCGCAATCGCAGATACCAGGAGTTCGACCAGGAGCACGAGCTGCCTGAGAGTGCCGAAGTAGTTGGGCGGACATCGCGGTCGCTGCGGGGGAAGGAGTTCCAGCGGAAAAATTCACCTAGTGAACAAACAATGCTCACGTCGAAAGACCACTCGCCGATAGAGAATGGGGTAAGCAGCCAGGCAATCTTTGCAGGAGCGGGCTCGCCAGCGTCAGCGTCGACCGCATTACCATCTTCAACCATGGAGGCGCGAGGCAACTCTGTGACAACGGTAGACTTAGTTCCAGTCAGCGAGAGTCCCATAGCGCGAATGTCGGTTCAAACGACCGCGAGCTTGAGCGCTAGCAAGACGAAGTCGGAGCAGCACGCAGTTGTTATCGGGCAACAAGGTTCGGAGTCAGACTTGAGCAGTGGGACGAGGACCGGGTATCCAAATATATCTGCTCCTGTAATTCTCGACGGCAATAAAGGCTCAGAAATAATGGAAATGGAAGGCAGAGGACAAGCAGTATCAGCTGAGAGTTCGCTGGAGCTGGTCGATTTTGGCGCGCACAGGACCGACCAAGAGGAAGAAAATAGCGTTAAGAGACAGCAGATTATTTTAGGTCAATTACCGCCGGCACGGGGCAGCACGGGATCGCCGATAGCGCCACTGTCTCCACTCACTGTCACGAATAACGCATCGATAGCCAAGCAAAAGCGACTCTTGTTAGGCGTCTGGGCTATGATGCTTGCGGTTTCTGCAGTATTCACTATCCATTATTTGCTATTATCATACAAACTGCAGAAGAGAGAAGTGTCCATGATATAATATCGTCACTAGGACATCACTTGATGCAAACTAAAGAGTACTTCTTTACACCCACGTTTGTTCCACTTAGGTAAAAACTAGCTTTGGGTACTGCACTGGACTTTTCTGGGTAATCTTGCTCGCCGCAACATACGCTCTCCTATGGCTAGCCTACCGTCATTCGGATTCGATGGTTCTGCAATACCAGGCAAGGATGGCACGAGAAGGCGACAGTGAGGGGGAGACCTCAAAGTACTACAGTTTTGAATTTGATTTTAATCACATGCTTTATTTCTGTAAAAATGTTTGGTTCTCTTTGACGAGAATTTCTTTTTAGCATCGGATTCATGTATCATCAATACATCAACACAACAACTTCAGATATCGAGATTCCTGGGAATTTTTCGATTCTCGGAAAAACGCGGTCCGCCTATTGGCCTATGCGTATGGCGCCGGCACAGTGGCGGCTATGTGTGGCATCGGAGGAGGCATGTTGCTTGGCCCGATAATGCTGGAGATGGGATTGCGACCACAGGTACGTGCTTTCCCCTCTAGTTTTACTGCACAGAAATACTGACCCTATGAATGTTGGTATCCTGGGTCTGGTGTAAAAAAGCAGGTTAGTTGAGCAGCGGGCACTTCCTTCCCACAACGAGGAACGCCGCCGCTGTAGAAACAACAATATGGACAATGGATCAAGTTCAACACCTTAACAGCTTCAGCCTCAACATCAGAGAAATGCGAAGAACGCAGAAGAGATTCAGGGAAGTCGTAGGTCAAGCCCGAACCGACTAACATCGTCATCAGTTGCACCTTGTCAGGACCTCTTATAACGATATTCTTTCTTGGATATTAAAGTGCAAGTAGAAAGTAGTTGTGGAAAGACACGACGTTTTCTGTCATGCGTTCAGCATAATTGCAGGTAACGACTGCGACAACTGCGACTACGCTCTTCATGCTCTCGACAACCGCATCCTTGATTTTTATTTTGAGTGGCGTCGCTCCTCTGCCCTATGCGCTGTTCTTTGCGGGTGTGTGTTGCGCTGGTGCAATCGTGGGCAAAAGCGTAATAAATCACTACGTGAAGAAGTATCAGCGGACTTCGCTCATCGCTTTGATTCTTTATGAATACGTTTGGAAATTTGATTTTCCCCACACCTGCATATGTCAATGATCACCTTGTTAGAACAAAAAAAGGTGAGTTGCTCGTTCTTCAATAGAACAAGTATGTGATACTACTTCGAATAGAGCACGATGAACTTTAGTCTCCCAACGAGGACCCCCCCAACCTACCGAGCCTCCTCTTTCATATCTCTGCCGCGGTGATTATTGTTAGCACTGTGATGCTGTTGCTGATCGGATTGCTGGACCTAGTCGGGGATGTGAGTGCCGCAACGCGTGGGAGTGATGCGGCGAAAGCCGACCTCTGGTTCAAATCACTTTGCAGTACAGCAAGCCAGCACTAAACACCGCTCGTTTTATCCGCGGACGGTAAGTAAGTACCTGGAAAGCTAAATTCAGAAGTTTGATAATCGGTCTTGCATCATTGAGAAATTGATCACGGCGTGTTACGTGGCAAGAGGGTTTTTATTTATGGAGCTCTGTTGTTTTTTACAAACGTGCCGCTGCCTTTATCGCAATCTCAATATGTGCCCTTACAACAATCTGCAACCCCAACAACTTCTGCAGTCGTCAATTAATTGGTTGGCTCTACTTGTGCATCTGCTTCCGCTTCCTCACAATTGACTGCTAGAAAGATTTTCCTTTACAATTAGGTGCCAATCCTTCTCTTGAATCCAAGAAAATCTAATGCAAAAAGTCTCAGAATACTTATCACAAGAAAGTAAAAGCAAATCGAACGCCTTCGAGCATCATCACGCTACCACCTGTCATACAAATCCTACCAAAAAATTTGTCTCTCAAACTCCTATTTATTCTGCTAAAATTGCTTGTTTGGTATATGCAAGCGACGACCTCTGTCTATGCTGTGTTGGGCAACTTCTGCTTATTGTCGCAAAACCCTGAAAGTGAAAGAATGTTCTTGACCACCAAGACCAAGGGGTTTGATTAACTAGTTTGCATCATCGCATTGGTTCAGTGGCAACGATGGAGATGTTCTGCAATCTTCGACGCAGAAGATGTCCTGATAATGACTGGTGTCTCAAAATATATGAGCCGGATCCTCTTCTTGAAGCAAGCATTGAATTCAAGATCCTCTGCTGTTCTTGAGACTGAGGGCAATATGGTCCGACCATCACCAAAACACGATCAGGTTGATGTGGATTCTCATAGTTTCTTGTTTCATCTACTTCGAGATTTATTAGAATTGGCTCTACACTGGAACAAAACCTGTTGTTCTCATCGACAATATTTTGTGTTGTTGAAAGATATTGTACTTCTACTTCTTTGGCTCTTCATTGCAGTTGCGTTGGTGAATCTGAAATTTCATTAGCCTGCAATTTCTATCTTTCAGGCACCTAAAGGTAAAGGAGGTTGTTTCAAAATGGATCAGTCAATGATAGATCAGTTGTCCATGAAGGACAGGCAGATAGTGCTGAGCCAGATGAACGATATGCAAGTCGCCGAAAGCATGAGCACGTACAATCTACTTGTCTATTATAGAAAAATGATACACTTTCATGCATTATGTTAACTGATTTCGCGAAATAGGTGGATGTCTGCACTAGCAGTGGTGCTATAACTTTTTGGCTATCAGCCTTCATTGATTTGATCATCATGGACTAGGTCCTAGAGCAAATCTTTCTCTCTTTCTTCACGATAAGGTACAACAACCTAGTCGAGAGGTGTTTCGGAGAATGTGTGAACACCTTCAGGCAGAAGTCGCTAGATGACGGTGAGGAGAACTGCGCAAAGAGGTGTGTCCAGAAATTTATGACCTATTCACAAAGGGTAGCGCAAAGATTCGCAGAAAAGAACGCACAAGTTGCTGGACAAATGAAATGAACTTTTTTGAGAATAATTCATTGTCAAGATGAATTTTCCAATCATGTTAATTTTTTGAAAAAAGTTTTGCGGCCCCCCAAACGCCGTTCGCGAATGCAACTCCCACCTGTTGCGAAAATAATGTTCATATCAACGCACTCATAAACGTTCTTATACATGGTTTAGCCGTCTTTTACATGTTATCATGTTGTGTCCTCGTTGATGATGCGACACTGCGCGCGCACAATTGGAGAAGGACGGCATGTCGTGTCAGACGGGTTGATTATTCGGCAGAAATCCGAAACGTTTCTTTAGCGACGCAAGGTGAAAGAACATCTACGCGTTTCTGTGAAGACTAACGTCGTACTGGGGATGACAATGTGGTCCGAAAAGCATGTCGGTTATTTTTACTGTACAGGAAAGATCTTTGAGAGACGCGACTGAGGTGCTGAGACAATCAATAGCATGTCGGTCTTGTAAATATCCTCGATACCCAAGTAGACCGAGAGACGGAGAGTTGTAGAGGAAGAGTGTGTGCCGAGCGCATATTGACGTAAAGCGCAAGCGCTTCTATCTTATTCTGTTTCAATAGGTGCTTTTGCATGAAACTTCTTCGAAAATCTGCTCGAGAATACAGCATTTACTCCCCCCTATTTCTACATAATCATGATGAAAATCAGTAGGGCCTTTGATGCGACAAGGAAACCTAAAAAATTCGCGCAATTCGTGCGCGTCTAGGCTCAAGCTCAGCTACCAGTTACCAAGCGTGATCCCCAGGAGGGGGCGCGCAAGGCGAGGCTCGTGTAATTCTAATTTAGAAGTCCCGGCACTTTGACGCGAAAATATTACCAGAGGCAAACTAAGATGGAAGTCACAATATGTCGGGCCAACACAAGCGTGGCGTCCTAGAAGAAAGAGCAGACTTGGTCCGCATCTTCTACTTCTGAAGAGAATTGCAGGAAATCGGCAGGAGATCGATAGACTCGGAGAAAGATGGCGTCGTCTAGCAGTGGCGGCGTTGCGCCGGATCCAACGGGACCTAGTGTATTGGGTTGGACGCTCGAACAATGCTGGAGGCGTGCGTTCGAGCTGCTCAGATGGGTCACGCCAGAAACTGCCACAGTATCAGCGGACGTAGAAGCTACTTGGGGAGGAGACTCTTAAGGGATATGATCGTGTCCCAATTATTTTTGGAATACTTTTCAGTTTCAAGCCGAAAGTGGCAAAAAATGTGGTTGTCGTTGCGATTCCTTTATCTGATGTTAGATGGAATGTATGAGACATTTTTTCTAGAAGTCGGAAATAGGCACGCATGCAAAGACTTCATTCAAGTACTTACTTAATTTTTTGAGAGCCTTCCTTCGGGTTTTAAAGGGCTGATTCTAATTTTCAATAGAAGGGTCACTAGCGAACATGGAGGAGTACAGCGTACCTGCATGCACAAGCGGTATCACGCAATCGGGCACGTCGTTACTGGTGGAGACCGGGAGCAGCTACTACGTATTCTTCAGATGAATACATGGGCCTCCTTCGCTACTGAGATTGAACTATTTGCCTCCTTGGGAAGATAAGGATAACTTGTACAAGACCCTTGCATAAATGAGCTAGCGATTATTTAACCACAGCCTTTTTCGAGATAAGTGGTTGAGTTCACTCCTCACAAGGATACCGATATTGTCAGGCAAGAAATCGTCTGCATTAGGTATCGCATACTTCTTTCGGTCCAGACAATTTTGACAAAGAAGTTGGAGGTGGATGCGCGTACCCGGAGATAGTGCAGATGCAGGTCTCAACGACGCTTGGCCGGATAGAAAATGCGAAGAACAGCAGTCTTTACTTACGGTTGTTTCTCGTACGCTGATACTAAAGACAGAAGTAACGACTCAGCACTCATCAACATTGTCCGGATTGGCATGTTGAGTTTTGAACTTTTTCTGAACGATGGCAAAGCCAAAATCAAAGAATGTGTTGAAGAGGGGCATGACAGGTTTGTTCTACTCAACAGCGGAATTTAATAGGCTTTGGCGCATTTTCTAAGCCACGTCCACAAACTGTCGACGCCAAGCAGATTGGACCCTCAAGATCATCCATTAGATAAAACAGCGTACGGACCTTTTCGCATGCCGATATCAGAACTAAAAGATCTTTTGACGCAGACAAAACCCGGACTGGGAGAGCTGCATAGCTTTGTACTACCTGTTTGATATAGTTACTGTATAGTTGTAGACGCTTAAAGCACAAAAGGAAAAATAGCCGTTAAATTTTTCACTCATTTTTATCCTAAGTTAGTCCCGCCAATCACAGTTGTAGCACTGCCAGCACGTCGTCGGATTATATTGAACTGATTCAGCAAAGCTCTGTACGACTGGTAGGGTGCTGTTACGAAGCAGAACTTTTCGAACTAGTCATCTGCTTACCTGAATGAACCCGCTTGGTTGGCACTTTTCGCGCTTGCTTTATTCAGCATACATCACTTTGAATTTTCAATACGGAAGACCATCGATCTTCACAGATAAAAATCACGGGAGAGGAAGCGCATGACTTCGAAGGGACGATTTACATAAGAGAATACGACCTTTTTGGCAACGCAAAAGCAAATCCCACGCCTTTCGAGGAAAAATGGAGTCTCGCAGCGGGTACCTCATACATCATACATCACGACTGTACGGAACATCCGCTTTTTCCTGGCTAGGAGAAGCACAAGGTGGCTAGGAGAAGCACAAGGACGGTTTGAAGAATAGATAGAAGGTAATTTCATCTCAAGAACATACGTATCGAACATCGACTTGCTTCCTGATTCTAGCTGCTCGTCTCAACAAGATCCTTGTTCCCACACCAGGTTCTTGTTTTTTCGTGAAAAGCACAAAAGTGGCGGTACAAGACGGTATTGATCTAGAGGAGTACCCTACAAGGTATGACTTCGGAAACACCGAGAACTTGCCGGACTGGATGGCGAGAAATAACCTGCTTGATAGGATATGGGTGTCGGTGGAGTTGGGTAGCGTCCGGGGAGAATGCCTAAAGCTCTACGAGTTTTTGTTGAATTTCCACTCCCGCTCAATATTCTGTCTGCATTGGCAATCCTTCGACTCCTTGTGGCCAATGTATTTCTCTTTCTTCCCATTTTTATGATACAGAAGACTTTTTATGGACTCTTAGTTATACGAGAGTAGTTTTGAGTTACTTTATTTTCACTTCTACCCCGCGACTGCGTACACCACTACTACTGCTACTACTATTGATAGATGTGAGATCGATCTTGATGTATCTTGATCCGGTTTTATTTGCATCAAACTTGAAAATGTCTTGACAACACCTTACTATCTACAACTACAACAGCTTTGAGTGGGCTATGTGGCATATGAAGTATGACGCGCAGTATTGTCGGCTCAGCGTCGATTGTTTCCTCCAGGGAGGAACAAATATTCTCTATCAGCGGATGATCAAGTTTCTTGACCTGCATAAAGCAACGAGGCACATGGAGGCACTGGACATTGACCTTCTATGGCAACCAGATCAGAGAGTGAAATGAACATACTTCTTCCACTTTGACTATTTTTCACTTGTCATCGATTGCTAATGTTTTTTTGTTTTTTCCTGGTACAGGTTTGTTTCTCGTGATTTTTTTGGTGATCTTCTTTTATCAATAAAAAGTGGTCCAGGACCTGTTCGAGAAACCATTCTTGAAAATTAGCGAATACAGTACTTCCTGTTTTAGATGAGAGAGAATCTTGACATACATAGAGTTTCTAACGTGTCTGTTCCGGAAGGTGGGTGTTTATTTCGACTGCCCAGTCGAGCGCGAGGTCACTTACGATCTGCCGGGTCCCCAGCAACCAAAGACGGACTTCGTGGAGAGAGTCACCACTAGCAAGATGAATTTCGCGAAGCTGGAACGTTTCATTTTATGAAAGGAATAGCACTACTATTGTTGAGTTTTTCTAGATGTAGAATCAACGACTCGAAACACAAACACTAAGGTGATGCGGTCTACCCGTTAAACCCGGAATACGCGAATTTGTCGGCTGCTCTTTGGAAAGATCCACTTTTCCCTGGCTGCTCTTCTCAAGTAGCTTGTTCCACCGCCAGGTCACTGCTTTGTTTTTCGTGCGTCTGAGCTAAAAACTGGCTCTAATCATCCGGGTGACTTTCATCGCAGTTTTTGCGTACGAGCTCGCAAAAACGCACGCTAGAGAAAACTACAAAAGTTACGAGTTTTGGTATCGAAGCTGGGTAGAGACCGCAGAGGAGCTAGGTACTGTTCTTCGCGACACGTTTTACGCATTTGAATCCCTTCTAAGTTGGAACAAGAATATGCAAATGTTTACTCGTTCTGCCCACTGTCCGTGTCTAGCATGATCTAGTACATAAGTACATGAAGACTCTTACGGGGTTTCTTTACGATCTTCCATTTCCACTTCGCAGTTGCTCAACATTTTTCGTTTTTTCTGTGATTTCGCTCAATGTGAATATAAATATGATCTGCAACCTCCTTCCATAACAGGCTTCTGGTTCCCCATCAGTTTCTATTAGAGGTGTGCTGCAAATCTTGATTGGCTTTCACCTTTTGGTGAAGGTTTAGGTCCAGCGGCGCTCAAAGCACTAAGCAAGACAGCCGGTTGGTTTTCACCTCGACAATATTAGGCTTATCCCGTGAATCAATATTTATAAGTAAATATGACCTGCAACAACATCAGAGTACGCAGACCTCGCATACGCGTTGCGAGAATGCAAGCCATATCGAGAAGAGGATCTGTCCATTATCGACGCGTGGTTCCTAGGTGCGGTGGTTCCCGTCTTGCGGAAAGAACGAGAGATGGCCCAACGCCAGGACGGTCAGCAGAGGCTATAATGGCTCCTCATCCTTTGCTACTATGCGGTAGTAGTTCTAGTTGGGTACTCCACCACAATTACTATGTAGCTAGTTCTAGTATAATCTCCTTGGTAAATTTCCCTCGTCTTATTTCTCTCAACTGACTTGGTACCACACTGCTGGAGACAAAAACGGGTCAATAGCAGGAGAAGAAACTCTTACTCTCTCCGAGGTGCTACAGAAACCTGATGATAACTCAACTTGCGTTGATGATGCACGTGCTTGAAGATTTACAAAACCGACTATACTTACTATAACTTCTTCCCACTACGAATCCTTTGAATACTCGTTCTTATAGATACAGAAAAACCTAGAGTTTGCATTTATGCAGAATGACTTCCTTGTTTGTCCGATGACGGGTGATTGTCATAGCAATCCCAACCGGACACGCGAACTGTAGAGCAAGGATCTTTTTTCATACGCATTCTGCTGTAAATTAACGTTGGATAGTGAAATGGTTGACATTTTAGCGAAGCGGCACTGCTATGCAATTGCTGGACGAGAGGGCTCTCACCCGGGCGAAAGTCTATTTGTTCAATTTGAGGCATTATCCCACCAGAATACCCTAGCGACACAGTTACGTGCCTACGCACAACGATCGTCCATCGAAATTTATGCATATGAGGCGTGGAAACGCAACCAGCGACTACTTTGTCTCGCGTGATATAGTATGCCATTTGCGGCCGGAGTAGAGCGTTTCCATTTACAATCTTCATGTGTTCAAAGTGAGAACTGAGATGGAGAATAGTCGCTCACTGAATAGTCGGGGATATAGGGAGATCGAATAGTTCTTCCGTCGGAGATAGTTAGAGATAGGAGAGAGATATGATCATTATATGTCACCAAAGAGGGCAAAGTCAAAATAGTCTGTCAGGAGAGAGATGGCGGTGATTCTCCTGTCTGAGATTCTGAGTTGAAATGCGTCTGCACACGAGCTGAGTTTCTGTGAAGCGATGAGACATCGTTCTGTCTGGTGAGCGCATGTTACTGTGTAGAATTGGACCTGCTCATTGTTTGTTGCACTAAATTTTTTGAGGAGGTTTGCACTATTAGATTGACTGGCGTCATATATGGATCTATCGCTATCCCATTGCCATAGTTAAAAGAGGTACAATGACATGACTTGCTTGTCCCTACACCAAATTATGTCAAACAGCCTCATGCGAAGATTCGCTCAGTTGAACCTTTTTTGAGGTCCTTTGATAACCGAAAAGACATTGTAATTTTATCACTTTCTCCCCGAAGCAAGTGCTCTTCAAAAACATCATTCAAGACCGTAGCATCAGCTCTTCCGTATTATTGAGAAATTCACAAGTCATTCTCGAAGATCCTTGAAACAAGATGAGGAACAGTATTGCCTTAGCTTTGCTCGCACCCGAAGTTGTGCAAGCTGTGCGTTTAAGCTCTGCTTGTTGTGAGGACAAAGCGCCAGCAGCTGCTGGCGCCTCTTCTCAAGGAACGCCGCGCGCCGGTGGAGGTGCAGCCGGTGGTCCAGGTGCTGGGTTCGCCGCGATGGCTGGCCAGGTGGCTGCCGCTGTTGGTTCCGGTGGAACTTTCGATGGATATCCGACGACGCAGGTTTTACCTCAAAAGCCTGAGGGCATGACCAAAGAAAAATGGCACCTCCACAACTTGGTTGCGAAGATGAAAACAGCCAAAGCTTTTACCCAACGCGATATCCCTGGAGGAGCGGCTCATGCTCTGTCTAAGGTATTTTTGAATCACAGCCGATATACAACCGAAGTTCATCGCAAAGGCTCCTGCATATCAACATGTCCCATCCTGTTTGAAGAGTGGCGCTAAGCTCCAGGTAGCTGTGAACTCTGTTCTCATCTCTATGGTGAGGGCAAAGAACTCGCTGCTTTCTCTCTCGGTTATTCAAAGGATATCCTGGCTATCTTTGTTTTAGTTCTCTGCGCAGGTTTTTTTAGGTCAACACTAGGTAGTTTCCTAGGGATGCTAGAGACCAAGAAGATCCAGTAATGTCTAGTGTGTGAAGAAACATGTGAAAGTGGGGTACGGAAAAATAGCCGGTTAGTTTTCCCTCATATTTATCCTAGGTTAGCCCCTCAAATTAACAAAAGATGCACTAGCTGCAGTTATAAATGCAATCCTGTTGTCGTACAACGAACAACCACCCCGAACATTACAGGGGACGAAGGGTGATGGGCCTCACTGGCTGCATTTGGCGTTTCCGGCTCCCTATCCGTGGAAGCGTGAAGATGCAGCCAAGTCTGCGGTACACGAAAGCACTTGCGGCGAGCTGTTCAAACGATTGAGCCCTGAAGACATTGCGAGCTGGGTGGGGATTCTGGACATGACGATTAAAGTTCTCAAAGCCAAGAACGGTGAGCCGAACGAACACCACACCACGAAGCCAAAGCATATGTGCCCTTTCGACATGCCTAACGACGTAAAGAGAATTCATACGTCCACCAACTTTTGGACTCGGGTGTGCGCTGCGGAAGAAATGGACCCAAACATCAGAAACGATATGATGCGGATCGCCATGTACAGATGGGTTTGATCGGGGTGTTCCGATAGGATTGGTTAGGGTGTGATTGGAATTTTAGTGGTGGTTGCGGATATCATGTCTTCTATGTGAGATTGCTTTTCTTGGCCCATCGGGTAGGGGGAGACAGACTCATGTACGATGGCGATGATATGTTGAGGAGTTGTGGAGAGTGGGTATCATGAAAAGGAGGAGGGGATGCTGTTGGAGGCGTCGGACGCGGAGTGTAGGAAGGAAAGGGGAAATTATCGCTTGCGTCGGATGTGGAATGTACAATGGGACGGAAGAGAGCAGAGGAGCGCAAGGTGGATGGAGAAACACGTTTATCACACGAATGGGGTGGAGATGACTTTTCTCGGAGCCTAGGAGAGGGAATAAAAAGGTTGTGATTATGATTTTTCAAAGATGTTGATGTTGTAACAAAGGTGGATATAGATAGTTCTAGTAAGTTCTTGGGTATCACAAAGCACCAAATCGAATGTGAAAAGAGCACGCAATGTATTTATGGCATGGAGAACTAGCACTTTTCACTAGAATCTTCAACAAGAAAGCATGCGAATGATAATTACACCATACTTACTAGAGCACTGATCATGATTACTAGAGCACTGATTATGATTACTAGAGCACTGATCATGATTACTAGAGCACTGATCATGATTACTAGAGCACTTAGTAGAGATGATGATGCTAGTAATTGTAGAGAAAGCGATAATAATGTTCTTGTTCGTGATCTAAAAATATGTAGTAGATACTAACTTGACTATCTATATAGATGTGTTTTTTTCTGTGAATCGATTCTACTAGGCATTCTACTCGATAGAGATTTGAAAGTTTGAGACAACTTCTGCACGATTTATAGCAGTGAAAGACTCTCACGAATCTGTTGGACTAGTATCTGAGATTACATAGGTACAATGTTGAATAGCGAAAATGTAGAGCAGGCAATTATCTGAATGCACACTTATGATGCTTATGGAGTTTTTATGGAATTATGTCGATGTCCCTGTCCGATGACCCATTTCAAAAATGTGAACTGAAAGGAAATATACGTAGGAGGTCGCTGCGCGTTTTGCTTAGACTTACACACATGCCGTCGTTTTTCCTGATTCCGACAACAAGCAGCAGAAGGATCTGCATGAGTGGACCGCCATCGGCGTTCATCTGGAGGTTGAAGGAGTAACTCATCTGTAGTTGTTCCCGAAGTCAGGTAAAAGGATCAACTTTTGCAATAGAAAATGATTGCTACATCAAGAGCGTCGGGAGAACTTTGTTACCGTTCATCTAGGAGTGATGCACGTAGTTCTATCATAAGAAAGCTGATAAGTCGCACGATATTTGTCTTGTTCCTGGAAAGCTTGTACATACTTAAAAGCAGCTGCTAGCGTGGATGCCGATGCTTGCGCGGATCACTTCACTGGTTGGCCTTGTCGGCGCATTGCTCGTGCTTCTCTGTCCGGTGCTGTTGCACAAAAATCTTCACCTAGTACTAGGCCCCGCAATCAGCTTGTTGTGGAAGAAAGCGACCCAGCACGTGCGGCAGAAAGAAAAAGCCTTGTTCCCGTCTCTGGTTATTGCAGGAGACGAGAGGCTACTAACGGACGGCGACGACCATAAAGGTCGATGGCATGACTGCAGCTTAAGGACATACGTTTTGTTGGTCCCACGCAGTGCGTATTAAACATCGGAAAATAGTGAATTCAATTCATGGGAACACAATAAGCTTGGCCCTTACTTAAATATTTTTCCGGCGATCATCACGATCGAGTTCGTCTTGTCGGTCCCATCTTGGAAAGCAAATACAAGTAGACATGATACTAGAATCAATCACAACGTCTAAGCGAGAGTGACGTACTTGCGGACGGGGCCTCTTCGGAGCTTGTGTGGACAAACGTCACCAGTATCCCCGATCCTCTGGTGCCTGGCATACAACAAGTCATTCATAATTACGAGAAGGCTACTGAAGAATGGCTAAAAGATTAAGATACTGTTACCTAAGGATAGAAATCATTCCTCCCACTCCCTCAAGGAGTATCCTTCTCCATGTTTCAAGGATTATCCGATGGCTTCCTCCTTCCGATCAAGAGAGAAGAATGATTGTCGTTGACACAGCTAAGTTGATGGCTCGATGTGGTCCTACCTTGATCTCATTGACCATGTTAGAGTAAGGTCCACGACATGACATGGTGCCTGTGGACATAGAATATTAGAGGTTTGGTGGTCCTTGATCCTCCTCTAAGAACCGGAGTTCGATTTTATTGGTCCAGTGAAGCGAACAGCACTGTTCAATAGTTTGCAGCAGATGTACCTAGTGGACCTGACAAGCTGGGTACCGGTGAAATTCTGGCTCACCTTCGTTTTCATTCCGAAGTTACGGTCGTGGTCTTTTAGATGCGTGTTTATTCCGTCTGACCAAGAGGACCATTCTTGATTTTTGATGATTTTGAGAGTTCTATCTTTCAGACTTATTATTCTAATCAATGGTAGTGGGTACTTTGTGTCGTGTTTAGAGTATAACTGGAAAAAAGTGCTAGACGTGCATGATAGCGAGAATAACTATCGGTAAGATCTAACCAATGTAGACAATTGCAAAGAGCATGCGGGGACGTGCCCACTCGAAGCTGGAGAGCACAAAATCATGGACACGAAACACGATCCCCTGATGCCGTACTTATACTTTTTGTCGCGCACCACGCACAGAATAAGTTCATGAAAATGGCAAAGAAGCAGGACGTGCCATAATTCGAAACATTTGATACTTGTCAGATAGCCAGGCTGGATTTTTGAAACAATCAAAATTGTCACTCTGAGAAGTTTCTTTTGAATACGTTTTGTATCTTCAATTTCAGAGGCACGCCCGGGGGTTGGTACCGCTCCCGACAGATCTATCACGGCAGCGAAGGCGAGGTAATTGGGTGTGTGGACGTGCAAAATTATTACGATGCCGCAAAAAGCAGCGTCGACGAGGGGAGCTCGCATCTACGATCGCGGAGATCGGGATTAGCTGCGACGTGGAAGAATTCTGAGGAGGTGGAGGTTGTCTAAGAAGATGATTACTGCTTTCCGTTTAGCGCATCCCGTTTTACATGCCTTCTACGGCTATTTCCCATTCGTGAAACACTATGCGCGAATAGGTCTTGTGCATCATTAGGAAATCATATTTGGCAGAACTATTTTTGCGTACCCATATCCAATTACATTTTTTTAGAAGCTCGTGGATTTGGCTGCTGCCGACAAGACACTCTGCTCAAGCATTCAGGCGTAAGGGTGATGGTACTATAGCTTGTTCTACTTACTCTTGTTGTTTCGCGGGTGTGAGTGTTGAGGCAAACTGGCAGAGAAAAGAATGGAGGTACATTCAAGACCGACACGGTGGTCTTCCTGTGCGATGTAGACAAAAACCCCGACTCTTCTCATTGAAATCAGCTTCACACATTCGAATTTCTGGTTCTGGTTTGACTGAGATTCACAGAGATCGATGCACAAGCATGGTCAACTTTGGACATGCTTCTCGAGTATGTGCAGAGCAGGACTTACAACAAAATGTTTGTCTCTAAATTTTGATGACATAAGTCAGCAATGCTGCAAACGACGCAGTATGATAAGATGTCCCGTCAAGACGGCGATTTTCCTTCTCTTCAGCGGCATAATGAGAAGTTCTCGAAAGCATTGGGCGTGCGGGGACACTGCTGTGTCGGGTTTTGCGCACTTCTCTGCAACAACTTTTTCTCAGAAGATTGGGACCGCAAATTTTTTTTACACAAACTGAATGCGCTCATTGAAGCACTGCATCCAAGTTCTTCTAGCGGTGAGCTTTCTAAGGAAATCGTTCCTTCTGCCACAGAGGAAAACAAAGGTCGCTGCACTACGCATGCTGTAGCGCTCAAGAATAGTGAGGCGGGGAGAGCATTCTTGCGTCCAGTAGAAAGCAGTGGTAGAGATGACGACGACAATGAGGTTTCAGATGAAGAGAATTCGTTGTTGGTGGATGAGCCACCAGACTCCGATACCTTACCTGGCGTGGCGACATCTGCAGGTGGTGAAATGGATGCGGTTCAGCTCCCCTGGTACCTCCATCTGGGACAGCACCAGGCTCAGGTCGATATCCGGCCAGGCCGTCGCGACAGTCGTAGTAGTATCACCCCAAGCAGCCAGGGAACCACGCCCACCGTGAGGAGTCTGGACCCCACACCGAAAGCAGGTCTGACCCGCAAGTTTTCGACACCCACTGTGTCTTTAACTACCTCTGGAGGACCGGGTGGCGAAACAAAAGAAGAGAACGTTGGGGTGCCTTCATCATTCTTTCCTAGTAGTTCTTCGTATACGACAGTGAGCGCAGCGGCCAAAATATTCACCAAGAATAACTCACGCGTGGCACCGGAAGCACAGCACGCTGGAGCGGGCGTCCGGAATGTCGCAGGCGCGAAACGCTACGCAGCTCTGACGGCAAAGCAACAAAGTGAGCAAGCAGATGTTATCCTAATGATGCAACGGCTCCAATTCGTTCACCTTGGCGTTCGTCGCTTTTTCGCACTTCTGTCTCCACAAGGGCGGGAACTATTCAAGGTCGCAGCGTCCGGGGACCTTTCACACTCTTTCTTTGCATCATCTTCATCAGAGGGACGCTCTGATGAAGCTTCAATGTTGCAAAATATAGCCTCATCCGCCTCAATATTGGCTGGGGAACTTGGGGCTGGAGGTGGCCAACCGAGATCACTATTGGACCGATTGCAATTGGAATTAGAAATGGATTCGCCTCCTCACGGCGATGACGACTTGCCGAAGCCTGAGTCACGGGATTTAAAAATCACTACCAGTAGTCTCAGATCAAAAAAGTCAGATTCCAAGGTGGCTTTGTTTTCTCTCAGCGATAGGAGGGCTTCTCTGGGAAGAAACAATTCAATGGTGTTGAATAGAGGTGCGCAGTCTAGGTCCATGAGCATTGCTTCTTCCCCTTCGAAACGCGGTACGCCTGCTGTGTCTCCAGCTAAACGCGGCAGTTGCGAACAAGTAAAGGAACCTAGTTTTTCGTGGGAAAAGCTAGATGTAGCGCTCGACCAGAAATGGATAGAGTGTCTCACCGGATCGGAAGTATTCGCAATCGCGCGTTCGATATCGACTAGTGGTCACGCAGTGCGACTTCATGTTGCAAAACGGGACAATAATTTTTCCGTCGGTCGCGAGCCAGAGAGACAGGAGCTGCGGGATGCGTTTGAAGCTATATTGAACAGGCAATTTGGAGATATTTTGGCGCCATCAACAACGAGCGCAGGCATTTCAAATTTTGAAAACTCAACTAAATGTTTCACGCGCGTAAGCTTCTTCCGCTACAGCGAGAGAGGCGATATGATCGGTGCGCACCAGATGGCGTTCACTATTTCCAGCAGTACAACAGCACCGAGCGCAAGATCTACAACGAAAGCTGAATCAGAAGTGCTTCTATATGACCCGAACCGTGAGCCAGTCACTATTTCTGTGCACAAGGAGGGCCAAACACCTGATAGAAAATCTTCGAGTTCGACGGTTCGCCAAAACATTTCAACGTTAGTGGACCGATTAATGAACTACTTCGTTGACGCGAGTGTTTCCCGTCGTCGCTTAGAAAAAACGCGGAGTTTGGTTTTCTCAGTAAATGTTTGGGAGTGCTGGAGCACTTCGTCCGGCAAGAAGGTAGCCCTAGCTCCTGATGATGGACCTAGATCACCAAAAAGTAGCCTTCGAGCAGCGTTTGCGAAGATTCGGGAACATTCTAAGCTCTTTAGCCTCAAGGATCAAGCCGTGGAGGATCGTCTACTACGGGTTATAGGTGGTCCGCCAGTGTGCGAGGACAACGTGTCTTTAAGGTAAGGGAATGTTAAGTCAAGAGTTCTTCACAACGTCGAGTTGTTTGGGAACAAACGTCAAGGTTATAATTTTGGAGAATTTCATTTAGAAGACGTGTTGAGAGACACAGAAGCCAAGGCGTAAGGAGCTATAGACATTGATTCAGTCAATGTCAATGATCTGTCAAGGTATTTGGTCATCGTCTGGGCTAATAGATTTTTTCCGGCATCTACTGCGATCTGAGCCAGGCTTGCCGGGTTACCACCGTCTTCTGCGCAAAGCCTTGCGTTGTCAAGTGTCGTCGCTTCATGAGTTTCTCGCTCGCAAGGAAAATTGGATCTATTCGAAAGCGCTTCAAAGTTCTAAGGGGACCTTTGATGACCATTGTACTTTTGATAGTTTCTTGCGCCAGTTCGTCCAGGACAACGGGAGCAATGGCGATGAGGGGAGCATGGCACCAAACGGACTTTAAGGCTACCACTTCTTATAAGAAGATCGTGTCAATACTTGTCGTGTTTCTGTCTCTGGCCTATTATGGGGAAAGTGTTGTAGGGCTAATCAGAACCGTCATCATGAGGAAAATGTGTTGTGCATTTTTCTGTCGTATATTAACTGCGGTAACTGGAAGAGCTCGTCTAAGGTTTCCAGGAGAAGCTGTCGCGTGCACTGCCCAGTAGATCTGCGGTTCCTTCCTCGTTGACAACTGTGTCTCTCTCGACGGTTCCTTCCTCAGTCCTGTCCTCCAGGATGAATCATAAGCAAGAGCAAACCTCTTCAGAAAGGTCGTCATCTTGGTCCTACGGTATGCTTTTGCGTGGGCGTCCGCAAGCGCGCGACGCTCTGATCGCAAATAATAAGGAGCGTTGCGGCGTTTTTTTCCTGGACGAGCCTTTCGCTGTCCTGCAGCGTGCAAGACACCGGCGAGAACTATTTCTCAAGTGTCTGCGTGCCTACGTGGACACAGACACGTACTAACGCTTTACAGGAAAGGTCCTTCGGGTTCTTGACATATACGGTAATATAATCAGCGTCTGGATTGTCCGCTTATTCGTATCATAGAGGAAACTCGCAGAACAGAGCCATTTCCAGGACAGAACAAACAAGAAGCTTGCGTTGTTCGTCCGTTAAGAGCAAGTGCGTGGCAATGAAAAGATATCAAACGTCAAATGCTTTTATCCCGAAGCAGATGAACTGATGAGTATACCACTCGCCGAGAATGGAGCCTTAGGGGCACATCCGTGCTGGTCATTGATTTACGTGAGTGGTTTTGGATTCAAACAAAACCTAGCGTACTATAGTGACGTTCGCAGACGAGCACCCTCAACTCATGTTTTAAGTCTATATGCACGAGCGTCGAAGTTCTATCGGCCTTGACCGCTATGAGGCAATACATAGGGAAAGCGTGGCAGCGCTGTTCAAAAAGATGATGTGAAGAGAGAAAAAGCATCTACTTGAGTTTTCCTCGTCAACTTTCTGGAATCAATGGCAAATTAATACTCGGTGATGAAGTTTGACTTTATAAGAGGAATGGTAAGGCACATCAAGGCTTGTTTGAGGAGTCTAGCGTGACAGACGAGGTTACTGTTCCTGAGAAAGTATGTTTCTAGACATCTTAGACGATTCTCGGATGAAAAAATTTTCGAGAACGTTAGCGAAGATTTTTCCTCTCGAGAGAAAGGCGAGACGAGTGGTCGGTGAAAAATACCTTTTGATGATGTGTTTCTGATGAGACGAGGAAATCTGTTGGTGTTGTGACGCGATGACACTATGCATATGTGACAGTAGAGAAGAGGAAGAGCGATATATACGAAACGTGGTCAGCATGTAGTGCTATTTCTATTACGTTTACTTGCATTCGTATAATGTGCATGTGGATGAATTTCATGACCAGGTGCTGATCAGACAAGGGAAGTCTTTCAAAAGATTTTCCTCACGATCTCATCAGAAAAAGTTGAGGCCCATTCGGTCAGAGTCTATCGGATCTTATCTGTAGGGCCCATATTTACATGGAGCCCAACAGATCTTATCTGTAGGCTTTACTTCGTGTATAAAGGCGCTCTCATACATAGTGAGTCCTCCGTGTGTTGTAGTGTTTTTTGGAATAGTTTTTTGAAATTCTTTTGGATTTTTTGTTCTAGGAAAGGCTCACTCTTGTAGACCTTTAGATTGAGAAAGTACTACTTACCGCTTTTAATTTTGTTGGGTTAGATTCGCTTCAAAGATGATTAGCTAGCGACACTCTCACAGAGAAAAATAGGTACAACGAGAGTGATACTTTTCTTTTTCGTATAGAGTAAGATAAGAGAGAGCAACATCGTAAAACTAGATCAAGATGATTGCGAAAAGCAATCCATTCATTTCTTTGTACTCGAGTCTCTCAACTTTATACTTGTTTCTATCTTCATCTTTCCCGTTTTCGTTCAGTATTCTAAAACGACACTTGCTAGTACAAACTATTTTACTACTTGATTTTACCTGGATATATTCCAATAGGCAGTATCGCGAGAATGGAGAGCAGGTCGAAGAGCACCAAGGCGCTGTCGCCTGGAGGCAACAGTGACGTCGTCAATGGCAACGAGGTACGCAGTCTCAATAGCGATGACATTCCGGTTGGACCAGCAGATGACAAGGGAAAAGAACAACAAACATTAAGGCCTCGCTCTACTTTTAAACGCTAGAAAGAACTACATGTATTTGCATTCTTTCATTTGTTGCTCAGAAACAGAATTCGAACAAGCTAAGCCTAGGCAGTTCGTGATTCTCTAGATCTAGGAGCGTAGTTATACTATCGACGTAGAGAGGAAGAAGAAGAAAATCTTGAAATCAAACCTCCTTTTCGGAACAAGTAACATAGTAAAGCTTCTTCACTCGTGAGTCTCTCTCTTTCCCGGTCTTGGTTCTAATTTTTGCTGGCAGAGCTCAGATACTTTCGAAAGATGCCAATGCGTCTGGACAGTTTCTGCGCTCGCCGAAGGAGGTAGTGTCTTCTCGCGCTGTTACCGTGGATGCTTCCGGGAGGCGTCAGGTGATCAAGGTGCGGGTGCCCGCAACGAGCGCCAATATCGGTCCAGGCTACGACGTGCTAGGAATGGCCGTGGATCTATGGAACGATTTGACGGTTTCACGCGCAAAAAAGTTCCAGATCACGGTGGAAGGCCAAGGACGCGCGGAAATTCCCACGGATATCGAGCCTCAGACTGTTAAGAGATTGGATCGCCTACTTCAAATTTTGATCAATGGATGTTCACTTCACTAACACTACTTTCGAGCGTTAGAGAATACTTAAAGTTGGATACTTTCTCTAAAATCGATTGCTTAGTTGTTTACCCTCTATTTGTACTTAAAGTTGTACAGTAATATGCTACGTGAAAGTCGTTGTTGGTTGATTAATGTTGTTTGTTTTCCATCATGTTCTCTAGATGGAGCTTCCAGAAGGCCTCCTATGATTCTAATAGTAGAGAGTGCAAGAATTTGGTGGTGAAAGCCTGTCGCAGAGCATACCAACACATGGAACTAGAGATGCCGCCACTGCATTTCCGAATCAACAATCGGATACCTTTCGGAAAGGGACTGGGATCCAGCTCGGCCGCTATTGTTAGGTATTATCATACTTAAGTATGCATTTTCCAACAGCAGGGACATGTGTGTGTTGTAAGGAAGTAGTGTTTCCGTTGGGATGTAGACCAATAACCTGAGGCACCCTGACATGACACGACATGTGTGTGATGATCACGAATCAGTAATTTTTGGAGTACTGCATTTGGGATACCATGACGATGATAATTATCAGCCCCTACACATAATGTGTATGTCGTTCCCTACTTCGAATTCGATATCGCTGCACTATCAACAGCGTGATCACTGATATTTACATGATGATCACATGACAGTGGGCTGCTTGCTGGTTTGGCGTTGGAAGATCGGACCGCATCCCTGGATAATGAGGAAGAACTGTTGCAATTGGCTTGTGAGATTGAAGGACACCCTGACAATGTTGCCCCATGCATCTATGGTGGCATGCAACTCGGATACTCGATCACAGCGGCAGAGGCAAAATTGTACGATCGGCGTCGCGAGTTAAGCGGTGTGTCTCCGTACAAAAACGGACCGTTCGAGGACGGGCGCTTTCGATCTCGCGAATCCCCGGTGGAAGGACAGCAGTTGTTCACTAAAGTACCGTCTCCACCACCAGCACTGAATGATGGTAAGATTTGGTGCACGTCGCGAGTGCGGTTGCCATTATTAAGGCTGTGTGTGAACATCATACTTAATTTCACGACCACGAATTCAAAGCTGAAAATATCATAATTGATTTCACGGCCAGAAATTCAGCGACCACGATGAATTCGTCAGATCATTCATATATTGTCAAAGGAAAAAAGAAAATGGATTATCGTAGTTGGACTGACAGGAAATACTTTTTCTTTTTTTTGAAAATCTACGAATCACAAGGTGGTTATCGTAGTTTGTGTATGGTCAAGGTGTAAATAGTAGATGAGGTTCATCTTCTAATACGAGGTTTGGTTTGCGTTGTTTTCACGCCATTCCACGCTACAGAAACAACGCTGGCGCGTGGATTGCTGCCAGATGTGATACCAAGGGGTGAAGCGATTTTCAATATGAGCAGGCTTGCGCTTTTGATCAACGCATTGCAAGACGACAGACATGATCTGCTGCGAATTGCAACACAGGACGCTCTGCATCAGGACGCGCGCGCAGCGAAAGTTCACAGACACTTGAAGCCTGTCATTGAGGTGCCAGCTTTTTTTTACACTTCTAAATGTCTCGTTTCAACATCATGGATTCTTCTAGTATCCACTCTGTACCTATAACTACTTGTGCGTGTACGAATGTAGTACTTATGTGCTGATGATGTTCGAGTTCTCCGATTCACGTTATTTTTGTCTGATGGTCTGGAGTCGGTGCACTTTTTCTTTTGTTTTCCGAATCACGGTTTCAAGTGGCGCTTACTTTTCTGGCAGATCTAACTATATTGACGGGACTCAGTCAACCTAACTACATTGGCTGGCAACCCTAAATCATTCAGGGATCGCGAGCGTGCAGCTACGACTTGTTTACTTAACTTTTGCGTATTTGGTACTTGTAGCTCTATTTTCATTGAAATAGTCTTCTCAATCAGGCGGCGCTCGCAGCCGGGGCAAAAGGTTGTTTTCTATCGGGTGCTGGTCCCTCGGTAATGGCCTTCTGCAGTGGGCGGCAAGGTGACGTTTTTACGCAGACGAACAGGGAGCGAACCGAGCAGGAGGTCGCAAAGGCGATGTTGAAAATTGCAGACTCCATGGGATGCAAGGGTGAAGTACTGATAACCGTCCCAGTTGATCATGGTGCGCATGTCGTTGCTTCAGATTCGAATCTCGGAGAAAAGACGGGCCTCGCGAGCGAGAGCCGCATCCACTACGTGCTGAATCAGCGTTAATGTCGCCCAGGTTTGTGTAGACGCTGACAAGATTGTCCTTTGCTTTTTGCAATGGCGATCCGTGGTAGTAGAATTTCGTTCCTGAATTTCTTACTACGTAGCCTCCACCATCGTCGTCTAGATACTAAAGATGTGTAGCGAGTGCGAATCGGTATTACCTCTTCCGCAAGGAAATCGGGAAGCCGAAAATTAACTTAACGTATCTGCGTTTGAGATTATAGTGTCTCTTATTTTGTTTATTCAAAAAAATTGAAATATTTATATTGCTGTCTACCAGGGAGGTCGAGTATAAGTCTTTGCTGCTGCTATCCTATTCCTGGAGATAGTATTCCTATTCCTAGTATCAGCCATGTAGTTCTAGGTAGACAAAGAATTTAGTACGTGTTTTGTTTTTGAAACAGAAATTTAGAGGTGAGTGCCTCGTCTTTGACTCTTGGCTACCTGCCTCTCCGATAATACTGGAGTTTTCTTTGATAACGGCTGTGACTGCGCGGTCAATATTAGATCTGCTGTCTGAATTAGAGGATGATAATGTGGCTATTGTACTACGAGTTTGTTACTACTACAATTACCGGAAATCGTGCATGTGAAGCTTACCGGAAATTGGAGTCGGTCTATAGTCTCTTCGTAATTAGTCATGTGACTTAGATTTCATTTTGTAGATATCAGTTTTGTCAATATTGATGTGCTTTTCTAATATGATTTTGATTTCTTTGAATTAGTTGTCCTTGTGTACTTAATCAATTTCTCAATTCTGATTGAGTCTGAGTGATTAGCCTCTTATTTTCTCTTCTGATGGTTTTTTCTATTCATTCCCTGTGTCGTTTTGTGTAGTTTTGCAACTTCTTGTTGTCCTAGTCGCAAGTGTTGGTCACTACTCTGTGCTAATGGTGTTGCATTTCCCTTGTTCTATTTATCCCCGTCACCGCAAAAGTACTATCTAATACGGGATGTGTCTTGTTGTGAGAGATTTCCTTCGTTCAGCTAGGAATCCAGACAATCTCGATGTGAAGCATAGCAACAAGACAAACTCAATCGTGTGTAGTCAGCTGAGCTGAATTACTTATTCATGTCCTGAATATTCTGATTCTTCGAGGGCTGATTTCTTTGCCTCTTTCGCGTTCTCGGGTCATCCCAATCATGTTTCATGTTCCTAAGTTTACCACAAAAAAATAGGTACGAACGATGGATATACTCTGATTTGAGTCAGTCCTTTCGTCGCCACTCACCGCCTCATGGTCTTTTGAGACGCAGGGCGCATGCAAGTTTAGGGCGATGCACTACAGTAGACCGCTGTTTGTGCCCTTCGCGTTTTTCCCTCACAGCTTAATGCTAGTTCATCGATCTGGTGACCACGTACATAAATCAGGGTGCCACCTTCACGACGTGGGGCATATTTAGTTCGTGTGTATTCAGATGTCAAAGGATCTGTCTCAGACTAATCCATTTTTCCAGCTTCATGACTGTTTTTTAAAGTTGTGATTCTTCAGCCATTCACCCTCTGCCTAGCTCCCTTCTTCCAGCCAACTTCATATTTATTTTTACTTTGGGATGATGATTTGTCATATGACTAGAATTTCCACTAGAATAGCAAAAACATACAACTTCATATTTTTGCTGACACTGTTGATTGAATTTGAAGGTTGCTACATCGGTTTGCTTTCTAAGCCAGGAGTAAAATGTAAACGTGGGTAAATCCGCGGAAGGCACCGATGATTCGATCCGATGTAAGTACACTATTTATGATAGCCTAGGGGTGGTCGGGTATAGCTTTAGGAAAACTGGGTGTCGCAATAATATACATAGTTACAACTTAGTACCCCCTCTTTAATATAGTACATGTGTCGCGTCGCGCCCCATCGTTTAGGATGATAGATCACCTTGCTAACGATGCTGGTACAGAATTATGGAGAAACATGATCACTATGTATAATCAACAACACTAATACAACAGGAATTTGGTGAGTTATCTTCGCGACTTTTGCGATGATATACAGAACTACGACACATATCTCTCGCGCTGCCACCCTCGTCAAGAGCTGTTCTGTTCGAAAAAATTCGGTCTCTGATTGATCTCTGGCAAAGTGAACGGATTGGAAAGCGCGCAGTAGAGCAGGTTCGGTTCAACGAGAGAGGGACCTGATAATCATGACTTGGGTTCGATGCACCGTTGTTGTTAGCATTGTGATCTGTCATGTCTCTTAAATCGACATAATTCGTCCTCCACCTCCGCGTGCGTTCATATATTTATTCTGTCTTTTATGTCGGGTCAGTACCCCCTTCGATCTTGTTCTTCCGGAGTCGCGATTTTTCCGCGGTGGATTATGTTGTAATCGACTGTGTCGATGTTCGGTCTACTCATCTCTTGTCCAAGCTTCGAGACTTCCAAGCAACCTGTCGTACGGACTAATTGCTTGCTTGGAGTTTTTGACTTCTTTTTAATATTCAAATCATCTTATATATAGTTCATTCAAAAGCGCGGTTTTATGATGTAGTGAAATCGTGTGCTGAAATGTGGTAGAAGGTGACATTAATTATGCCTTCACTAGGTACTCTCGCTAGTGCAGTCTTAGATGGGCATGCTTCTCACAGCCATGTCCGAAATGGGTCTCTTTCTGGCACAGAAGAATGGACCTCTCGCATGGATTCAGAAGGCGCGCCCGCGAAGCTGGAACCTTGGGAACTTGCACGAGCAGCGAGTGCAAAAGCTGTCAATGGAGGTAAGACGTCGTTTGCTCCTGAGTCCGCGGAGACGCTCGCGAGTGTAAACGATAGCAAAGACGCAACCTCGGGCAAGACTGGTGAGGCACAGGCTGGTGATGCGGGTAGTGCGGCTAGTCCTCCGGCGACTGATGTAGTCACGGGCGCAGACGGCGGGACGCCAGATGAGGGAGGAGAAGCGGAGGTTAAGCTGGATCAAGGATTCGTAGACGACCAGGGGAAGCCTTGGTGGGAGTTTCTGTTTCAAAATTGGAACTTTGGAGGTTTTGAGGCTGTCCCGAAACAACGTCGAGACAAGAATTTGCTCGGTGACCCGCTGTCGCCATGTGTGCCTGCCGCCCAGTCTGCGTCCGGGCGCGACGAGTACTGTGTTTTCGAAGAGGAGCCACGAATGCGACGCGAAGCGGAGACTGAGCTCGATCTGAGGAGCACAGACACGACCGAAGACCGCATTCCACCTCAGCGACGGATGATTTGCGTAGCGGACGGCGTTGACGGGGATTTTCTTGTCAAAAGACGCAAGAAAATCGGTCCGCCGGAATTAGAGCAGCAGCCGGACGACAAACCTGGGAAAAGAGGAAAGAAGAGCAAGAAGAGCGGCAGCAAAAGTAGCCCGCGGAACATGAAAGAGAAGCAAGGCGGCCGTGCTGCATCCGCAAAGCATGGAGACGGGGACTCGAATGGTCCGGAAGGAGGAGAAGGAAAGAAAGAAAGTGTTGAAGAACAAATGCTAATGTTGAACGATGACGCTATGCCAAAGGACAGTGACCACGAAATTAGCGGGTTCGCGCCTTGGCTTTTCGGGCACTTATTCGGGAGCTGGGGTTTGTCGCATTTCGGTGGAAGCCGCGAGAAGCTAATGGCTCAGCTTCAGCATTGGTATGGTGATGTAGCAGCATTTGGAAAGCCGGATACAGCTTCAAAAGCGCCTGGAGGAAAGAAACGAGAGGGGCGAAAAAATGCGGGGATGGATCTGCTGCGAGGACTGAGTGCAAACTTGTACGCAGGTGGAAGTGGTTCAGCGGGTGGCCTTCCTGGACGTCCTGCTGTCCGGCACTGCGTCGGTGTGGAGTGGTACTTTCGTGCGCTCAAGTGCGCGAAGTATTTTGACGAGAAAGCAAGACTTTTGATGGAAGAGAATGCTCAGAACGCGGAGGAACCGCATACAAGAAAAGGAGCTAAAGGGAACAAGAAGTCGAAGATGAAGGGAAAAGCGCAGAAAATAGAGGGGAATAAAGGAGATGACGCATCAGAAGACCCAGACAGTAAAGTGCGTTTACGACGCGTACCCCGGGTCGATGTGCTTGCTACGAACCAACGCGTGGAGCGTTATCACAATTTCTCATTGAACTTCTTTGAAAACTGCAACAAGACGGGTGGACGGGATTGCCAACCCCGCGACACTGATATAGCGCCCGAAGTTGATACCCCTGCACAGAACAAGGCCGACCAAACTTCTCAAAAGTCTTCATCAAGTAACCCACATGCAGTGGGTGATGCAGGGGATGTTGGAGACGGGAAGATGCAGCACGGCAAATCCGATGAAGGAGGAAAGGCAGCGGGAAAGAACTCTAAAAATGGAGGAGATGAAGATAGTAAGGGGAAGGTTGAACTTGCTGAGATCTCCGGTGAAGAGTTTGACGCACTTTCAGAGGGTGCAAAGCAGCATCGGATTCTGCGTCATGGCCGGCTGCTTCAAGAACTCGCAGAAATGGAACAGCAGAAAGTTCGAAAACAAATCATCACAGGGCCTTTGGATGACTTCATCGAGATTGACACGACTGGGCGGCTATCGACTAAAGGCGCAAAATTTTTAGAAGAGTTGGAAAAGAAGTGGGGCGTGATAGTAAGCAGTGGCGCCCGCCTGGCCTTACGCGAGAAAACAGAATGTGAGTGGGCGTTTCCCATTAAGCCTCTATCATCGGTGCAGGTCGACGCCGCGAAGTGGCATCGGGAGCGCTGGCGCCTCGGTGAGCAAGTGCGAGCAGCCCAGGAGAAAGAGAGTTAAGATCGAGCAGCTAAAAAGTTGATTATCCTTTTGAGAAGTAAGTAGAAGTCTGAAAACAGAAGAAAACTTTCACTTTGGTGCCACTCAATTTTGTCAGTCATCGACTGTCGCCTGATATTTGTGCAGGAGAATGAATTGGAGAGCAAGAGGAATATATTCTTATCCTAATGCTATTACTAATGATTTACGATCCCTTGTTCTAAGCCAAGTCGCTGCTCGTCGCCTACGATAATGCGTGGCGGAACAGTTGCGTTTCCGAGGCACGTAGCGGGGGCCGAACAGAGTGTGGGCGCACGCCGGAGAAGTCACGGGAAATTCGTGATCTCGCTAGAGAGCTAGCGCTGCAAAGGCACGTCCGAATACAACTGTCGACCCGGCTTTGCAATTATGGCCTGTCACAGTGCTGTGAATGATGTGGTAGAAAGATTGTCAACCTTGTAGAGTTTTTTCTTGCAAAGATGCATAGTCAAAGCACTAAAGAAAATAGCGGGCGTATTTTCCCTCGTCTTACTCGCTTCATCCAATACATAGACGCCGGCAGGTGGTACTTGTGTTGTGGTATACCTATGAAGATGTAGTTGTGCAGTTCGTTGTTCGACACTCTAATATCAGCTTAGCGGACAGGCGCAGGTTTCGGTTAGCGAGCTAGAGAACTACAAGAAGGAGCAGGAGCGGGCTCTCGACTTGCCGTGGCGTTACACAGCGTGGGAAAAAGACACAAACTATGACAGTTTTTCCGTTTCGTCCGAATGCCAGAAACTCTTACCTGAAACAGCAGCTAAATAGAAAAAGTTAATTGGATCGATGTCGAAAGTCTTCAATTACTTAGTTGCTTACAAGGCGACAACTCTTGCTCATCACGTTCACGTTAAACGAACCCTGTTGTTGTAGCCAACGGCTTGGGTTGCACTAGTCGAGCCTACCGGCACTTCTTGGGTCTGACTCGTCATCTTGTGAGAGAGCTGCACACAAGGTCAATGGAAGAGGAAAGAGGGTCCTCTAAGGCTGATTGGGTAGGAACATGTGGTGGGGTGTCATATCTACGAACGTTCTGAACATGAGTGAAGTGTGAGAGGTGATTTGTCGGTCACGGGGACAAGTTGATAGATCTGATCAACAGCGGAAAAACTGCAGATGTGGATCTCATCCGGAAGATCATCTTGTCATGCTTGAGCAGCAGATACTTGTGTTATTTCTTGTCGGAAAAATTTTCAGGAAAATTTGATACTAGTAAAAGGAGAGAAGTAACACGTGCTAGATGAACAAGCAAATAACCTGATATGTTTGCAGTATCTTATTAGCGATACAAGACACGGGGGAAATTTTTTTTTGCCAAACACATCTTCCAACGGCATAATTGTTCCGCCATTTTTATCGTGGTCTAATGGTCACCAATGCATGGTTGTGATCGTCACTGTAAACATGTCGATGCATTGTGTTTTCACAATGATTGAGTGCACACTCTGGAAATTCAAATTTACTTAATGAAAAACAAAAGGGTGAGACGGATGCGGAAGGGCGAGGTCGATGGTGCTTCCTCATCAGGTTTTCTGCCGCCCTCGCGCCCGATGGCGCGACGCACTAAACGCCAGCCTTTTCTGTTCCAGGGCCCTATGAGAGGGCGGGAAAAAAGCATTGGATAATAAGACGACTACAGTACGCTGCTGGTGGAAGTTGATGGTCAAGGCGAATTTTCTACTCGTGCTTTCTGGCGGATAGCATTGTTGGAAGAGAATGCTGGTGCCGTCTAGTCTAGAGTTACCCGCTCACTACGAGTTTTTCTGGGATGAGAAGGTTGACGCAGACGAGGCTCCGACGTTCGGCGACACGGTTACAGGCCATTGGACGTTGGTGCCAGGGTTAGCGCACGATCCCAGCTCTGCTCCTGCCTCGAGCCTGAGCAGTGTTTTCTTGTCCTTCGTTCCCGGTGCCGCACTGGATAGCAATGGTCCCTCTTCGTTCCCGCAGCGGGAAGGTGAAAAGAATCAGAGAGCAAGGAACAGTGCAATAGCTGCATACAGCGATCAGTCACATCGTGGTTCTGCAACTACATCTTCTCACCAAGTGTCGAGGCGGGTGACCTTACTTGTGTGCCGCAAAAGGGATCGTGATCAGGACATGGTTGCGCGGCGCGGGGTCCAAAATCTGGCCAGAATAAAACACCCGAATTTTCTTGATGTCCTGGTGCCACTCCAGGAGAACGAGCAGGTGCTTTATTTTGTTACCACGGAAGTGATCGGGACTCTAGCGATGGTGCAGCGAGGCCTGCAGCTCAACTACAGTGCTACGAGCAAATCGAATTATGCCATAGATGTCATAGACTGCAGGTGAAGGATTGACTTTGACGTAAGTATGTATGTACTTAGACTTACTTTATTCATCTTCGGGTCTCATCTCAAAAAAGAAAGTCAAAGTAGTTGTAATTGTATGGTGTGGAGCACTCTTCATACTTTGGGTGCAGTTGTGGAGGAGCCATTTGCGCTTACGGATCTCGAGATTCGGAGAATCCTGTTCACGCTGTGTCGAACCTTACAGTGGCTACATCGCACCGTGAGGATGCTGCATCGTCGCCTCTCGTCCGACTGTGTCTTCATCGGGGCCGGCGGAACTGTGAAAATTGCAGGACTCGGTTTTTCAGCTTCATTACGGTGCTTTCGTTGTACTCGTAACTCAAATCCAGGTTCTTCACAGTGATTGTGCTTCCTCTTACTGTGATCGGTGATATTCGGAGATCATATTACTTAAGTTGAATTTATGCCACTAGAAAAATTGTTAGGAAAATTGGATTGATCTCTAATTCCTAGTGAGCCAGCGCAAGCGTTCGAAGACGAACCCTCCATCGCGCAGGTCTTATGCGGTAACGCAGTGTGCTCGTCGCTACCACGCGAAGTTTATCGAGGAGAAAAGTTACGGTGTCAATATGTTATTTCGTAGGACTTATCCATAGATATTGGATTGATAGAGCTAGGCCTTTTTTTCGATTCGTTGCTACACAGATGAGTAAGAAAAGTGAGAAGTTGTGAATTCAAGAAGCAAGACTAGAAGAAGCAGCGTGATGAAAAGCTACTGCTAAAATCTGGAGATTCGAAAACCGACATCTTCGGTCTTGCGGTGATCATGGCGAATTTCTACTGCTTTCCGGTATCGCATCTGAAAAAAGGCATATCCATTGTCTTTCAAGACGAATATTACAAGTCGTAATGATCCATGAGACTACTCAAAATACAACAAGCGTTTTAGTACTACTTCTACTCCTGACTGTCCCAACCCGTTACTCCCACGTTCCAGGTCGCTCGCGATAAGCTAGCACAGATTGAAAAATCTGTGTCCGGCAGTGATCTTCTCGTGGTAAAGTTACTGCAGCAGAACCTCCAGTCGGAAGCTAGAGAACGGATGTCACTGAGGGAGCTTCAAAATTCAAGTTTTTTCAAGGCTGAGCCCTTTGGTTTGATTCGCAAACTCGAACGTGCAGAAGAGGTCATCCTCGGTTTGCATGCGAACCAAGACGAGCCAGATAGGAGCGGCGTGCCGACGAAAGGTATTGCTTTGTTTTTCCGGACTCCTAAGATCGATCTGCTCCCTATTACCGAGTACCTGCGATTGAGTTTTCATCTAGGCTACTCGGTTATTTCGGTTTTTCGAATATATCAAAGCACTGCCATTTTGAAGTTCGAATACGCGAATTGGCTGTCCCATTTCGGGCAGTGGAGTACGCCCAATTTACTATTTTTGCTGTCTAGGAGCGCGCCGGCCACAAGCGTGAGAGACCGCCAGAGCAAAACTTTATAGGCCCACTTACAGTTCGGGAGTCTTGCAAAATTTCCAAAAGTGTCCATTTTTGAGGTTTTGGCCATTGCCGAAAGCAGGGCTCGTGACAAATCTCTCTTTAGTTCGCTACTTCCGCTCCTGAATGGTCATGCAAAGATTCGCTCTTACATCTTCCTCCTAACTCTTACATCTTCTACTATGCCTTACATCCTACTCTTTTACATCCAATAATACAGGTCCTGACTTCATCAAGTGGTTTGTGGATCGAGAGGACACGATTGACACTGCTGAGTACCGCTATGGAGGCGAAGTTTTCCTCCATCCACTGGAGACGCGCGCTACACCTGTTCGCGACGTGCTTAGGGAGTACGAGAGTCAGCTGACGCTCATGCTAGAACTTATGGCCGCAAAAGGAATGTTTAGAAATGTTTCTGGACCGGCGTGAGTGGGTAGGCTGATAAAAAATATTGATATTCATTTTCACAATGGAGTATCTTCAGGTCTTTGACAAGCAAAGCCATTAAGATTTATACGTATGTTTATAAGGGAAGGCATTTAGTTCTTGCTTCGTTATGATCATACATTCTCTAAAACAAGAAAGCTTTTCCCCTTGTTTGCCACGTTATGGCGTCAAAGTCACCGCATTCGTCCGCAAAAGGTCGCCGATATGGACATTTTGTTGTGCCTTGTTTTCTGTGGGCGTGGTGATGCGTCGACTTTGCTACCTGTGACGGGTAAGAGCAAAAGGTGTCTATTAGAGGCGGTGGAGGAGGGATTGAGTCAGCCAGGAGATCTAGCAAGCAATGGTTTTGGGTCGTTTCTGCCCGCGGTTTCTGGCGCGGGCAGCGGTGGACCCCGAGACGTTTCACCACGAACTAAACCGCACCAGATGACTGAGCATGCCGAGCGCGGAATCTTAGATCGGGAACAAACGGTTTTGTCCTGCCTGCCCGAGTTGGAATCGTTGCTGGCCGAGAGCGAGGGCTGGCGACGATTGGTGTTCCGGTTGAGCCGACGCGCGTTAATTCTAGCGGACGAGTCTTGTGAGGGGATCGGAACTAGCTGGAGAACGCCACCATCTGGATATGTACATCCGCCTAGAACGACTGCACAGCGATTGGAGCGCGTGCGTCGCGCTGTGTCTGCGCTCTGCGGCCTCGTGCGAGCCGGTGATCGTGCGGCTGTGCGCGTTGGCAGTCCGTCCACGGATCAGCGCAGCGAGGGTTCGACGCCGGGCTTGTCTCCCTCGTTGTCTCCTTCTTCTGGTGGTTTGCATGATAAATTGGGAGCCGCTCCTTCTGGCGGCAGCGGTACGGCCTTGTCGAGTAGTACGAGAACAGGCATCTTCGGTCTGCCGGTGCTGCAGGATGGACGGTACGACGCACGAATGCGCGGACGGATGACTCAGAGCAGCTCATTGGGTAGCAACCCGACGTTGGAGTCGGAAAATAGTCGGGATCGGCTCCATGCGGTGGGTTCGACAACGAGCCTTCTCAGAGGCAGCAGCAGTGGTGACAGCCCATTAGTGAGCCGCGAGCCGAGTCTGACTCGACTCGCACTCGCCGCGAAGACCGGTGAGTCAGCGTTTTTGACCCAACGACTGTTGCATTCGAGGCCGTGGTCGCGAGAGAGCGTTCCTTCGGTCCGGAACAGCGTTGTTCTTCCGGCCGCACATTTGTTGCTCGAGGTACATGACTTTTTAGACTCGCGGCGAGATGAGGAACTGAGCGATCAAGAGCTGCTGACCGAGGTGGAGCGAGCGTATGTCTTTTCGCTGCTTTGCATCCAGCAAATTTTAGAATACTTAACGCGAGAGGAGCTCCTTTTGGAGTTACTGCCGTTGATTGTGCATTTCGCACGACGTTTTGCGCACGCTGTACACGGCTTCGCGCCCACTGGAGGTGGTAGTTCCAGTCATTTGGTGCATCTGCGCGGGACGAGTGGCCACGGCCCAAGCATCGCGGTCAGTGGGGGACTCAACAACTTTGGTCCAGTACCAGCTGGAGACCACCACGATATGCCGCGCGAGCTGCTTGAGGACGTCTTCTTCGGTGGGCGGGAGCCTCTGGCCCAGAGCCGGTCGTCAATGCAGGTGAACCAGCACAGCTTTGGCGGATACAGCCACATCGAAGATTCTGCTTCAGGGGAAGGCAACGCAAATGGCCCCGTGAGTTGTGTGGCCCCTGCGTCCTCCGACAGCAGTGAGAGCCTGCAAGAATCTGGAATGAGCCGCGAGCCGAGTTCCGGGTCCTACGTTGGCTTTGCGACACTGAAGGAGCGAGGAGATGACAGTTTGGAGTTGTCGCATGCATCTAGGGATGCACGAAACAACAATGATAAGATGGAACCTGCTAGCAGTGGTGGTACTGATGGCGCACCAAATAAGGCTCAGCTTAGTCGGACTGCCAGCGGGAAGCGCATGGGAACGCACCATGAGCAGACCTATCATCCTTCTTTTGGATTGAACGATAGCGGCTTCGCCAGGACGACCGCGGTGCGGCAGGTGGATTCAAGTTCTTCGTTACCCGTGTCCGGAACCAGCGGAAGTACCGTACTGGCAACGCCGGCTGCATTGCTAGCGATCTTCGAGTTTTTCCACAAAGTGCGTCCTTTCGTAGGAGCCAATGTCACTGCGACAGTGTTGCTGCCCACTCTAAGCACCTTGTACGTCTGCCCGGCGATGGGAATGCTTTGTCGGGAAGAGCGTGCATCCTGCTCATGGATTTTCAAGGGTATCCTCCGCGAAATACAAGGCCGTCAGAGCACCATGGACCGCCCTCGCAAGCCTGCGGGCTGCAAAACATACGCGCACTACCTGGAAAACTACTTTCCTCAGAGCAATCTGCTGCACCGCAAAATGGATGCGCACGGGGCAGGTATTATGCCGCGGCTCAAAGAAGAAGCAGGATCGAAAAGTGAAAGCGCATCTTCCGATACTAGAAGTCCCGTGGCCGTGGGAGGGAAGGATGATGGGAAAGACGAAATAGTGCTGTCCTCGGATGGAAATCCTCTGGAGCTCAAAAAGAATTCCAGTAAGCGTGCTATGGGCGAGGAGAGCAGGTCAGCAAACTCAAGTTCTTCCTTTGAGACAGCTGGCAACGTGACTCCCGAGAAGGGTACGAGAGGTCATGAGAAGCCCGGCGAATCTCGTGCAGCTGACGCAGCCATAACGGACGACCTTCCGGAGAGGGACAATCTTCTGGCATTGAATAAGAGTGACAGTGACCACCGGGCAGAGATCGGAGTCTCGCTCGAGTTTGAAGTGACAGAAGATTCGTCAGCGGAGGATCGTTCGTCAATCGACGCAACCCTTGGAGACGTGGGCGCGGTTGCACAAGAAGACGGGCCTCTGGATCTTGAGAGGCTGCGCAAACGCGCACTGGAGAGTGCTATGCGTGAGATGCGGGCAGCTTTGGGTCCTGGGACTCCGCCTTCGTACGAGGAGACACCCGCGGGGTCGCCGCTCGTGAGTACACGGCACTCGGGACGTGACAGTTTCGGCTCAGGAACCGAGGACCCGAGCTTCGCAGCGCGAGGAAATCTCCGGGTCGCTGCCGCCATTCCGACGCGGCAAAGTAGCAGTTGCGCCTCGGACGATGCACTTGCTGAGCCCGGAGGACGAGGAAGTTCTGGCAATGCCACGATGCAGAATAGTCGGGGTCGTTCTGAAACCTTCTTCGATCTGGCTAATTTTGGCACTAGCAGTTCCGATCTGGGAGACATTCGCCTCGAGGTGCAGACCGGCAAGCCCCTGTCGTTCGAAGAGAAGAAAACGAACCTAGACGCTGTGTGGGCTGTGGCTGACTTCCCGGAGAGCAAGCTGGAGGTCGCGGCAAGGTGCATTGCCGAGAGGTATGCAGCGGTGCGGCGGCGGCGAAGGGATGCGGCGCACTGGGCCACGCAGAAACGAGCAGTCGCGTTGCTGCAGCGAAACTGGCGGCGGGCTCTCTACGCTCGAGACCTTGCCGAAATGCGAAAAAAACGAGTGCGGCAATCAGAAGAGTCCAGGCCTAAACTTCAGTCGCATGGCAGTTCGTCCTCTTGCGTAAGTGCAGGGTTCACTGTTGATCCTGGAGGAACGCAGCGAGATCGTCCTCTGAAGACTGGTGAAACTGGAGATGCCGAGGTTGAGAAGAATGAAGAAACTGCGGAAAGCGAAGCCCAAAGAAGCGAGAAAAAGGAGCGACGACAAAGCGCGAAAAATATAGATGACGTTGATGCAGTCGAGGGGCATCACGAAAGTAATAAGCGGGTTGAAGATCATAGCGTGAATAGAAGTTCTTCTAGCAGGGGAGGTGGAGACTCGAAATTCCGTGACTTTCGACGTCGCCAGCAGGCACGACGTGCAAACTTCGCTGATTTTGATTCCTTCTTTGCTGGTTCAGAATCTCCTTTAGCAAACGGAAATGTTGCGTCCTTCTACAGTCTGCAGGGTCATCAGGAAGGGCTCTCTGCTCCACATCGAGGCCGTGCAGAAGGAAGTAGCATTCATGGTGGTGGTTTCAAAGGTAAGAGCGGCCTCGTCGAAGGAGCTGCATTTGGCGCGACCAATTGTGCGGGCTCAGCAAAGGGCACGCCAGTCGCTGGACTGGCTGCGCCGGGCTTTTTACCACCGCCACGACAGCATGCCAAGGAACGCATAGTAACAGATTTCGACCAGGTAAAAGCCATAGAGGTCTTTAAGTCTGACGATGATGAAGACGCGGACGAGGCGGAGCCAACTGTGTTCACAAAAGAGCAGGTGGAGCGCCTGGCGGCGCGTGCTCAAGGACTAGAAGCGGAAGAGGCCGAGGCAGAGAAGCGACGGAAGCTGGCATTAGCGCGACAGCGCATGCTAACACAGACAAACGCCTATGAGGCCGCAGGAGGAGTCAGCACGTCATCAGACGATGACGACACCCCTGACGGTGGAGGAGGGTTTTTCGACGTGATGACGCAGCTTGGCGCAACGCTTGTCGCGACGGGCGCGGGACAACCGACTAAGGACGTGGAGCCAGACACGCATTTTGCAGCTGCCATGTTTGATGACGGCGGGCTAGTAGCTGGGGCAGCGGACGATCTGCCCCTAGATGAACACGACGACGGAGACCTCCCCTACGAAGGCTTGGGATTGCTGGGCGACGTCGATGAGAAAGGCGACGGCAACCTGGGTTTTTTGTCGGAGAACGCCGGACTAGATCTTGTGAATGCACATCCAGGAGACTTGGATGCAAGCATTGCGCCAGACGACGCTGGTAGCGCGGCTGAAGTAGAAGACGGCGAGAATGGGAATTCCAGTCCTGACCGACTACGGAGCAAGGCTGGTGAAGGAGAAGGTGCGTCTCGTATACAAACGAAGTCGTCAACAACATCAAGTTCAAAACAAGGCATCGCGGCCCGAGAGGAGGATGAAACAGCGAGCGAGAGAGATGTAGCAAAAAGTACTGCGATGGAACCGACATCTCCAAATAGGGCACACGCACACAGGAATGCAGGTCCAACGACAGACACAGATTCCGCTGCAAAGGTGCCCGCCGCATCACTCTCGAACGATAAGAAAGGACCCTCAGGAGAGGGAGGCGTTGACGCTGGCATTGTAAAATCGAAAGCAGAAGCAAGTGCAGTTGCAGAAGAGCCAGGGAATGTTGAGAAACGAGGCGTCGGCGTCGCGCCGCAACGATTGCAAACAGAGGAGTTTGGCCTGGGGAGTGAGTCGCTCGATAAAAATCCTGGTGTTGCTGGTAGTCGTGCCTCGCCATCCCGTAGTTCTGGACAGCGGTCTGCTTTCAGTGGTCTGGCGTCAGGAGAGAAGCTGAGGCCACAGCCGTCCTCCTCTCCTGCTAATCGTGGCGTATCGGCTGGCGTGCCCAGCTCCCCGTCTAGAATAGCGAATCTGGCTGAGGGCGACGCGATAGTTGATGACGAAGTAGCCGTCCAGGGCGATGCGGATCACGATGCACTGGCAGATAGGCGTATTAACAAAATAAAATCGGACCACGGGTCACCCTCGATGGAGCCAGAAAAACTCGATTCTCCCCAGAAAGTTTCTGGAGCGGCTCTGTGGCGTGATGACGGGAGCCCAGTATCGTTATCCTCGGGAGGGCGAAAGAGCAGCGTTCTGGAGTCGAAGGAGACAGGGGACCACGATGAAGGTATGGCTACCGCTTCCTCAGATGATGACGACATCGTTGAATGATTTTTGTTGTTCGCTTTCTTCGAAGAAACATTTTCAGATATCTGTAGGTTTGACAATTACGTGCTGTGTTAGTTGCTTGCTTACTTATAATTCCTTTCTACACGACGTATGACTTCATGCTTAGATGATGCAGATGCATCAGCAGCAGCAGCTTGCGTTGCTAGGATACTATTTTAAACCCATGTAGCAGCTTTTGACTCATTTTATACGTTTTTGTTTACTTTTTCTGATCCATTGATGCAAGCAAAGTAGGCTTTCTCCTGACGTGGAGAATGAGCGTTGGAAAATGTGTTTTCCGTTGTTTCAAGAACACCGATTGTTGATGCTCTTTTCTTGTTGCTTCAGAGTTTGCAAGAGAAGAAAGATTTTCAATGCGTGGATTCCGGGGAAGTAGCAATACGCTTGTAAGCTGTTCAACAGTTGTACAGTCGGCAAAAGTAGGACACGTGAGCAATCTTGATAAGAATGACATGATGAGCAAGACCATTGAAACGTTGTAAGTCAAGCATTGAATGACCACCATGAAGAGCATCTAAGGAAATTAATCTGAGGTCAATTCTTGAGTCACACACATATACAAAGATAGACAAAAATGATGAATTCCAACAACGCGGCGGACCAGAAAGCAGTAAGGACCGCGTTGTTGCGAGGAAAAGGCTCATTAAGCAATGCCCTTTTTCGATCGACGGCTTGCGCGCGGAGGTGAGTGATGTTTTGGGCTACGGCGAAACTTTGGCCTGTGCCCTCGAGAGCGTAGACACTAACTTCTCAAGTTTCATGCAGCTTTCGCGCGTTGACGAAAACGGGCGCCACAAAGCGGTATCCGTCATGCAATTCGCAAGCATGGTCGACGATCCTATTCCGTTTAGGATATCTGCAAAGCCTTAGGGACGATTGCTGTCTCTCTACTAGGACGGAGAGTATGAAATGAATGCCAGCACTCCTTATCTGCATGATCAAACCAAGTGTGCCTTTTTTCTCTTTGCGAACGACTTCGTGACTTTTCTAAGCTGGACGAATTACGATCAAGGAAGCACTTGATGTATCCGAAAGAATGAATCAATTAATCGAACTGAAATACATTGCAAAAACACTAAGTGTTTTCTGAATTTGATATGTATAATCACAGGACTGCCCAATTTCCAATGATGTGCCTGTCATACTCCATTGAATTTCCACTCGCCGCAGGAGGCTTGACTTCTATTGTTGATACTGCAAATTCTCATCACTACTTTAGTGTTAGTGAAATGTCTCACACGTTGCCTCGATCGCGCGCTCTACATGAGTTGTCAGCCTTATCACTAGCCGTCTATCATGCGAGCCTTCGGTACGTGGACTCCATGGTGGCAATATACAAATGGAGAGGAATCGTAAGCGGGAAAATGATGCATACAGCTTTGTTTTTGTACCTCACGGATGTTTCGGTATAATTACACATCGGTGACGACATGCCTCAGAAAATGGTCGTGGATCAAAGGAAGAAACTCGACATGGGAGAGCGATCGGAGGCCTCGGTAATCGCGCGTTGGCTTTTTTCGAAAAGTCGCGTTTTGACCGTGTGGTCTACGGAAAACGTGGTTAACAGATCTGTAGCTATCAGCATCGAAAAGTGACGTGTGAAGTGTACTCTCATGACATCTGCTTTCCCTGTGATTAAACTTGGCAGCACTTTTGTGGCTTCGTTGTCGGTAGACGGTTTCGCATGTGTATAATCCTCTGTTCTTCATGGATATCATCACGTTTTTTGTATGCTTTATTACGCCTCGTGCACTTCAATTTTCACATCCCCACTTCACGCAACTACTGACTCTTTCCCTTGTGTGTTGTTGTCTTTGTGAAAGTTTGAACCATTGAAAGTTTGAACCACCGCTGAATGTGAGAGCTTGAGCTATTTCGTACTCAACAGTTGACAACATGTAAGAAAACCTTGGCACTTTTCGAGGAGAAAAGCATTAGGGTAATTTAGCGGACATCTTGGAAAACATGGATGCCCCCATTCGACGCCAGTGCCTGCGAGTGCTGGCGGACCTGCGCGTGATTCGTCAGAGGTTGCAATGAAGAAAACCGTCAGCGATCTCCTTTTTCGTGCTGGTAGCTCTTTTGCCCGGTGGAAAGCCAATGTGGTGGACACCGAAACGCAAGAAATCGAGAACCGGCGCTCTACAATTAAGAGCCGCTGGAGCAGGTTGATCGCAATGGCGCAAGGCAATAGTTGGCAAGTCGCGGCGCGTCGAAAGCGCAACAGGGGAGCATCACTGCCGACTCCGCTGACTAGCATTCTTGCCGCTTTCATCGGCGATCAAATAGACGGCGCCAATAGACAGGATTGCGGCTGGGTGGAAGCTCTGCAGGCGTCTGACCGTCAGCGGGAAGAGAACAGAGAGGGCGCTCTTCGTTACAATGTAAACCATATCATGGCGACGGCTGGTCAGGGCGTCAGGACTGTGGAGATGATTAGGGAGCTCATGAGCGTGGCGCCGTGCATAAGAACAGGCGAATACGTGGGGGTCAACATTGTTGCCGATAGGCTCTACCATCGTCACGGCTTTTAATTTTCTACCGCAAAAGGGGAGCGACTGCAGCCGGCAGAGCTTCATGACAATCCTGGAGAGGCGCCTAGCTTCTTCGGAAATTTCCACCAGGATGCAGCCAATGGCAGAGGCGCGCACTTCCTAGAATTCTCCGTCAGACCATTTCAGCGAAGTAGCGACCCTGCAAATGAAAACGAAGAACTCGACCTTTTTAACGACTAGCCCCCTGGTGTGGTTCCCCAGGGGAAGGATGCGATGGGGGCCCGATACACCTGCTAGACGAAGCACATACGTGGACACTCTTCAGCAGGCGCCAGATTTGACAAGAAGCCCCAGAAATGTCACCGAGCAGGATGGTCGATAACTGAAGCACTACATCTGTGGACTTGAATAACAATGCGGCGCGTTCCTGTGCGGGTGCATTACGCCTGAAAATGGCGGGGGCGCCTGCGGGCCTATCTTCATGCGGAAGACATGGGCAGGCGCATGCCCTTCGGGGCTGATTCGTCCGCCGGGGTCTGAGGCTTTCATGGGCCACGCGAGTCCGCGGGGGTTCAAAGATGTAAGGCGTTGCCCGTCTGTGATTCATGGCGCGCCGGCGTGGCGCTGCAAGCAAGTGACGCGACTGCACTGGGCCGCCGCCTCGCGCTATCGGGCAGCGCGAGCCCAGGGGAGGGGAGAGGAGAGCGGGGCGCCAAAGTGTACGCCCTAACGCTCAAAATTCATACCCTAACTTTCAAAGCCCTAACTTTCAAGATTCATGGTCTGACTTTCAAAGTTCGCCGCCTAACTTTCAAAATTCGCGCCCTAACTTTGGTTTAAAATTCACTTCCTAACTTTCACAATTCACTTCCTAACTTTCAAAGTTCATTCGCTAACCTTCGAAGTTCATGCTCTAACTTTCACAATTCAACCCCTAACTTTTAAAGTTCACCCGCTAAGTTTCGAGACTCATGCGCTAACTTTCAAAATTCATGCCCTAGCTTTCAAAGTTAATGCCTTAGCTCTCAAAGTTCGCGCCTTTTTAATTTTAACTTTCAAAATTCATGCCGTAACTTTCGCCATTCATGTTCTAACTTACGCAATTCATGCCCTGACTTTCAAAATTAATTGCCTAACTTTCGCAATTTATGAGCACAGCAAATCGCTGCGCGCTTTTGCAGTGTTGTCGCTGCGTTTGTTTATTTTCAAAATTTTAGACTCAATTTAAAACTCAATTTAAAACTCAAAATTTCAAACTCAAAATGAAAGCTGAAAACTTAAGATCTAAAATACAAAAATCAAAACGAAAGCAAAACTTTAAAAGTAAAGAGATTATGGAGCGCGCTACCCATCCATATTTGTTCAGGCGATTTTAGACATCCAGACGAAAGCAGCAAAATATCTCTTGCCACGCTTCAAGAAAAAGGTCGAGCAGGGCGATCCTTTGCTCGATGTCACGGACGAACTCTGCGACGGCGTTGATTTTCTGAGGCGTTCAGATGGCACTCGGTGCTCGTTCTCGCTCCTGAACCTGCGCCGCGATGATGTGCATCCCAAGATGGAGTTTAGCGAGACGCTAGGAGCAGCCTTTCTTAGAGAAGAGCCTCACTTTCGCTGCCTCGTCGAACTCTCACGCGAACGTGACGGAAACCGAGAAAATCTGAGCTCGTTCGTATTTGGAGATATTGCCGACGCTCTGCCTTTCCAGATGACTTACAGACTGGATCGTTATTGACGAGGGCCGACGCTGTCTAGACATTTTTCATTTTTCATAAGTGCAGACATCTATTTCACTTACAATTATGTGAGATCATCCGATCTATGTTTCCGCATGCGACATGTTGTCTGAAATCAATTTATCGTCCTATTCCACACTTTCGATAAACGATGTTCTTCACTTGTCACATTTGCTATCACCATAGTATTCTTTTTTTATACGATAAAACACAACGACACTCTCGATATCAGAAAACAAGCTTACACATGCTTGACGATCAACCAACTTGATCAAAACAGCCTTCGGCCTGAAAGAAAGTTGTCCGTGCTTGCGGATGAGCTGGAATGCTTGCAGTTCAATGAGATAGTATCATGATGTTGACACGCTGTCTGCAGTTGATGTATGCGAATGTAACGTTGGATCGAGAAGCTTGAAGTCAAGAGGTCATCACTAAACGAACAACATTCTATGATTGCGACACCAAGAAAAGTAGAAAAATGTACTGAATTTCGACGTGGGATTCAACTTCAGCGCGATTTTTCGACTTGAAAGATATTGTTCCCTCACGATCCAACAACTCTAGATCGATGGTATTGAAAATCACAGATCAACACAAGATTGAAGGATCCATTTGTTCTAAGATCTCGATCAAGAAGACAATGTTGAGGCAGATGTAAACGTGGATCAGACGACAAATCAAGTTTCATGTATGAGAAAAGTACTACAAAAGAAGATATTGGGGATGCTCCTTTTTCTGATGTATGTTTCATGTTGTCACAACAAATCATAAAGCGACGTCAAAGATGTTAGAGTTTTAGCATACTTTCACGTGAATTGCGGCAGGTCTTAAGGGGGTATATTTTGTTTTATGCGACGAGCATAAAAATTGTTTATTTGGATTACCGATCTGATTTTTTATTGTTGGCAAAGTGCGATCTAGATCAACGTCAAAAGATCGAATACATTTGAACTCTTTTTTCTTCCTACATGAATCCAAATCTTATTGTAGGTCTGTAGCTGATTTGTTTGCTGGCACCTCTACCTCAGAGCGGTGGTGTTAGTTGAGAAAAGGTTTGTCGCAGTGCTGACTCTGAGTTTTATCTAGTGATCTTTTATTGGTCGTTTATCATATTAGAGTCACCTAATTATCGCAAAGCCAAAGATTGAGTAAGTGCAAATCGAAAATTATTTGCATTGTTCTTTAGGTTTATAGTTGGTGTGCCACCGTAATAAGTAAGTTTTTTTAGCAGAACTAGAAGGGACGAAGAGCACATCAATACTTAAATAGAAAAGATGGCTGCGCCTGCGTCCACCGCGATGGGCGCGGCGCTAAATGGAAGTGGCAGTGCGTCAATGCCTCTACTTGGAGCCGCGGGCGGTGATCTTGGTCGACGACCGGACTACACGGTTGTTGGCGCACTCGCGAGTCCAGGACTCATTGCATTTTATACGCTAACCGCAGCTCTGGTGCTCTTGACGATCTTGTTTCGCTACTGTTTTGCGGGAGCCCGTTTTGCCTCGTGCGTCGCGCTGTTCGAGGACGAAAGTGGGGTTTGCAGCGAGAGCAATAAGGAACGGCATCAGGTCCAGATTGGTTACCGCCGCCATGCCTTGGGAGAGATTCTTTACTACTCGTGGGTCTCCTTTGCTGTTGGCCTACAAGCCGTGTTGGGCGTGTTGTGCTTCGGCATTCTGGCGGACGACCGGAACAAGTACCTTTGGGTCGCAAACAGCACGTTCGACCTCAAGTTCTGTACCAAGGAGTTGCTTATAGTAGGAAATGGCAAGACGGGCTCGATTAAAACCGAGGACGGCACTCTTCGGGTCGTTCCGCCGTGGTGCAATGTCCAGAATGGAGCAACCACTCCCGCCTTTGAATTTCGCAACTACGCTTCGATTTTTCTCGTCTTTTTTCTGGCGTTTCTGGCGGCGATCTTTGTTCTCCTCCACCCACGCCTCCGGTTTCGGCAATGGTTTTTTCTGCCGTGTGACCTCCGCAAATGCCAGTTCGTTGTTCTCGAGGAGTGGAAGCGTAAGCAGGAGGTGGGAGCAGGAACATCAACGTCAAGCAACAACGAAGTAAACAAAGTTCCACTTCTCGCAGAGACATCTTCTGTAAATGGAAATACTAGTCGTGGAGAACAAGAAACTAGTGCAGTTGTAGAGTTGAACACAGACGAAAAGATTTCTGACCGTGATCGCGTTTTTGCCGAGCGAAACTGTTTTGATATGTACTTTCACGATTGGCGAAGTGTCCAAACGGTTGCAGTTGAGAGTTCTCAAAGCAGACGGAGTACTAAGGTGTCGATGAAGCACGACGACGACCTTAGTCCAGACGACTACCTTAGCGCATTCGAGCAGCGACTAAACTTTCGGCATACAACAACACCCGAGAAAAATGAACCAACTGGTAGTTGTTCTAGCGAAGGAGGGGAAATGAAGTACATCTGGTTTCGTTGTATTATGTACTTCTACTGCGAAGAGCGTAACCTGTTCGTGGTGCCGCAGACTGAGATTTTGGACGGAAAAATGACTACGGCCGCAGTTCGACAAATCTATAGTGGTCCGTTTCTCCGCGAATCCATGGAGGAGTTTCGCCATCAACAGCTATCGACCGCTATCCTCGACCAGCAGGAAGACGAGAAAGGGAATTCACTTTGTGCAACTAAATCTCATCAGAGGACGAGAATCCCACCATTGAAGCCGAACACTCGCGAACTTTCACAGTGGAAATACAAAATCTACGGGGAAAACATAATTGCCGTGGAAGCGCCGAACTACTTCAAATTTCTGAGTCAGGAGTTTCTGGACTTTGCTACCTTGTTTCAGTTCCATTGCCTCTGGGGTGGGTCAATTTTCACGAACTGGATGTTGTCCATTGTGAGCGGCGTAATGTGTATTATCTTTGGCTGCGTCAACGCATACAACACATGGAAGAACCAGCTGGAAATTCAAGCACTAGCCAGTAAGACAGCTACAAGAGACGTTCGCGTCTTCCGCTTTCTGGGAGAGGACGTGGACCGCGTCCCCGGTCCAGGGACTCGTTGCGCGAAGGGTTATTCTGATAAAAGCGGGGTATCCGCGCAAGACGTGCATGAGGAGGAAAACTCCTCTATTGTTCGGCATCTGGGAATCAACTTGTCTTCCAGCAGTGGCCTCGACCACAGGTCCTTCGGTGCAAAAAGGGTATCGAAGAGGAGATCCACTGCTGCGAAACACGGCGTGCGACCCTCGCCGAGCAGGTATTTCGAGAGCGAGCTGGTTCATGTGAGCAAGCTCGTTCCCGGTGATCTGATCGAGATTCATAATTCCGGAACGGTACCTTGTGACTGCGTAGTGCTTGATGGCTCGGTTGTTGTGAATGAGTCGAATCTCACCGGCGAAGCCATGCCGGTGCAAAAATTTGCACTAGACGACGGCGACGATATCCTCTGTCGTAAGCGTCACGGCAAAAAGAATATCCTGTCCTCGGGAACAACAGTCATGGAGAGTCGGCGCAAGGTCCAAACCAGGACTTCCGCGGTGTCGTTTTCGCATTGCTTTCCCTCGAAGAATAACAGAGCATCCCTCGTTAATGGCGCGCAACAAGCAGAGGCTCAAGAGCATCTTCACGATGAGCAGTGGAGAAACAACTATTTGTCTTCACCCGACACTGACGCTTCTCCGCCGCGAATGAGCCTGGAACGCACTCGCTCTCAGCACCATGAGGAAGGCGCGGTGGCCATCGTGCTGGCGACGGGCGCGCAAACCTCCAAAGGTGACATGATTCGGAACATCTTGTATGCACCTCCGATCTCATTTGAGCTCTATGATAAGCAGGCGGTCGGCGTGTGCATCAATGCTTGCATCGCAGCGGTGATCATGTGTGTCTCCGTGTTCTCGCAGGCAGAGTGGCGGGCACTGCTGATTGGTGGCTTTTTCGAGGCAGTGACCACTGTGAGCCGCCTCGTGTCGCCGCTCGTCCTCGTAGGCTTTAAAATCGCGCAGGGCTACAGCGCCAAGCGCATGAAAGCCGGCCAGTACGAGATCCAGTCGCTCGCCTACAATCGCATCCCGATGGCGGGGAAGCTAGAGGTTCAGTGCTTCGATAAGACGGGCACCTTGACGGAGGAGACGCTGGATCTAGTTGGGCTAGAAGCGGTTGACAGGTTAGACCGGCTATTGCAACGAGATTCTATCCAAGCGGAGATGGACGCCGTTGGCTCGCTGTCATTCGAGCTCATCGAAGAACAGGACGACACCGGCAGATCGCTCGTCAATGATGGACATCAGAGCCAAAATAAGGCGACTCGCCGTGGCCCCTCAGGGACCGCCGCTGCTGGTGATGATTTCCGCATCATAAATCTCAAATCGGCAAGTTGCAGCGAAATGGAGTTGCACGTACGTTTGATTCCTTTTACATGATATGGATTTGGAGAGCTGGTGTTCGTTCTCACAATTTCAACATAGATTGTAAGAAAACCACTGTTAGTACTAGTGCTTGTTTCTAGACTACAACATCTATTATCGGTATCGGTTTTAAATCTGTCTTGCCGCCCTCGTCTGAACTACTCATCATCTTCCAACTTCTCCAATTGAAACCACAGGTGCCAGAAGTAACCCTTGGCCCCTTACGACATTGCAAAGACGGCGCGCCGGAAGTCGGAAGAGATTTCAGCCTGGCCGACCTTGCTGCTGCGACGTGCCACACAGTGACGCGACTTGAAAATGGCGAGCTTGCCGGCAACAAGGTGGAGTGCGAGCTGGTGAATTTTTATCAGCACTTGGAGCGGTTTGAGCCGGATGAAGCGCTCATCGGTCCAGTGAAGGCGACGGCGGACAAGATGGTTGACGACGTCCACGACATGGAAATCCAGTACCAATTGGAACACCGCACGAAGAGCGACAATGTACCGATTGCGAGGACCATCCGGCAGTTTGAGTTTGACCAGAAAATTCAGTTGCAATCTGTGATCGTGGATTCCCTCTTGGGTGCGGAGACGACACGCTTTCTCTTCACCAAAGGAAGTCCAGCTAAGGTGGCGAAGCGGTGCCGACCGGAATCGTTACCTACGGACTTCTACGAACGGACACAAGAGATCAGCCGGAACGGATGTTACCTGTTGGCGCTGGCGTGCCGCACCTTGCCGATCGGGACATCGCAGAACAGCACACCGCGACGTGGGACAAGCGGGACAACGGAAGATGCATGTCCTAGAACACCCCTTGGAACGAGAGCAGAAGACGTTGTTGGGGGATCGGAAGCAGGCACGCGAAAATCTTCAAAGGCCAATCATGATTTGTGGGAACAGGAGGAGAATGAACGTGTCAGAAGCGTGAGTGGAGATCTTCGTGGTAGTGACGGAGTGTGTGGACGCACGACCAAAAGGGAAGAACTTGAGAAAGATCTCACGTTTTTGGGGCTTCTGTATTTCAGGAATGAACTCAAGCCTTGCACCACAAGCGCGATTGAGGAGTTGCGCGAGGGCGGAGTCCTCAATGTCATGGTAACAGGAGATAATCTCTGGAACGGACTCCATATTGCCAAAAAATGTGGCATACTACATCGCCAGGACTCTTCGTGCAGACCCGTTTTTTTGGTCGATGTTGAAGAAGATGTGAAGGTCTGTGCAGATATCTGTGCAGACGACGCGGCCTCTCCTGCAAGAACCGCGGACGCTACGAGTAGTGAGCAAGATCAGACTCCAACGACGATCAATCTCGACGATGCGCAAAACGTGGCCGCGGGTCGAGGTAATGGCGACATGCAAATAAATGCAAGACCGGTGCAGAAAAACACCTCGAAGCGAGTTGTTTTTACCCGCGAACCTGTTAATTCAGCACAAAGGAACACTGGTTCGTCACAAAAGGATAGCAGTAGTGCTAATACCAACGACGAAGTACTCGAGCAGGAACAGATGCAATGGAGGTACACATCACTTGCAGCGCTTGATGCAGATTTGGAGGAACTGTCCAAAAGTATATCAGCCGATAATGATAGATCAAAGGCCGCACTGTTCGGCATAACACAGCAGGCCTTTACGTACCTGGCAGACAACGATCCGGAGACGCTCTCTGCCATCTTTCCTCACATCCGCGTTTTCGGCGGGATGTCGCCAAGTGGCAAAGTCGAGGTGGTGGATCGCTGGGCTGCTGCCGGCAAAGTTGTAGGCATGTGCGGCGATGGCGGAAATGACAGTGGAGCTCTGAAGCGAGCGCACGTAGGAATTGCTTTAGTGAGCAAAACTTCCACCAGTTCCGAGGTGTCCATCGTTTCTTCCTTCTCAAGCTCAGGCTCTCATCCCTGCACCGAAAGCCAAGACTTACTTCACCCAAATATTACTGGTAAGGGGCGTGAAGATGAGACAACACCCCTCGTTGCCTCCTGTGAGGAAGACATATTGGACGAAGTGCGATCGGAAAGTTCGGATGGACAGCATCCCCCTGTTTCAGTCCATGCGGTTGTGCAACTCTTGAAAGAAGGGCGCTGTGCACTCGAAAACTCCGTTGCGTGCTACAAATTCTTCGTGTACTACGGTTTTCTGTCTGCCAGCAGCAAATTTCTGATGCAGAGTCGCGCAGCGTACTACAGCGAGATGATCTTTCTTTTCCAAGACGCTTTTCTAGTTGTCTTGATCACCTACATCCTGGCGTCTGGGCGTCCCCACGCAGTGCTCGCGGACTTTACGCCCTCCGCAAATTTGTTGGGCCTACAAGTGACTGCTGGCTGGCTCCTACCGGTCGGGGTGCAGATCGCGGCCCTCAGCTCTGCGTACGCCTATATGGAGGCGCAGGCCTGGTACGAGTACGCAGACCCTCTGGTCACGGAGATCGACGTGGCCGCTTGGTGGGAGAAGCCTGGTGCGACGGCGTCCGTCGTAACCGGCTGGTGGAGCGTCGCGTCGGCGCTCGTCGGCGCAGTGCTTTTCTCGTATGGCGGAAAGCAGCGACGGAGCAGTCTCCGGAACCGCGTCTTGATCGGAAGTCTTCTCATTCTGTTGCCTCTCTGGATCGCAATCCTGTTCACGACAAACAATACACTGAACTGCCTCTTTCGGCTCAACTGCACCAACGAAAACAGCTGGAACACTACGCTGCAACCATTCACTTTTTTTCTCAACTCACGTGAGCTGAAAAACGGTGCGGTGTGGATGCAAGAATATCGACCCACGACGGCTTCATCCAGACCTACATCAAATAGTAATAGCACCGCCACTTCTCGTGACCCAGCAACGCGAACTAGTGCGACCACCGTGTCTGAGATCGCTTTGCTTTTGAAAACAGGGGAACTGGAAGACAACGCGGCCCCATTTCAGAATGACGCAGCTATGGCCACGACAGGACTAGGCTGCATAGCAACTCGAGACTACTTACGACAAAAGTTTCCGCAGTCGAAAGTGAATTTGAAACTCACTGACAACCAGTGCGTCGTCGAAATCAAGCAGTTTGTGTCTGCGATAGCTTCCGCTGCCCAAGTGGAGGCTGAGTGTCACAGACGATGTGCAGCGACCTGGAAATTCGATGCAAACAAGAAAGATATGCAAAGGAGGAGAGCTTCACCTCCTGCTTCCAGTGCGTCAGGTGGTGCTCTAGCACCTGCTGGGACGACGACCGGAGAAGAAGAAAGTAACGGAGGAAATAACCCTACAAATAATCCGTTCAGTCAAGACACACAGAATATCGAGAGACTTTTCTGTTGGTGGGCTGCGGTCTCTCTCGAGCGCAATCCTCAGACGCAAAAAATTGACAGTGCGACGTGTTATGTCCTTCCTCGCCTAGATGCGAGGGGTGCGCGCGCGATAGGACCAGACTTCTCGCAATATGTTTCCCACTTGCGTCATCGTTTCCGTCTCTCGGCTGCGTATATGGGCACCGGCCAACAAGGTACAGAACGCGTAGATACTGGAGAGCCAGGATCTGCAGCTGCATCGACGTTTCTCGCTTCTTCTGGAAGAACAGGTGGTAATTTTAGGACGCGAGCTGGTAGAGAAAATGTCTCAGCCATCGCGGAGAAACCGTTCACCTCTGTTGCGTTTCGAACCGGGGGACGTGCCGTCGATGCCAGCGTCCCGAGTGGTTTCGAACAGATCAACATAGCGGCACTGCACTTTCGCAACGCACACAACGTGTTGGCGTGGCATCCGCAGACCCAGCAGCGGGAAGACCAATATAGGCAGCCATCAGAGAAAACACGGACGCTCTCCTACGCAGCCGTATTGGTCGCGCTCGTTGCAGCGGCGTTTTTTATCAATTCTTTCTTAGTTGTTGTACTCGTTAAAGGACCATTCGCCACTTGGCTATACCGCAAGTGGTATCGCAAAAAGTAGCTCTTTTTGACCTGCTCTTGTTGACCGCCCTCTCTAACCTGTAATGACATCAAAGTTAGTACGTACTTGTACCTCGTCCACCAGACGAAGAAGTTTCTTTACTAAAAATAGCTGTGATCATCTCGTTACGGCTCCTGTGGTACTATTTGTTTACGTCAATAGTCATGATACGTGGCTTGGACACTTGTCACTGCATCTTCCCGCAGGACGGTGTCTTGAAAATAACCAGTGCTTAAACTTAACCAATAGATTGTGTTTTTTAGGATAGTTGTTGTCAGCAAACTGTTCTTTTCTGTGTCCCAGAAGAGCTGTTATGCCAAACTGAAAGATAGTAAGTAGAACAAAAGTCTATGTCACAATTAAACTATGGGATGGTCCGCTCCTTTGTACAAGAAATGGGCAAAACTTCTACAATGACAGTCGGTGTTCTTGGAAGGCGTGTGAGAAGGTATTGCTTCGCACGTTTTCGGATCTTAACTTTAGAAGCTTCCTCGTCTAATGTGGCTGTAGGTATGCGATTTATCGTTATTTTCTTGTGCAGCTGCCGCTGTTCTAACAACTTCGCCGTGTGTATCCTGTATTTCATCTGCTCTCATAATTTTTCCTAAGTATAAAGCTTGGATTGCACGTTGGACGTTTTTTAGTTATAAAAAAACGTAAAACGAAAGATGCGAATGACGTTGCTGTCAGCCTGAAGTACTTAGATACCCGTACAAACGTCATCGACCCTGTACAGATAGCTTTAATGAGGTTGACGGATACCGCGCCGTGGGTGCGTCACAGGCGTGGTAGTACTCTGGTCAGATAAAGCAAAAGCTGCAGTAAGATAAAAGGTGCTGCTTCTAATGGTCACTCGGATCCTTCTAATTCTTATCGTCGCTCATGTCTGTGTATTTCTACTCATGTACAATTGAGAAGATAGCGAAAAAGATGGTGCTAGTGCAACAGATTTACTTGACGAGTAGTATTTCTATTTTCTGAGGCATACGACCCATCGTTGGTTTTTCTACTTCTGGGAGGCAGCTACTGACGCAAGGGGTTGTCCTTACTTGGACAATTTTTTCAATGGCTGCAGGAGCATGAATGTTGTCGGACGAGCCGAATGGGGGCGATCTAATGATCGAAACGTGGCACGACGGGGGTGCAGGTTCTGGCAGCAGCAGAAATCGCGCGGGTCTGACTGCACGCGCTACAATTCCACGTTTTCCAGATTATTTGTCGTCTATCAGGGCTCTCTTCTTCTTTGGAAAGCAGCGCATCCGGTGAAGATGGATCTCGCTGTTGGCAGAACAGACCTCAATCACAAGAGAGACATGATTTGATTCATGAATGTATAGCCAACTCTGGGTGTCTTGCTGTGGTGATCAAAAGTTTTTCTGCTGCGGCATTCCAAGAAAGTCTGACACGACGAGACGCATTCTTCTTGCCGCGATTATGTTGAGAAGATAATTTTTGTATGTTGGATTTTCCTATGTGTAAAAATTGATGGTAGTACAACCACTCACGAACTACAACAGTTTGCTGCAAGAACATTCTCGGATGATTCGAAGTTTGCTTCAATTCAAGGACAGTCAATGGAATGATTCGAAACAAATCCGCATGAATTTTGGAGTATCAAACAAAAAGCCAAATTGTACGGACACAACCAAATGATAAGGCGGCTGACGTTTACCGGACAAACATGATGCCCATGGGTGTTACGTGATTCCTGTTTTCGTTTTCCTGGCAGGCATTGTAGATTTTCCTTGTCTTGCGTCCAGTAACAACATACGTCATCGCTTCTAGACCGTTGCCGTGATCATGCGGACTGGATACACCCTTCTTCTAAACAGAAACTCGATTAACGGAAAGCCAACAACAACATAAATCAATTTTCTCCCATGGTCGTGGTGCAGCTATTAGAATTAGTCGTAACTAACATGAAGTAAAGAAAGTCCCAGCTGGTGGTGAAAAGCAAAATGCGTTATCTGCATCTGCTTTTTATGGCTCTCTGACAGATCATGCTGGCTTGCTCCTTAACAAGAAAGCAAATTATTCGTATGGAGCTCGTCCACTCGGGCTTTCTTCTTGGTCCCACAGGAAGGACATACTAGATTTCGCGCGCAGCGGACTTGAAGTCCATAATGAACAACATGAACATGATCAACATCGAATGAATGTATCCAAAAGCAATCTAGAATGTATCTTCCCAGGAGCTGCATCATATCTCCTTTGTTTATCGCAATCTTAGCATGACCTGTTTCTCTATATAAATATCATCAGTCACATAAATTGTTCTCGTATGAATTGGTTATAGGTAGTTTGACATCCTCCTCGCAGCAGTACCTCCTATTTGTTTGGTCGAAAAAAAGATCTTGATTTGATATGGCGACTGGGGAGGCTGGTTCCACAGTTCCCTGCTGCATCCTTTCATTCGTGGTCACCCTTTCTTCATCCTCTCTGCATGCCTCATCCATCGGTTTTTTTGGTGATGCGGTGGGGTATGATTTCCTGTTTATTCACATCTGCAACTGCATTCATTTTTTTCTAGCATACAAAAGTACGACTGGTCATCTCTTGAACAAGATGATACAGTCGGGAGCTGGTGCGAATGGGGTAAGCTCCAGCACCAGCACCCAGGGGCTGCGTGCGCATTCGCCTTGGCGTTGGCGTGAGAGACAATACCAAATGTCCCTCAGCGTCGCGCTGCGGCGAAACAGACATCCCTATACTAGAAGATCCCATGATTTAGATGATCCCATCCATGAAATCTCTTATACAGAATGCAAATCTTTTCAGTTCCCTGAATGATCACAGAAAATCGAAGTCAGCGTTACATCAACCCCCGACCATGGATGCGCCACGGATATTGAGGGCGAGCAGGTAAGGACTATATTCGTTTTACTTGCTAAAAGACATGGCCACGAGTTCTATCTCTATCTTGAGTTCAACTGTGAAAAGAAGGACAACTGCAATGTATGGCGGACTTTTGAAGTTGTAATCGGTTTGGACGATTTTGGGCGCACGAATCTGTTATTACGAGCAGGACCGGCAGTAAGTTTGAGAACCTCGTCTTGCGAAGTCACTGTGCCACCTCGGTACGGGGCAAACGTAGTTGTACAGAAAAGTGTCCGCATTGGTGCTGCAGAAACAGTACTCATAGCCATCCACCTGGTACCGTCTTGCAGTAAATCAAGGTGAGCAGAAGGAGAAGACCCTAGTACATAAATCAAAGATTTAAAGACGAGTGGGACACGCGAACAAGAGGTTGCTTGGGAAGGAGTCGTTGTAGCGTCTGCGCGAAACTCGAGGATGACGGGGTCTTACCTGATTCATCGGGGTGTTGCCGTGACCGCAGCACTTATTCTCATCTTTGGTGTGGTGATTTACAATGTACATCAACTCATCGTCAGTGCCGTCTTGCCGGATAGTGTACTCGTCTCCCTTGCGTCCACGATACATGCAGGAACGCTGATTCGCCTCTCTCTTTCGGTTTTCGTCGGTTGCACTGGTGCGCGGTTGCTTCATGCTCAAGTAGCGCAAAAAGTATCCAACCCCATGCTTCTGAGACCAGTTATGTGGAGCTTTTTTGTCATCTCCCCCTGTAACAATCTCACTGCCGGTCCTCGTTGTTTCCATCATGAATTATCATAAATGAAGTAATTGGGAGCAACAAATCCTGTCCGTAGTGAGGTAGAGGGAATCACGAGATGAAAGAAAGCATTCGCTAATCCGGCTGACGGGGGACCGTCAGACGAAGTAACTAAGAGTAACTGCTGGAGACAGAAGCATGTCTTTATCACCGGAGGCAGCGAGGGGACCGGCTTCGAGGTCGCGAAAATTCTAGTGTGCGACAAGCAGGCGCGTGCGGTGACGCTCTTCTCTCGCTCACAGAAGAAACTCGATGCAGCAAAAGCCGACTTGGAGAAGCTACAGGGCAAAGCCATCGCAACCATCATCCGTGCCGTTTCTGGTGATGTCACGAGCGTCGAAGCCCTGGAGAAAGGGATGGCGGTATAAGACCCTACCTGACAACAGAAGCATCGCGTTCATTCATCTCAAAAGAAGTCTTGTGACTAATACCGAAGAACGAAGTATCCAGAAGATGGATGATGTCAGAAAGAACTAGCGTTGAATATTCGAGTAAGTACATAAGTACCACACCTTCGTTGTAGCTTGGAATTGTGATTCAACTACAACATCTATCAGGAAAGCTCGTCGAATGAGTGCGGGTTTCCAGATGTTGTGATCTGTGCAGCAGGAATAGCGATCCCGGATTACTTTGAGAATTTGACACAGCGGGATTTCGACATGCAGATGCATGTCAATTACATGGGTGTTGTCAATAGCGCGCGCGCGTTTCTTGCCGGCAGCAAGGGAACTTTTCTCAGTGGAACACCCAGAACCAGCGATCAGACGTCCACTAAGTCTAGTCAAGGCGTAGCAACTGGCGGCGCATGTGCGCCATTACTCCTGGATACGAGTGGGGGGTCAGAGTCCTCGCAACAATTATCTTCCAAGCCCAAAAATTTTGTCGCTGTATCGAGTTACGCATGTGCGGTGCCCTTCATCGGTTATGCTGCTTACGCGCCGACCAAAGTGGCAGTGCGCGCATTCTGCGATGTGTTGCGAAATGAATTTGCCGACGTGCCGCACGTGGGTATTCACATCTGTTTTCCCCCTGACATGGACACGCCTGGCTTTGCAGAGGAGAACAAGAGGAAACCGATAGAAACGAAAAAGGCTTTTCCCGAGTGTTTTAACGAGCTTTTCCCGCCAGCGGACGTCGCGAATATGATCCTTAGTGGTGTGGAAAACAACGATTACCACATCTCTTCCCCCGACGTAGTTGGGAACTTCATTGTCAGTGCTGCGTGGGGGCACTATCCGCGACCGTGGCTGCTAGTGGAGATGATGTTAGCTCCGCTCTTCGTGCTGCTCAAAGAAGTCATAGTGCTAATGGTTGACTCCGCGGTTGTTCGCTATGCTCACCATGCCAAAACGAAAGACGAAAAGAAGAAGAAGTGACGCAGGCCGCGACTGGAATTTCGCTTGCTTGAGGTTACTTCTTCGAGATTTTCATGTTGTTCTTGGAATTACCCAAATCCATTCACGTTTTCAATCACAGAAGAGCCCTTGTGAAATTGAAAGATCTTCTTGGAAAAATATCAGCTTGAAGCATGTCGTGACAACGTGATGAAGAATACCACTCTCTTCATTCTTCGGAAATGAAGCTAATTAAGAGCTACATGATCTTGATCAGATTGATCCGATGCACACAAGAATTACGATTGGTCGTACATCTACTGTGTCTACTAGTGTGTTCAACTTCCTTGGAAGTTTCCTGCACAGTTTTGGAACCATCTACTTGTATTGCTTGATCCATGCAAGCCTTGAGAAATTTTGCTGTTACAGTAAAAAATGTCAACGATTCGATAGCGAGTGACGTTGGAGAGGGAATCTTTAGGATGCGTTGCCCAATCACGTAAGGAGTTATTACCTGTGATCATGTTGTTGAGTTCCCTTTGCTATTTGCCAGTAATTCGACCATGCTTGTAAGTGTATGATTTCTTTGTAGTACGTAGTTGACCCATCTTCCGACATTCCTTGAGCAAAAAAACAGTTTCAAAGAGATATGATGTCTGCGGGTTCACATTGGCAAGAGAAGGATGTTGCTCTTTGGGCCCGAAGTTGGCTGGAGCGCACCTTCGGTCCCCAGGGTGTGCGGATACCTCTTACTGTGTCCAGCCTCTCGTCGAAGCAGGATGGGACAGCACCTAAAGCGGGACTGGACAGCGCGCCCCCCGACATCGTTTTGTTAAGGCTCATTAGTTATCTTGGAGTCCTTCAGAGAAGAGCAATTTTCGCTACTTATTCTTGACAACTTGCTGTCGATTCGGGAGAAAAAGGCACGAAGAATGAGCTGTTTCTGTTGAATCGAATTTCGTGAGTAGCAACTCCGTTCTTATTAGTTGGTTCGAATGATGTACCTCCACGATAATTCATGGAGAAGCCAATGGAGCTAAGCCTGTTCGCCCTCTAAAAACTTGGATCTTTACACCCGTCTACGTCTAACTTGGAGCTTTATCGGCTGCACTGCAAACGGTGACGCAACACTGCACTCAAAAAAGCAAGGGGCGCCACTGCAGGCCGTGTTTGAATTCCAACTGTCAATCGATTGGAAATGCAGTTGCGCTGTCGCAAACGGACGCGTAGAGGTCAAGGGCTGCTTCAGCGCGCGAGAGTTCGGAAGCGAGGACATGGAGGATTTCGAGCTGCTTATGCAATAAGAAATTTTATTTCAAAAGTATTTGCTGCTTCGTCCCAGGCATTGATGAAAGATGGTAGGCACAGTAAATGATTGTGAAGTCTGTCAGGCATATTTTTTCAAACAGTAGATGAGCTAGTCCAGAATTTCTCGATCTAAATTAGAATGTAATTGCGATGAGCCGTCGAAGCAGGAAGCCGCGCTTTTCAGTGATCCGGGGCTTTTCAAATCCTTGGCACAACAATTGCATAGTGCGGTAAAAAAACAGGGCCTAAAGGAGGTGCGAAGTTTGCTGACGGAGAACTTCGTCAAGGAGATGCTCGGTGAAGGTTCGCGAAACACAGATTCTGGGGAGTAAGTAGATCCGTTGGAGGAAGGAAGAATCTAGTACTGGTCTCGTTGCTACCAGCTGAGGCTGTTTGAATCTGCTTGGTCGGGACTTTCTTTTCTTCTTGGAATAATCAAACTTTATACCTACACGCTTCGAAGTTTGAGTAAAAATGACAAGACTCATCCACCGGAAATTTCATTGTTTCTCGAGGACGCTGACGTTTTTATCCTCTGAAGGTCATGAATTTTGGCAAAGCTCTCTGTCCGTTTCGAGTGTTGCTTTTCTGATAAAAAAGTCATCTAATAAAAGCCTTATCTGTAACAGGAGCAGAATATCATACATCTGATTCTTCATGGCTCTCGATGTTGAATAGAACTAGAAGAGATAGCTTCTGTTCCGCTGAGTGTGTTTCTGTCTGTCGTGTGTGCGCTGATTCCTTTTCTGTACCGGAGTTTTCGTAGCAACCTGATATCTGTTGTATATATTCTAGACATGACTTTACCACTATGGTCATGATTTTGGTTCTCACAAACAGGATCTACAGGCAGAGCTACAGCTACTTGCCTGAGGAGCACCCAAGGACACACAATGCTATGACTGTATTTACCCTTGTACCAAGGAGATACTAGTTTAAGATTATTCAGCAAAATTTTCTTTTTGTGTCTAAAGACTATACCTGAGTTAGTTTGTTCCTCATTTGATTTTGACGAGAAATATGTAGATAACAATAACTGTATGATCGTATTATTCGTGCTTCCGAGCAATGTAAGACTTGTAGGCGTTTCATCGGCAATGAATAGCTGAAGTTGAAAGTAAGGTTTATGTAGCTACTGTCACTCAAAAATGAGAATGACAGACTCCATCTACAGCTTGTCCCTGTCGATCCGTTTGTACTCCAAGTGGTTCCGACGCACAGAGAGAGAGTATTGCCGGATGAGGAATTTGGTCCACGACTAGATGAGATTTGCGAGATGTAACCCTCTCTATTGAAAAAAAAAGTGGTCCAACTATGCCTCATAAGAAAACTGAAGAGCGGCATAAGTGAACGCGCCGACGGAATATCTCAGAGAAGCTGGGCGAAGCTGATCACGCCCGCAGAGACACGATGATATATATAATAACACTCCCTCAGCGACTGCTGCCCCCGAAGATACCTCATTCTACCTAATGCGATGATCCAGTAAAATTTTCTTGGTCTGCTCGTATACTTGTTGGTATACGTGTGTAGTCCCAACAGACGATGAGATCAAGCATTAACAAAGTAATGATGTACAATCGCGGAGATTATGGACAGTCCTGCGATCCAAGCATCTTGAACCTCTTTTGCACTGGCTTAGATGTCGTGCACTACAATTAAGACGGTGTTTGGATATACGTCGAGGGAAGCTGGCATCTTTGATTAGATAAGGATTGAAGCGTTTTTTGCATCTGATCCGGTCTCGTCCTTCCTTTCTTCCCGTGGCCTTGTTCCTCTTTAGTATCGGTTCAGTTTGAAAACGAAATCGGGCCTATATCCAACTCACGTTTCGAGCAACTCTGTATATTGGGTCATCGTTTGATAAATGGACCGATCTAACTATGAAGAGAGGTGTTTGAAAATGTCGTGTGCCTATATTAATGTCTCCTTGAAATTTGGTCTCCGAAAAACTGCACTATGTTTTCTTCTCGCAGTTGCGCTCTTTGACGTTCTCTCCGGAACGAGTAGTGTTGTAGCGGGTGAACCATCCTCCTTTGCTCCGGTGATTTGGCTCTACTGGGGACAGGGTTGGAACGATCGTGCAAAACTTCCTCGTGTAGTCCAATTTTGTAGAGATCGTGTTCTTGCGTTGCATGGACAACAGATCACACGAAGGGAAGGGCAACAAGTACAAGAGCAGAACGAGAAGGCAGGAAGAATACCATGGGAAATTCGTTTTGTGGATTCGGATACTATTTGGAACTGGATTGACTTTTCCAGTCCCTCTACTTTAAGCGACTTGCTTCGCGCTGGGGATATCGGTTCAATAAAATCGCGCCTGAATAGTATCAGCGAGAACACACCGCAGATTTTGAGCGATCTGGTGAGACTTCTGTTGCTAGTGCAACATGGTGGACTGTGGATCGATGCGTCGGTGATCCTATTGGAGCCTCTAGACTGGGTGTACTATATTTTCTACGCGCGTCCAGCACTGCAGTCAGTGGGAATCGAACTCCTCGACAGTTGGGGGCCTCAAGCTTCGCGATTAGCTGGGCGATTGTCTGTACTAAGAGATGCCAGAACAAGCACTTCTGACCCGAGTGCAGCTGTCGCAGGTGGGATCGTTGGCGCTGCTCCACAGATGCAGTGCCAAATTGCACAGAGTTAAGGCTCTATGATCGTGAAGAAATTCATTTTTCAGCATCAGCAGAGCGTCGCGGGCGATGCGTTTTCCAATGGAAGAAAAGAAGCTACATATTGACACATATTGACAAGGGTATGTTGGAATTTTTTCGCTATTCTCTATCTTTTGGTTCCAGTTCTAACGCATGTGGCTCACGAAGGGCAACGCTAACGCATCTTCGTTACCGTGCGAGTGGGGACGCGAAGAAGCGCCTGGTTTGGAGGTGAGTTTTCTTGCTGTGCGCAGTCCAGGCAATGCTTTCCTATCGCGGAGTCTCAGAGCCTTATGGCGCACTGCCGTGACGCTGGAGGACGCACCCTGCTATCAGTTGAACCAAAAACAGGGCTTCGTCACACAGAACCTGGTGTTAAGGGCCAATGAATAAACAACAACATGAACATCTATTCATGGGGCTTTTTCTACTACTACTTACATATGTCTCAGTAAACAACAGAAACTCCTAGTCTACTTTTTTCAGTATCTTGTTGGTTTCTTACGAGACCGTCTCCGTATCTTGAACTTGGCAGATCTCTAATGTTCGGAAATCCCTATCACTTGCTGGCTGCATGCTTTCAGTACGTGCTGCAGTCTGCTCAGCGGGAGCTTGATGCGACCGGCCACGCACAACTTAATCGGAGGCGCCGTTTGAGTCGTGTGGCGCAATACTATCGCAATCGGACGGGATCAGCAATTGGTAAAAGACTGGAACAGCATCCACCCTTCGGCAATAATGTGAGCATGCTGACAAATAATCAAACACACATATCACCCGGAGCACCAAGCTTGAAGATGACGTCATCCGAGCGCCGAAGAACGCGCACTGCTGATCGCATTGGTGCTGATCAGCCTGAAGCAGAGTACGTCGTCTCGCAGCATCCAGGCACAGCCGTTCATCTTTTCGGATTGCACCTGGTCGATCTGCGATTTCACGTCCCTCTCAAGCATCCTGCTTGCAGGTTTCCAAGACCAGTTAATGATGAGAGCGCGATAAATCACAGTGTTCCACGGGAAGATGTATCGCGCACCCTCCATCGCGACAAAGCGAACGTGATAAAACAGGAAGAAAGTGCAAATTTATGTGAAGCAGACGTCGATGCACAAGCGTTGAAAATTGCATTTCGGGCTTCTGAATACAAGCGATTTGTAAAACTAACAAAACTGGAAAGGGCTGTGATAGACGCGAATCCCCAGCTATGGACAGAACCAACAAGCTTGTTGTACGCAAATGCAACATCGACAGCAAGAATAGATTGACTGCTGCGGAGTTTCGATGTTTCGCGTTCTCGGGAATCATGGGAAGTGTGTTCAATCAACATACTTAGAGAACGGCTGTATGCAAAAATCTGAACACACGACTTAGTACCTCCTTCCTTTGTTGGTGGATTTGAATTTGATAGATATGAAAGAAATCCATTTTGGTTATCTGCATTCGTGTATCTACTAGAATGAGAAGTAACAGTAACAGTGAGCCCAACTGCTAGATGAGTGATGCGAGGACGACGAGTTTGGTCAATCTGTGCTCCGTCTTGGTGTCTTCTAAAACTGGTCACACTTGTGTACCTTCACTGGTGCATTGGTATTTTCTTCCTTCTCGTTGTCGGTGAAGCTTTCACGTCAGAGGAAGATGTGGATATGCATCGGAAGTTTTACGATCTTGGCTATCGAAGCCAGATGTCTGTCTTCCAGCGAAGAATAGACCAGGTATTAAGGTTTACAGTAATTCTAATTCATCTTATGAAGCATCTTCGGCCCTGTTTTTAGGGGGAAATCACGCCAAAGATGCTTTTCAGGATGAATATACGTAAGGTCTAAAGGTAGACGGAGTAAATTGGAGTGGCTGGAGGTCTTCGAGTCCTGGCGCGCGGTCGTTAGGAACTGCAGGTAGTAAAAGTGTGGGTGGACGAGAATGTGGAGGCGCTTCCTGTAGTTTGAGTGTAACGCACCAGCAGCTGCAAGCCATCAATCGTCCCGTAGACCGTGAAAAGCCTGCTCGATACCTCGCGTCGGTGTCACCGCCTCCGAGGCAACAGCCAGTGCCGAGCAGTACCTCTCAGGGGGAGAGCACCTTGATTCTTTTCGGGCACCCAAGTGAGCCATCGTGTCGTGGTCTTTCGTTTCTAGGTGCAAAAACTTTGTGTGAGAGACTACGCGCAAATCGATTTTTTCTCGAGCAGACTGCGAAAGATGAAAATGCTGCTCAACTACGTAGTTGTAGAAGAACAAATTCAACATGGGTAAACCAGAGAACGACCACATCTCCATTGAAACCGCGGAGAAGCTTTTCGCCTCTCACGACATCTTCGATCTCTGATAGTTCTAGTCCCACCGAGCCGACGAGCGAAATCGTGTCATCTTCCGTGTCGAGAAAAAGTTCCAAAGAACGCAGTCGTCCTACTTCTTCGTCCCTTCAGCGCAGTTTGGTGGGCATCGATGAGCTTATTCGCGAGGCGTTGGAACGGCGGCAACATAGTTCTCGTCTCGACTTTGAATCTGTGGTCGCGGACGTCCGAAAGGATTTCCCGAACACCGAAAGAAACGTGTTAGCCCACCGCCTCCTGAAGCGTTTGGTCACCGATTGAGTTCGACTATAGTACAGAAAGCAAGCCGCGCGAACCAGTAATTTCATCTGCGACTACGTACGACGAACACTAAGGCCATCACAAGCGTCTAAGTACTCCATACCGAGGCAAACGACTGGACTCATCGAGAGGTTATAGGATGTTGAAGCAGTTTATGCTTTCTCTTGCCTTCTCCGCGGAAGGCATTGCTGGCAAGCGTGGCGGGCCGCACACCGGTGGCTCCTACCAAAGCCCGTCGTCCCTTCATGGTACTACAAATCAAGCAACAGGAGCGAAGATGTCCGAGTTGGTTTTTGAGCGCATGTCTCTTTATCCGTTGGACATAGCGTCTGTGAACCTAGCCAAAGAGCTGGATTTGAGCACTTTTACTGATGCGGCTGCGCACTTATTCGCATACTACGAAAAGATTGCGCGACCAGCGCAATTTCGTGTACATCATCCACAGGCACGAGAGGAATTTTTCTCCCTCGATGCAGGTGGTCGGCGTAGCCAATTCTTCCAACGATGGCAACGATTCGTGACTGCAGGAATCTTGAACCAGTCTCCGGAAGGCTGGGATCATCGTGGCGAGATGTTCTACCCTGTTTCGGAAACGGCCGTCTGTGCGAATCCTTTCAGAACAATAGGTTTAAAAGAGCAGGAGGACGGTCCCGAGAAAGAACGCGAAGAAACTGAATCACAGGTATGTTGCAGCATTGATTCGCTTTTGCGCGCAGTCTTTGACGATGGTGTGTCTCAGCCAGGGGCGATAGTAGAACGAGCAACCAAGAGTGGAGATGAGAGTGCCAAAGACGAAGAAGCCGTGTGTGCCGCGGTTGCAGATGCGCCGGAGTATTATTCTGGACGAGCGGAAACAGCTTCAGCAATGAATTCCACAGCTAACAGCGACGGGAACAAGAAGTCAGGAGGAGAAGGGACCTTGGATAGAGTTAGAGACTTTTCTACGTATCGGAGTGCTTTCTTGAACTTCCGGAAACGCATTAAGCAGCTCACAAAAGTCTATTTGCGCGACCGCGTTGACATGTCCGCATTACGCGTACAGCTACTGGCGGAAGCTTTGCCCGCAGGTGGGGGCGTGCGGTCGCATGTGCACACAGGCGTTTTGTTGGCGGGACAGTTTTTTTCCGACGCCGGACACGATGAGCAAGATGTGGTTCTGATACTGGAGGATCCTCGCGCTGCGCAGCCGCCGTTCGGTCGAGCGCAGAACCAGCGTCCTTTAGCAGGACAGGTGATTCTTTTCCCGCCCTGGGTCCCCCACGGTACTGCATGGAGTCTGCTGTCTTCACGATCACGGCGTAAAAATCAAGGGACCTCCAACTACGAGGAACAAGAGAGAGTTCGTTTTTCTTGGACATTTCTAGTCTATGAGGACCATGCGGACATGGACTGGGACGCCGACGCCACATCCGCAATGTTTCAGAAAGAACAAAAACGCTTGGTTTTCCCTGCTCTTTGAAGACTGAAATGAGTCAAATTTTGCTCGACATTTATCTTATCCAGTGGAGCGATGCGCATGCGTGTACCTGAAGGGTTAAACTTAAGTAGAAACTTCTTGGGCCAAGATTTGCTACATGGTCATTATGATTAGGCCATGAGGTACTTGATCTTCAAATGTTTTACATAAAACGATGAACACACACCACACAGCAGTCAGGGTAGCGAAGCTTTTGGGTGCTGAAGCGATTGCTGCCACAGTGGAGTGTCTTGCTTTGGTTTCATGCTAATGCCTATTCGTAAGTAGCCTGTGCCTCACACGAAGGCGCTGGTGCTCGCTTTGTCTTCTCTGCTCTGTCTGTCACAGTCCTTCTGTGCTATCTACTCTGCCTATGCTTGTGAGGGTATTTCGGTAAATGTCACGAGAAAAGTACTAAAAATCTGTCGAGAAGTTTTCTGACTGAGAATACAGCTCGAGAGCCTGGCTGGATCCAATTGCGTGATGAGCGTTTTAATTCGATTAGCATATGCTGGTTAGAAACTCAGCAAATAATCCAAGTATGTAATCTTCTCCCAGAAAAGGCTTGTTGTACTGTTTTCCCCCATTTTGTAAGTCGACGCGTGCTGCATCGAGGCTGGCTGGGTTTGGTCTTTTTATAAGGCTTAGGTGGTCCACTGACGCTCGAGATAGAAAGAGAAAATAAACCGGCTTTCTTCTCTCGTCTGATTCCAAGTAGACTACATGTAATTGTAAAGCAAAAATACTTTTAGGGATTAACATTCTGCCAAAATTTAAAGTAATAGTTCAACGAACAGTAAGCTCATGCAGAATGTGCGCCCTAGCTACGCGCTGTAACTTGTATAGATGAGTTATCTTTAAATAAGGTTCGAGATATATTCAATTTGTTACCTCTGGGTCTTGGCTATCATACTACTGGCAGGCTATGCCTTGTTCTGAATCATTCAAGAATCTAGTTCCTTCACACTTCTTCAAATATGATAATACCAACCTCGCACGACAGAGGATGTTCAAAGTCCAAGACGCTCTCCAGCAGCACTCACTAGTCCACACAAAATAAGAGGGATGACGACGTGGTCGAGCCGGGTCATGAGCGCCAGGACAGTCAGAAGTCTGACATTGGAGACTGACGCAGCATTATTGGCCGACCGTACACCATTGGTGTTTCATCCGAAAACGGTTTGGGAACGGTGGATCGCGCAGTTGTGCCCAGATATTAAGGAAGATACGGAAGACAGCAGTTACATTGGACCTGAAAAGCGTTTGTACGAGCGAAAACGCGAGCAATCGAACCCGAACTCGCATGAAGATGTCGGATTCCATCCGCCGGAAAGAAGGGAAAGCCGCCGACCGGACGAATTGTCAGCGCGAAGCGGGATGCCGGAGCGAAATGTTCTCAAGATTTTGTCGCAGATAAGGGGAGCGCGCGGTGAGACAGGCGAAGACGCAAGTCCTGAATTAGAGTGGATTGAGGCGTGGCTTGGTCCCGCGGAAATGCCTCGTTTTTCCGTTATGTTCACAGATCTCGCTGGGTCCACGCATGAGCTTGCCAACATTATTCTCCTGCCCAAAAGACTAAACGAAATTCTACAGCAGATGACGAGCAAGAAATCCATCGCTTTGGAGGTCGGGAACGATTTCAAGTCCACGACTGATTCGTTGTGCGGAGGAGCGGCTCGAAACACAGTAGAGATGAAGTGGCTGCGTCTATGCGAGGTATTGTACGCCTACCACCGGCGGAAGCTCCAAAATCGTGCCCGGTGGCTCGTACATCGTTACATTCCTACATTACAAGAGAACACAATGAAGATTACGGTAAAGGAGTTCAAACAGTTGCTCTGTGCGAAGACCGGCCTACAGCACCCTCAGGCACTCAGCCTCTGGCCTGTCGACGACGACCTAGACGTGAAAGAGGAGAAGGAATTGCAGGAAGATGAGGAATCCGACAGGCTGGAACCGCTCAAAAACGCGGACCTCATTTCGCTCCATCTTCAGCATCCTGTTGGTACCGACCGCAAGCTTCGTATTCCTGCGCAAATTGACGAGAACGCAAAGGAAGGCAGCAAGGCTGAGGCAGACAAGAACACGCAGAGAAACGATGATACCAAAGCAGACACTAAGAACATGATACGGGGGAGCGAGAAAATGACGAAGGACTCACTAGGCAGGCGCAATACGCAAAGGAATATCAACAAGGCAGATCCGAACAATGTCAAGACAGCTGTTACACTTTCTCACATGAAGAGTATGTTTCAGGGTGCGGAAGGTGATGTAGAAAGGAAACAGGAGGCTAGAGATGCTAGTCAGCGTGACGACGATCTTCCAGCTACAGATGCAGATGAAGCTATTGGAGGAGAACAGTCTTCAAATCTCTGTGCACCTCGTAGTAAGCCCACGGAAACTCAAACAGCAGATGGCTGCCCTACAGGTTTGCAATCAACCGCAAGAGGTTCTGCCATTGACGAAAAAGATCGTGAAGCGGCCTTTCACTCGAACGACGAGTTATCTTCTACTCCGGCAAGAGTGTCAGCTGTCAGTGTCACCAACAGGAATCCAGCCTTCTGTCTTCTGATTTCTGGAGAACGCGCCGGCCTTTTTGAAATTTTTACGAGGCCGAGCGCCTTTTCCGACGGTCGTAACGGCGACCAAGCCGTGCGCTTTGGATCTTCGAGCAGAGAGTTGGCGAGTGTGCCTTTGGTTTCGGCTATCTCGGAATTGCGAGTCACTATAGATTGGTGCGATCAAGGCTGGGGTAATCAGAAGGGGGCTGTCCGCCTCCAACTGGTTCGGTTTTTTAGAACGAATGCCACGCCAGCCATAGGAGTTACATCTAGGACATCACCTGATCATAGAAATGTAGATAGTAAACAGGAGATGATATTGATAAATGAAACTAGCAGGAGCTCATCGTCATCTCCGTGTGCCAGAAGTCTTCCAAAAATATCCGCACCCGCATCCGTAGCCGCCACTCCTCTGATCAGTGAACCGGAAGACACCACACAGATCAGCAGCAGTGGGGCGTCCGCGTCGAGTAGGGCCATATTTTACCAAGTGATTGCCTCAGCTTGGATTGAGCCCGCGCCACACAGGCGAGATATTACAGAAAAAGTCTTTGTCGGTGACTGTGACGATGCTAGCTCCGGCTACGCCGCGTCAGACCTAGTGCGTTTAGCGCAAGCTGGAGACCGTTACCTGTGTTCGTACAGGGTAGGAGGTGGAGGTGGTCATGCCTTGTACTTTCATGGGATGACAGTGGGCGTCAGCTACCGGCAAAAGACAGACGGCAGGAGTGTTTTGAAAACACTTCTGCAAACGCCGGGGAGCCTTTTTGAACCGCCTCTTCCAAAAGTATTATCTGAGCTGCAGGAGATCTCTTTTCTCTATCCTGAAGATGACAGGTATGGTAGTGCTGCGGATGGAAGTGCTAACGAGGACGACGTTATTGGTAAGAATCAGTTCAGCACTCGAATATTCTATCTTTCGAAAGATGAGGAAAAGAGAAACGATATTACATGCAGCGACGTGGTCATGGAGGAACATGGAAATGGAGGAGCAGCAAAGTTTTCGCCAGATGAAGAAAGTGACTTGTCCGCTGTTGGATCAGAAGTTCAGAAGTGCCATTGCAAAACAGAAGGCTGCAGCTACCTCAGGAATATCAATCCCTTCTACCGAGAGGTGAAGCCGGTACAAGACTTTGACTACTGTTGCAGTGCTTGCAAGAACTCCAGCGGAAAATTTCACATGATGTTTTGCCAACGCTTCACGAAGTTGGACTCGACCTACCTTGATGTCATGGCACGCGGTGAGCATTTTGCAGAGGCAAAGAAGCGAGCTGCGGAGCATCATGTCGCAAATCTATTGGTGCAGTCACTTTCCCGGAATGAGACACAACACTGGCCGCCACACCGCAAACGCGAGCTTGTAAATATGGGTCGCAAGGGTGAAGGCAAGGGGATACGTAATGATATGGACGCTCGTATCAGCTGGGCGATCAAACGAATTGCTGCACAACAGCTCTTACCCGCTAAAGGTGATGATTTCGGTACGAGCAGCGTCTTGACGATACTCAAGCAAAAGGATGGCGGCAAGTTCTATTCTGAATACCTAACTAACTTGATTGCGGACATGCAAGCTGAACTATAATACTGAACGAATAGTTCTTTAAAGTCTTCTATAATACTGAACGAGTAGTTTTTTAAAGTCTTAGTCGGCATTCACATTGAACAAGAATAGTGAACCCTTCCGCAACAGGTAGAGTCGGACAAAAATCTAATTTTGCGATGAAGGAAAGTAACCAAAAACATTGATTGGGACACACCCACTTGGTGTTTGGATCACCTTTTTCTCAAGAATAGAATGATTCCGTAGGCTCTCCTGGTTCCCGTCGTCTAAGCTCTCCTCTTGGCAATACAACTTGATCGAATCCTGTTGAGCACTCAGATGGACAACGATAGGAATCTGCTGAAAAAGAATTGCGCTGATGAGCTGATTTACTTCGGTTCCGGGTTTGCAGGCCGGTCATCTTAGAGGATATGTTGCCGACTGTAAGAAGGCAACTATCTTATAATATATACTCACTTGGCCACATAACGTTGGACAGGCTCTCTACTCCTCTCTTTCGCAGGAGATTTCGGCTGTAGACATGTGACCCCATAACCCCACAATGAATTTTACTATACGCTTCCACGGCCGTCACTTTAGTGCCGCACTGCTGGAATCGTTTTGTCCCGCTCCCATCTGTCGGCTAATAGAACTACTTGGGACACGATGGGTAAAAGTTATAGGTTCTCGTTTGTTCTGCTATCAATGTTCGTGCTGGTGTCCTCCAGTTCAACATACTTACAAGAATCTCAAGAATTTAGCTGAAGGTAAATCTTCTCGGTGTAACGATCGGTGACACGACAAATCAAGTTCGGAAAAAACGGGAGCCACCAGCACTCCGATTTGTTCTGCTTGGTGAACATTTTCTATACGCTACAGGATCATGAATAGAGTAAAAGTTGAATCACCGAGAACAACCAGACGTCACAGTTTGATCAAGGCCTCTCTCATTGAAAGTTTTGCGGTGCTAAAAGAATGGCAATGATATAATTTCCACCGATCGACTGGATCATGGATCCTGTTTTTGGCAACAGAACGCGCCTCCGATCTGCAGATGCCGGTCAGATAATTGCTTACTTCTTCTGCGATCAGCCAGCTAGCCACTAATTGCAACTGAAATGTAGTAGCCAAGTTTTGACTGTAGAGGTTCATTTCCTGTTGACGCTTTATTTTTATCTCATGGTGAGCAATTAACATTATCAACATAAACAGCCCATCCGATGTGTCAATCCAATTTGCTCCAGGCGACAACTATATTTTTCGAGTTTCATCATCCATGCTGAATTAGTTTCCAAGTAAAAGCTCGAGGGATTTAGTGCTACAATAACTTTATTTTGTAACTAGGAAAGATGTCGATTTTTGGTAATAGTGGTGGTGGCGGTAGCCTCTTTGGAGGTGGAGGCGCTGCAGCAACGACCACGACTGCTGGTGGAGGCAGCTTGTTTGGGAGTGCTCCTACCGCAGCACCCGCAGCCGGTGGTAGTTTGTTCGGAGGCGGCGCAGCGGGGACCACAACTGCAGGCGGCGCAACATCCAGCCTGTTTGGGAATGCACAGCCAGCAGCGCCAGCAGCTACTGGAGGTAGCCTGTTCGGCGCGGCAGCGGCAGGGCAGCCAGCAGCTGGTGGCACCACCAGTCTTTTCGGCAACAGCACTGCAGCCGCACCAAATACTTCCGGAGGTGGTCTGTTTGGGTCAACTACAACCACACAGGCTGCGACTGGTGGCGGTTTATTCGGCAATTCTGCGCCAGCAGTGGGAAACACAGCTGGAGCGGCTCCCCCAGGTGGCCTCTTTGGTGGTGGGGCAGCAGCATCTTCTAGCATTGCAAATGGGGGGATACAGACGTTGGGTCTCAACCAACAACAAATGCAGGCCAAAACCATTCTGGAACAGTCCGAATTGGAGAACTGCTTTTACGAGCTTCAAAAGCTAGATAACGATCGTGTTGCGAGAAATGTGGGGTGGACGTACTGCTTCTTCATGGCGCCAATGTCAATTATTAACAGCTGCTCTAGAATCAACTATGTTCAGCAAGAGATTTCATTCGAGCACTCACATCGTAGTAAGTAGAACTCTGTTGAAACTTAAGAATTCTTTTCCTTGTCTAGAAAGAAGCACTTTCAGATCTCGTCTCTACGGTCAACAGGAATAAAGTTGGCAACAGGGACATTTGCATGCACGCATAATATTGACGAACGTCATCTTCACCACTACAACAACAGGTATCACGGAGTTTCCGCTTCCGCAGACTCGCAGCTCCTTCAAAGTGCATTAGCGGAGCTAAGTCAGTATGATCATATCAAGCATGGCCCAGACGTGAATAAGTTCAGGTTAGCGAAAGCACAAAATCCTTTCGACCAGCACGTGGCGCTGCCGGTCCGCCTCTTAGGCTTCGAACAGCTCAAGCAGCATTTCTTGCAGCAAGATCAGAAGCTCTCAGAACAAGACCAAAAGGTACTTCCCCCACTGACTTTTACACCCTGCCCATTTTGAAACTAATAGCTTATATCACAAGTAGTGGTAAGAAAGACTAAGACAAAATTTTTCCTAGGAACAGACTTTTCGTTAGCTTATACCAAGTGGAAGTCAACATAATGATTGTTACTTACAGTTAAATAGTAATACTTACAATAATCATAAAAAAGGTGGCAGAGTTATCAAGCGCGATAAAGAGTTTGCGAACTAGCGTCGAGGCGAAGCTATCAGTTCAGCTTGCGGAAGCTCGGAGTCGACATCTGAAGCTAACGCGACAGCTCGTTGCGATCCTAACGCAGCTAGAAGCCTTTGGCGTGCAAGTGGGCGCCTGCAGAAGAGACTACGACAGAGAAAGCGCACTAGAAAACAAATTCACGCAGATTGATAACGAAGTGCAAGGAATCCGAGTCGGGGAACTATTGTATTTCTTTCATTGCCGCGTCAGCCTCAGATATATCTCTATGAAGTAGAATTTTGACAAAAATATAATGTTTGTGGACTACTTAATATCCTGATGCAAGGAGTCAGTCTCTCTTTCTCTTTGACATTTTACAAGCATATTGTTCTCCAGGTACATGGCGCACGGATTAGCTCTTCAGGAGGATGCAGGACAGCAATCAGTTCTGAGCAAACAGGAATTGGAGAAGGTGATAACTCTGATCGCCAACCAGACAGAGTTGAGCGAGGAGCTGCAATCCTGTTTGCGAGAAAAACAACGGGAAATCGCTGTCATGGGCCAAGCATTGCGGATTGGAGAACGTAAATAACTCATTCGCAAGTGAGAACGCAAGTAAACGACACGACTAAGTTTGATTGTTTTTCTTCGTTCACACATTGATTCTTTGCTTGAATCGTTTGTGAAAGTTCGCAGCAAGAAATCTACATCCTTCCCACGCGCACACTCATCTTCCCACACCCCATGAGTATCAATTTGTGTTGATTTCTGCATTGATGGATTGATATGGTTTACAGTTACTGGCCTCCGAAGATTGGTGTTAGCACTGTCATTGGTAATCGGACGGATCTAAGGTTTCTTTTCAGGCGTAGCAATGTGTCCATCTGAATGCAACTGAGACGAAACATTTGAACGACAAGTTTTATGTAAGAGACTTGTAACCCACGAAGATTCGAGTATGATCCCGAGACGAGAGACCACAGGTCTTCATTTTCAAGACGGTGTCGTAGGGACATACAAGAGAAAAGAATATCTGTGTAAGAATAAAGGTGAACAAATAGCTCATGAATGCTGTCGACGAAAAAGAAAAAGAGAATATAACCTATCCGTCTGTCTCTGCAGAGTTCCTTTTTGTCCTTGAAGCTTCTACCCCTCCCGCCTCCGTTTCTCACCTCCATGCAAAGTTTTTCGGGTGATAAAAATGTTTCTATTGAATAGTATTTATTGCATTCCCTGTGGTCTTTAGGTGATTTGCTTAGCTAGTTCGTCTATCTCGTATGAGCGTATGGGCCATTAACTACTCTGCTGCTCCAATACGTTCCAGCGTAAAAACAAACAGGAGAGCATAGTAGACGTTTCCGATTCTTGGGAATATATTGAATTCTTTACCTCGTGGTCTTGGCTATCATACTACTGGCAAGGCTATGCTTTGTCCTTAATCAGTCAAAAACCTCGCCCCTTCACATTTATTGAATTCCCTGCTTTGTGGTTGCGCCATCACACGTAGAAAATGAGGTACCGAGAGACGACTCTTGAAAAATCGAAAGCACTGGACTTCTTGATATATTAATCATGGACGGGAACGAATGTGTTGAATGATAACTAGAAGGTGCTCCATGTCCATGCTGCTTAGGTACTAGGTATGTTCCCTTTAAGTAAGTACTCTTCTTGAATTACTTGTGTATAATTTGCTGTGGCGTTGCACTTGAAATTAGAGGTATGAACAAACGGACGACAAGAGAGCCAGGAGTACCTTTGGATCACTTCTTGGGCAATGCGAATAACAGCATGAGCAGTCCACGCTCGGTGAAGCCTGATTTTGGTGCAGACGGGGGTGCACAAAGTCAGAGTTTTCTCTTCCGGAATCTGGATGTGGAGGATAGAGGTGCAGCGCGTCGAATAACGGACGCGAGGAAGCCAGCGGCGACCGCAGAAATGCAGAAGAACATTTACGATTTCCGAATGTCCATTTTCAGAAGTATCCTCATCAAGCTGTAGCTGTTTCGTCAATTATGTATGACTAACGGTAATAGGAACGAACAGTGAAGGCAGCTTGAAGATGAAGAGTTGCAAGATACTTATAGATGACGCAGGGCCACACGGCCCCCCCTCCCCCCCCTTTGGTCTGGTCTGTGGTGGCGCGCCCGCGCGCTTTTCCGTGCGGATTTTTCGCGGATTCTAGTGGTGGAAGGCGTCAAAGCTTGGCGCGCTCCCTTTGGGCCTCTCAGCGTGTTCGGAAGGGACCGCCTGGCCTCTGCTGACCCTCGCAGGCGGGAGGCCTCCGGGGTAGAAGGCCGCCGGAGGCGGCCACGGTCGCAAGAGCAAGCAAGCCGATGACCAAGGGCCCGGAGGGTGCAGGCGGCACGGCTCAGGGGGTCCAGCCCCTCGCCTTTTGCCGTCTTCGGAGGCCTTCCGTTGCCGGTGCACTGTTGCGGCGGCGAAGCCTAGCGGATGCACTGAGGGCACAGGCAGGCACCGGGGCGGGGGCGCAGGCGGTCCCTTGGGCCGTTTTTGAAGCCTCCCACCACCATCGGGGGCCCCTCAAGTCTGTCGGGTACATGCAAACGAGAAGGAGGCAGCCCCTTGGTCCCCCCTTGAGGCCTTCCACCTCCTTCCCAGGCCTCCAGGGGCCACAAAGCTCCTGAAAGGGGCCGGGGGTGGCCCCGTGGCCCCCCTTTTGCGGCCTTCCTCCCCCGGCAGACGCCTCCCAAAGGGGTCCAGGGCGCCCGCCCCCCGGGGGGGGGCGGGCGTCGCCCCGCGCCCTGGAACATATGACGCAGGACCGCACGGCCACCCCCTTCCCCCCTGGTATTATTTGTTGTAGTTCTTGAGCTTTCTAAAACATCGGTCAAATGCTTGAGAACCAGGAAAAATTGGAGCAGCTCGAGAAGGATACGAAAGAAATGGCCGATGAGGCAAGAGACTACAAAGGCCTTGCATCACGCCTCGAGCAAGCGAAATATAAAGAAAAGCTCATTCGTGAAGGCAAGTTGCCTGCGAAGGGCGACGGTGATGGAGGCACCAAGCGAGAAGATGGTAGCTGCGTCGTTTCGTAACCTGAGAGAAGCTGTACAACGCAATCGCACTCCCTGCATATCCTGGATCACTATTCGTCCAGGTCTACCAAGTAGTGCAGCTATGAGCCTTTTTCTCCACTCCTTGTATCAAATCGACTCCGTTTGTTTCCTTCTAATACCTATCTTGCATGGTGGTTTTATGCTGAATGCATCCATGGACGCGATGCGATTGAATAATGCTCGTGTCTTCGACGGACACGTAACTTGTGCAGGATGAAAAGCCAATGTGAATTGTGAGGTCATAAGAAGTCGGCCCAATATGCACTTCGCTGACTCTGAGCAGAGGTAGCAGAGGAACTGTAACAGTTTCTGTTCTAGCTGACCTTTTCCAAAAAAATAAAACGTAGGTTCTTGCCTGTCAAACTAAGAATCTTTATCGGTAGAGAGCACCCACGAGTTCTGTTTATCTTCAGTGAAAGCGCTGGAAAAACTAAATCTTTCTTGTTGGAGGTGCATTCGTTTGTGAGTCAGAAGAATCGGTTTAGCGTAGTTCTTAGAGGACAAAATTTCAAAATGTCAGTCAATAGTTTTGCTACATTATATCTTTGCCTCTAAATTTATTTCTTCGTCCTCCCTACGAAGTAATCACGTTCAATATTCACTGATCGATGCAGCTTCTTGTATCCATCTACTAGTAGCACTTCTAATATTAAACGGATGAAAAATGGTCGAAGTTCGATATCTTTTTCTTGCGCTAGGAACGCATCTATCGTGGGGTCTCTATCACCCCGTCGTGCGGTACTTGGAGACAGTTACAGGGATGCACATCGTCTACATCCTCGGCAGTGCGCATTTGCTTTCCGGTACTGTAAACGCTCTCTGCATGTTATGCCAGACAGGAAAAATATTTCGAGTCCATTTGATGTTGATTCACTAGCTCTAGGCCTTCGGTGAACTAGAGAATATACCAAAGTAGACTGTTATCGGCAACTAACAATTACTTAGAGGACGGACGATCTCTTTGGAGCTAGAAGAAGTTCTTAAATGCATTCAATGTGGTTATTTGTAGTTATGTTTTCATGTGTGTTGTGCTGCGGAGCTAATGAGGAGACGAACCCTGCGGAGAAGCCAAAAGATACAAAAACGGCTTCAACGAATACTATTGCGAGTGGTGAATCAGAGTCGACGTCTGGTTTCACCGCAAAAAAATGTTGGTACGGGGTTTCATATGGTCTCTTATCGCTGGCAAGAGCGCTGACCAACATGGCGAGTGCGGCTGTCATTATCGCCTTCTACGTCCAATCCGTGTCCTTGCTAAATCCGTACGTGGTCGCGCTGTTGTCCTTCTGTCTGCTCGGCGAGCGCAAGCTGCCTCGAGGGTTCATGCTCTCTTGCGCATTGTGCGTTTGCGGATCTTTTCTCGTCATCGCGGGTGAGAACATCGTTAAAGGTCGGACGAGTTCGGGTCTTCTACGTAGGATGTCGGAGGACTCAACAACAGAAAATGAGCTGAGGACACAGATAGGAGCAGAAGTTCCAGCTCGTGAAGACGTAGGAGCAGAAGTTCGAGAAGCTGCTAGATCTTCTTCCTCATCAGGAACGTTAAGAATCGCATCCCTGACAAGGGTCCAGATGTCGAGCACCAAAAAAATTCAGAAAAACGACTTTCCAACTCGTGCGGAAGATCCTGCAGACGTCGCAGAACACCAGCATCTTGAAGAACGCCAGACATTACCGTTACGTCGACGCGCACTGCCTCCCTCTGATCACGCACGTCCAACGGGCCGTGTTTTGACTGCAGAACCTGACGAAAATGCACTCTTTGCGATGTGGAAAAGGGAATACCAGAAAAGAAACAAGATTCAGAATAGTGGTCATCAAGCAGCCTTATTGAATTCAGGAGCAGCAGGCGAAGGAAAGAATAGTCGCGATTTTGAGCTCTTCGAGCAGTGGAAGAAGGAACATAGAAGTAGTATTTCTTCAAACGGAGTCCTCGGAGCACGAACAAATGAGAAAGGCAAAGAAACACTGAAGCCACAGAACAAGAACATTGACATGCTGAGCACGACACCTGCAGGCCGTCCAAGTAAGCCAGCACAGCTGGATCCGAACGACCCTCAAAACATTCTGATCGGCGTATCATTGCAGGTGATTTCAATTTTGTTGTCGGGGCTCATGCGCATCGGCATGAAAGCGACGGCCCGTGTCGGTATCACAAAGCGGGAGCTTCAGGCATATCAGAATGTCTCCAATTTTGTACCCCTTCTCTGTGCTAGTTGGATTCTTGAGGGGTGGCAGAAAACGGATAGGGAACTTCTCAACGATGCAGAGACGAGGAGACTCACTGCATCGAAAAATGGGATTCCGATCGTGACGCACTTCGTGAAAGCAATAGGTGGTGGTTCTCTCCGTGGATGGCTTGTCTTTCAAGACCTTAGCCTATACGAAATCGGCCTTTTTCTAGTTTTTGCTCTTGTGGTTTTTTATTGGGCGAATATGGGCCAGATTGAAGCCGTTCGGGGTTTGGGACCGACGCTGTACTCCTCCTTCCAACCGTTGCGAATGCTGTCATCCATAGTCGGAAGCTACCTCATTATGAAGGAGGAAGTCGAGGTGTGGCTCAGCTGGCTTGGGATCGCAATTTTGTGCATCACACTTTCTTGCTATTTTGGTTTGCAGGTGAAAAGCAGCACGAACAGTGGCTCTTCCGCGTCTTCGTCCACTACTTCATCTGCAGACGAGAGAAATGTTCTATTACGAAGAACGAAGATTGAGTAGAAAATATTAGTTGTAGCTTTCCATGATCGTACGGGATACTGATTGATCGATATTGACGATTCCGCCAAGGGGAAGCATTATACATAGTGGTTGATAACGAGAGTTTTAAGGTGAAAGTCGTGACTTAAACAGGACAATAAAATAGCATAGTCAAGCAGGGTTAGCTTCTGGGAGTTGTGATTATGTGATGAAGCATCATACTGCGAACCCACGACCGCTAATTAGAGGAACGGTTACAGATGCTTCCAAAGAAAACCTTGAAAATGGAGGATTGGAGGCAGGTGTCGAAATGACCTACGACCAGCAATCAGGTGGTTCCACTTTGATTACGGCTGTTGCAAAAGCATCAGCAGCGCGATTCTTGGCCATATTTTTTTCTAGGAAAAGACTAAGGCAAGGATGGCGCTTACTATACTAGGGATGCGTTTTTACTGAGGTAGTTCTAATCCAAAGACGAAAAAGATACGGACGACACGATCAATTCTGGGCGGGCTGGGGTCAAGGAAAAGTTCAGATACCAGCCGTGCAGCTTTTCACGCATTGGTTGTGGACGAATCGACGACACTGGGCGTGGGAGTAATGAATTACCAGAAATTATGCGCGACCACATTGCTTTCTCCACAACCATTTTTGGCGCCCTTTTCGTTATCTAGTATGGAAGTAATAGGAATCGCCAAAAATGTGACGCCCCGAGAGATGTAATGTCGTAACTTCTAAAAAAAGCAGACGCAGCAGTTGTAGGTCGTACGGCTAGTGGTCGTGGTCATACTGCCACGTCGCCCGCTGAATAATTAATGCAGTTTCTGTGACAACTTCGTAGTGCAAAAATTGAATTGGATTTTGATATTTTTGTCAAAGAAAGAATGGATTCAAGCTACTGGAGCTGAAGCATTCAGCTGCATTTTTATGGATGCAGGAGCTTTCTTACTGGTGCCTACAAATGACTAGAAAAACGGTCGCACGATCGAGAAATCCATTTCTTTCTCCATTTTTCGAATGGAGGGCACAGACTGAATTAGCCTCATCGGTCTAGAGTTTGATATGTCGGTGTGAGGGAGGAACGCTTCAAAAGAAAAAGGAAAATGAGCAAGAGGCCAACCTATTGTCTGCTCCGATGAAATACAGACATTGCACATACTATACGTAGAGCACCCACCATTTCGTAAGATGGATTATGGATGGCATGGATTGCAATGCATTGCATGGATTGCTTGGCTAGGAGGAACAGGGACCCGACTCCCTTAAGGGGGAGGCGCGTACTTTTCTGGCCGGCTGCAGCGCCCCGCCCGACGCAGGCGCTGGCGTGAATTCCCTTGGCGCTTGTTGCCTTGACAGACTTGTTAGGCTCCGGCGCCCGACCGCGGACCCTGGGGGTGTGTAGTGGTAGTGCATGCTCTCACTGCTTTTTCAAAAAATTTAGGATCAGGATATGCTTTCTTTGACACATTTCGGCCGTGATGTAGTCGCCTGTGGAAGATTTTCGTTATTCAGCACCACTCTTTTTACAACAACCCGGATTTCTTAAAAAATACGAGGTAGATATAGAACAGAACCTAACTTGAAAGCTGACCATGTCTTCGTCGCCACGACATCTCGCTGCCCGGTTCCGGTTTGGTCAGACCATAGGCGTCGCATTTTTCTCGGCGGTCTCCGGGTTCTTGCTACAGTATGCGCCATCTGAGTGTGTGTCTGTGCGAGCATGGGCGGGGGAAGTTTCGTGGAAGGTGCCACTCGGGGTCGGTCTCGTCTATTTGGCCTACGCTTTATTCACCGTGTATCGCCTTCGTAGTTATGGCAGGAACACGAAATGCATCCTTCTTTGTAAAGGGATATCCAGATGATCATGAGGCGTGTGAACTACGGGGTGATCAGTAACCCACTTGCCCACTGTTCTAATTACGTCGCCAACAAGGAGATGCTGAGAAAGACGCACCACAGCAGAGTATAAAGAAAGACTCCAAAACGAAGAATGAGGAGCACGAAGCGACACCCGCTTCCTCAAGTTCGCATTCTAAGGTGGACTATTCGGAAGAGGTTGCATGTTCTAGCGCACCTTCAAGAAAAAGCTCGATAAGCAGCAACATTACAACATCGACGTCGTCGAGCGATATTTCAGACCAGTCAGCATCTTCAAATTCATCAGATGGGAAGAAACTGCGGGCCGCATGCGAAGCTGGAGGAGGACCCGGGGCAGACGCAGACGAAGAGTCACCACATAGCGAAGAGAAGAGTCGTAATTCGGATGTGGCAACCTCTTCAAAGGAGCTCTTGTCGCAAGGAACGAATGCTACTAAGAACGCATCATCAAGAGAAGCCCTTGCATCAACCAAGGCGACGACGGAAAAAGGTAATTTTTGTCTTGCACATCTTCAGAGTTGATACAACGAACTAGGGAAAAAGAATACTTCAGCATTCTTTTTGCATTATTGAGATGGACGTTGACAACCTCAAGGTAATCTTGGGTTTACAAATGTTTAGACTTCTATTGGCAATATTTACGTATGCTAAACATACTAGCTATTCAGTTGTTGATTGATATCGAAGTGTTGTTACCTACTGCCACTGAAAAAACGTCAGGTGCTTTGGAGGGGTTTCTTTTGGTGTACAACCTCTTCCAGATCCTTTTCAACGGGGGTTGGTGTATTGCCGTAGCTTTGCATATAATGGCTGAGCAGCAGCCATTACTTGGCGCACCGCTCTTGTGGGGTTCTCCTGACGGAACGGTGGATGCGGGAGGATGCGCTTTCGCATCCGTCTACATTAAGGCCACATAATATCGTATTCATATCGTGTCCTTTCCAACTGAACTGTGGTTTACTAGAGTATGCACATCAGCCCTGAGTACTCTTAATCTTTGAATTGTGCTTTGCTTTCGGAACTTGACGACACTTCATGTCGACCTTCGGACGTAGGGCAATAGCGTATCTCTAAGAATGTGACGTACCTGCTGTGGCTTCATTACGCAAACAAATTAGTGGAGTTTGCCGACACTTTCTTTATGATTCAGCGAGGCAAGGCAGCGCAGCAGCTTAGCTTTTTGCATGTTTACCATCATTTACTCATGGTCTTTGCATGGTGGGCTGTGCTGCACGAGTGGCCAGGCGGTGATGCGTGGTAAAAAAACATAAAACTTGACTTGTTCTCTTTCAACGTAGAGACATTGATTCAGAAAAGAATTGGACGCAAACCGCCACTCAAACTATCTCACTTTTCAGGATGTTCTTTCGGTTTCAAGAACGGTTGGTCGTTTGGCCTTGTGTAGCTAAAGCATTTCAGTTTCTTATGTGCCTATGCGACGTATTTACTGGTGGAGCACAAATGAAAATACCAGGTTTGGTGCATGGGTGAATAGTTTGATTCATGTCCTGATGTACATGTACTACTTCGTTGCGGCCCTCGGCGTGCGGATACCCGTTAGCGTCAAAAAAGCGATGACGCGATGCCAACTTGTGCAATTCGTAATCTGTTTTGTTTATGAAGAACGGCGCCTTTTGTTTGTAACTACATGGTATATGTGGGAACTTAGTTGCACGAAGTACCCGCCTTTGATTTCGACGAACAAAATTACGTGTCTAGTACGAAGTTAGTTCTAGTAGCTGGAATCATCGATCTGTCGAGGACATCAAGCAGCTAGATGATTCACAACGGCTCTTCTCTTCTAATCTTTGCACGCGTGCCTTTGTTGGTATTTGGCTTCCGTGCCACGACACGTTTGTGGTCTGCAACTGTACGTGATGGTGAACATGCTTCTGCTCTTCAGCAACTTCTATTCGAAATCGTACACAAAGAACAGCCCGAAAACGGGAGGTGCACCAGCAACGACGAAAAGCACCTAAGGAGAAGGATATGATCTTAATAGAGGAAGTTGTCCTGTTTCTGGTAGTGGTACCAGGCGAGTGCAGAAGAGATGAAGCTGGAGAGGCCTGTTGAACTACAACTAGAAGAGGAGCGAGTTGTAGTCGATGACGCAGCGGTCCACGAATGTGAGTACTTACAATTGGGTAGAAAAAAAGTTTCAGTACGACTCCGGCTAGAAGTACTTCCACCCGGTGGTAGTGCTTCGCTACTACTATTACTAGGTCTACCTTGATTGCTGTTGGAGGAGGAGGACAGTATGACGAATATTATACTAGAAGTACCACTGCTATACCTAGTACTACTACTACAACATTCTGTGTTTGCTGAACCTGAAAGCCTACAAAATTGGGGATGTTTTTTCGTTTTGAGCACGAGACTACAGTCATCTCTTTCGTGCCTTGGTCTTGCTAGCAGTATTGGACACGAATAGCCACGAACAAACTTCCGTGGCGTGACATCTTTCCTGTTCTTTTTGATTGGTTCGTTCTCGCGCCAATGCATTTCAATTTATTGATTGTACTAGACGCGCAGGATTTGTATGAGGTTTCCTAGAAGGCAAGTTTGGGTCGCTCAGAGGCGGTCATGGCAATACTTAAAGCAAGGAGCTTGTTGTACATGAGGACTGAAAATTATGAGCTGATTTTGATACGGGGATATACTAGATGATGCCGCCAGTCATATTCTTACAGTTACAGGTTACCACTTCTACTGTCTATTTTTGGATAGTCTTCGAGTCGTCGTTCTTGGCATTTGACCAGCGTGTGCCGCTTGAGATATGAAGCAGGTCTTTATCTGCCCTTCTACGACACGAATATGTGAAGTCGTGAATCATCGGGCTGTGGTCTTCTATCACTCCTGAAGATTTTCTAGACGTCTACAACGATGGCCACCCGCTTCACATCATTCAATGAAGAGGGTTTGGCATGGCAGGATGCACCCGCTCACTTAGTTCTTCTTCTTCTTCGGCCGGACAATGATCCAGGCAAAAATTCAGACAAGCTGTTTGCAAGACGGAAAAAGTGCGGGGCTTGCCCTTATTCCTGCGGGTCAGCTACTTAGGCAAGTCAAAGGCCTTACAGTGTTGAGATGTGGTATCTGATTCTGAAGGCTACAGATTCCATGTAAGTACTTAAATTAATCTCACTAACCTTTGTCGGAAGTCCTAGGGATGCCGACACGGCATACCACTCTCCTTTTTCTGCTTTTGTAGCTAAAATCTTGAGCCCAATTACCCTGTGGGGGTATGGCAATTTTCACTTTTTGTGCTGGATGCAAGATACTGCCCTTCGCCGTTCGGGACATTTTTTGGTCAACTTTTGAAGCCCAACTCCAAGTCGTAGGCATCGCAATTTTTGCTTTTTGGGCCTGATTTGAGCTGCAGGCTTTACACGCGCAGCGCTTAAGAGATGGATTATACGGCGATTTTTTGGTCAACTTTTGAAGCCCGACTCCATAGTCTGAGGCATCGCACTTTTTGCTTTTTGTGCCTGATTTGAGCTGCAGGCTTTACACGCGCAGCGCTTAAGAGATGGATTATATGGCGCGAGCGAGAGAAGAAGTCTATTAGAGAATATCACCAGAGAGAGACAGATCGACCGAGAGTACCTGGTCCTGGGATTGTCAAAAAAATAAAACGCCACGCGCGCGTTTCGAGGAATTACGTAGTCTCAATCAAATTAATAAATTTGGACGTATTTTACATAGTGCCGTGAAAAGGTCTAACTTTTGCAAGGTATGTAAGAAGTGATAAAATTGAACAGTTATTCTCATTCGGCGCTATTCTAGTCGAAGTCGATGGGAAAAATAATGTCAGAAAGTGATGTGCCGCCTGGAGGCACCACGTCGACGACATTGCTGGCAGACGAAGCAGATTATGTAGATCTCGGCGCAAAAAGCAAACCTACCTCCGGGTGTGACTCTGTACTTTGTAAAATTTTGATTTTCTACTTGAAGAATGCACAACGAACTGGTCTACCAAATTATGCTCCTTTATCCCACTAGCCCCCTGGAGAGGTTCCCCAGGGAGAGGAGTCGAAGGGAAGACGAGACACTCGCTAGAGGGTGAACGTAGAGGGCACGCAAAGAAGTGCGCTAACTTTCAAAATACTTTCAAAATTCATGTCCTAACTTTCAAAATTCATGTCCTAACTTTCAAAATTCATGTCCTAACTTTCAAAATTCATGTCCTAACTTTCAAAATTCATGTCCTAACTTTCAAAATTCATGTCCTAACTTTCAAAATTCATGTCCTAACTTTCAAAATTCATGTCCTAACTTTCAAAATTCATGTCCTAACTTTCAAAATTCATGTCCTAACTTTCAAAATTCATGTCCTAACTTTCAAAATTCATGTCCTAACTTTCAAAATTCATGTCCTAACTTTCAAAATTCATGTCCTAACTTTCAAAATTCATGTCCTAACTTTCAAAATTCATGTCCTAACTTTCAAAATTCATGTCCTAACTTTCAAAATTCATGTCCTAACTTTCAAAATTCATGTCCTAACTTTCAAAATTCATGTCCTAACTTTCAAAATTCATGTCCTAACTTTCAAAATTCATGTCCTAACTTTCAAAATTCATGTCCTAACTTTCAAAATTCATGTCCTAACTTTCAAAATTCATGTCCTAACTTTCAAAATTCATGTCCTAACTTTCAAAATTCATGTCCTAACTTTCAAAATTCATGTCCTAACTTTCAAAATTCATGTCCTAACTTTCAAAATTCATGTCCTAACTTTCAAAATTCATGTCCTAACTTTCAGAATTCTTGTCTCAACTTTCAAAATTCATGTCCGAACTTTCAAAATTCATGTCCTAACTTTCAAAATTCATGTCCTGACTTTCAAAATTCATGTCCTAACTTTCAAAATTCATGGCCTAACTATCAAAATTCATGTCCTAACTTCGAAGGTTAGGGCCCAAAACGTAAGCGCCTAACTCAAAACGTAAATTCAAAATGTAAATTCAAAATTCAAAATGTAAATTCAAAATTCAAAATGTAAGTTCAAAATGTAAATTCAAAATATAAAAAGAAAAATCAAAATTCAAAATGTAAATTCAAAATTCAAAATGAGAATTCAAAATCAAAAAAGAAAAATCAAAATCAAAAAAGAGAAATCAAAATCAAAAAAGAGAAATCAAAATCAAAAATGAGAAATCAAAATCAAAAATAAGAAAAGAAAACCAAGGCAAAACTTTATAAGTAAATAGATTGTTAGTGTGATTATTTCACCAAAACTCTGATCTCCTTGCTGATCACGGAGGCAGGAGACGGAGAAAATGTTGGATTCACGGACTTCTTGGAAAATATTTTTCAGGCCGACGTTCCGGAGGGAGCCTTGGATTCAGGAGGCAAAAGCTCCAAGCATAGCAGCTCTCCGGGTTCTGCCAGAAGTCCTCGTGCGGCCGCGAATCAGGGGGTGGAAGAGGATTCTGGACAAAATGGAGATGCTACCTTGCCTGCAGATGAAGATTTAAGGGTTGAAAGACTTGTCTTGCCATTACAACTACAATCTTCGAAACACCACTAGAATTCCTTTTCCTGTAACCACTTTTTAATGTACAGCAAGGGTTGTCTCGTCGAGGTCTTTGGAGTGCTGTATGCCTTTTTCGAGGAGATTAATCATTGTTAGTTCGGTTTCTAAAGCATGACGACGAAACAAATGAAGACGATGAGCAAGACGCGCCCACTATTGGCATGTCCAATCTCATGTTTGATGAGGAAGAGCGAAAGCAGCAATATGGCTTTGACGTGTTATCTTCTACATCTTTATTTGAAATGAGAGGACCATCTACAACTTGGACAGATGAACTCTAGCTTTTTCACACGTTGAAAAAGATCATGGATGGCGAGATGATGCTTTTTCCGGTAGAGAACTAAAGAAAAAACACGTCCTTTTTCATAAGGAGGACTACTTTCGTCGCTGGGAGTCTGGGAAGCCGCACCCTTATTGGACGGACACTGTGCAGTACCTCAACCTCGTCTTGTGATTTTTGAGATAATTACAAGCTTTGAATAGGAAGCTGGTAACTAGGGAGAAAGAACTATGATCCACTTTCTTTGGGTGATTCGGTAAATGTTGCTTGCGATTTTCTTCACGACAGGTTTGTAATTCCGCTTTCAGAGGACGGGAGCTGGGCATGGAGTTTTTCAATACCTGGTCTGAATGGCTACGTGATGAATTTTCTTTACTCCTGTGCGGTGCTTTTCTACATGTATTATACCTTAAGGCCACTGCTGGAGATTCTGGTGAAGAGGGTGCAAGAACCACACGACGTAGATGTCATAATGAAGATCGCCAGGAACGCCTTACCTCATGCGTAGAAAAGGCGCGTAAGTTGTAACTTTTGGGCACACGTCACGACCATTGCTGAAGATGTAGAGTAGTAATGATTGAGTGAGTGGTGGAGTTGCAAGTAGTTCATCGTTCTGTTCGTTGTTCTTGTTGTGGGCTGTTATTCATGTTTCCGACGTCTCAAGCTAAGCCTCATCATTCTCTAACTGTGGACGACATGTTTTACGGAACTATGGCGATGCTGGCGAGCCTGTCGATCTTTCCTCACCTCGAGCCCGAACCCAGTGACGCTGAGAGAAAGAAGGCGTGGGATGCTTTTTATAAAGAGGAAGCATTTCGGAAAGCGGAGGAGGAAGCTGAACAACGTTATCAAGCTGCGAACGCAGCAGAGGCCGAGGCTTCTGCTTCACCAGTTATGTTCTTCGGGTGCGGGTTGCTTTTGTTGATTTGATAATGTCTATTGACTATCATTTCTTTTACCGGGCTTGCTGTAGGATGCGTGCTGATAAATATTACTTTGATGATGTTGATGTTCTTGTTTTCTTCCTTACTTGTTACGACCACTAATTTTTACTCCGGCGTGGCCAAATTTCCCGCCGAAGCACCGAAAGAAGATGGTGGCTCTGCACGCAACCGAGCCAAGCCAATCGGAGTCGAACCGGCTGACCTCGACTGAAGAACCTCCCTATCTATGCATACATGTGGATGCTGTGAGTGTCCATTTGCTGCATTTGTAGCCTAATTGGAGCGCGATGTCTTTTTCCTCCACAGCGTGTGCCTGATGCGCTAGTTTTGCATTTTCGCTGAATCAATTGGCCTTTGCAGTGGTGTATGTAAGTGGTGCCTAGTGAGCCTAGGTTTATCCCAACACACAATATATAAGTGGTACCACTTCATCGGTTATTAGCCTTATTAATGCTCTAAGTAACTAAAAAACTTCGCCGGAAAAAAATCCCTCCTCCAATCAACTTCCACTCGCCTCCAATCAAAAACTTAGTGCAGCTGTTAGTTTACCTAACTACCTACAATCTAGACCCTCTATCGATATAAGTGGTGCCTAGAGATCAAATTAGTCGGAAGGGAAAGTGTGAACAAGCGATGCTTTTTAGTAAAAAGTCCAGTGATGATGATGATGATGATGATGATGCAGTTCTTTTCTTACATAATGGGTTAAAATGTTTGTGCAGCCTGCATATGCTTACTCGCTTGAAAAAATTGTGCTCCGAAGAAGGATATGAAGCGCTTTCGTCACATCGGAATTATCTGAGTGGTAAACTCCATGTGTTCAGAACAGATTACAGGAGTGTAAATGGGAAATTGATTAGTGAAGAAAGATTGATCATACTTTCTGAGAACTTCATTCAATAGGTGAAGACTTTCGTCTTCTGCCTAAGCACGCATGTCGCCTGGAATTCAAATCCACCTTATGGGACAAAGACACAATACTGATCTACAGCTGCACACGGGAGGGAGCTGCAATGGTTTTTTTCCGCGTTCTGTGATCATATTATGGCCTTGCTTTTTGAATTCTCTTTGAAAATTTAGGGCTGTCACTCGATGCGGTTCTGTAACTACAACGACTTGGAATTTGAATTAATTCTTACGGCTGGGAATAGCATTAAACTTTAGGATCTTTTTGCTTGTTCTGATCCCCAGCTGCAGCTGAAAATGTTTTTTCTCTTGCGTCTGAACTGATTATTGATGCAGTCGTGTCTTCAGGTCCTCCCATGACGAAAATTTGTGTCTTTTGGACCAGGTTTGGGTTTGCAGTTTCTTTCATGTTTGATTGTGGTCGGTCTGCATGAGCATTAGTTTCTGACTATGAAAGTGAATTTGTAGTCATTGATGTCTTCATGAATGGCGGGTCTACGTAGTTCTTCCCGTGCTTTGCCGTGGCGACGGGGTCAGATTGCATTCCTTACAACCACGCGGCTTTTGCAGTAAGTTGATCTTTCCACGGCGTTGGAGACGAAAGGTAAGCCTATGCTGCAGCAGCCATCGCAGGAGTAGGTCTTTGTACAAAGCATACCTAGTGGATATTTTCGTTTCGGGAAGTCAGATAACACAGGAACAGGCAGACGTGCTTCACTCGCTTCGTAACTGTTGGCGCTGCCAAGAATAGTCCCCACTCACCAGCAAGGTCTACTGCTGAAGACAACTGCAAGCAAGAAAGATTTTTCAACGGCGCTGTTGATTGTACCTCGTCGACTTCTACTTGGGAGCAGTACTACTCTACTTGGGTGCCATTCTGCCTAGTGTGCTAGGTAGTATCTGCCTACGACTTGTTCGCTTCTCTGTTGTATTCGGTGGGAATAAAGTTACTGCTGCTGCTCCATAAACCACGACAAGATGGTGCTCGCTGATTTGGGTTCGCAGCTTACTGGCGCCTTGCGCAAGCTGAACTCAGCGACGGTGGTCGACGATGAAGCGGTCGACGAGTGCCTCAAGGAGATATCCAACGCGCTCATGAAAAGTGATGTCAACATACGATACGTTGTGTCGATGAAAACAGACATCAAGAAGAAACTCGCGGCGCAAGAGGGGGAAGGAATCAACAAGAGGCGGAACATACAAAAACTGGTCATGGAAGCGCTTGTCAAAATGGTACTTACATACTGATTATGAAGAGTACATCTACTATGTACAATTCTTACGCAATAACAGGAGAGCGGACCGCCGCCTGTTGGTAGCAATTTTGTAAGCTCATTGAATATTGTTTTGCAAGAAGTAAAATCGCACGTGACAGGTATCAGCCCCACAGCCTTTGGCAAAGTTCTCAAGGGGGAAGCCAAACGTGGTTATGTTTGTCGGTCTACAGGGTGCGGGAAAAACTACGTCTTGTACGAAGTTTGCACACTACTACGCGAGAAAAGGCTTCAAGTTACGTTGAAAGACTTGTATGTAATGAAATAGAAATCGCGTATGTACGACGTACAAAAACAGATAACCCATCTGACTCTCCTCCTCAGCTTCAAAAACCTCAACTGTTTACCTCTCGAGTGTCATTTTCATCTCAGTATAAGTATTGACAATCGTGGTCTCACACTTTCGTTTGTACTTTGTTTATTCGGTAACGATCCAGGGTTCGATTGATTTGAGCCTCGTCTAAGTCATACAGCCTTGGTTTGCGCAGATACGTTTCGTGCAGGTGCCTTTGACCAGCTGAAACAGAACGCAGCGAAAGTAAAGATCCCTTTCTTTGGCAGCTATAGCGACACAGACCCTGTCCGAATCGCAGAAGAAGGGGTTGAAAAATTCAAGGCAGAGAAGTACGAGGTATAGTGCTTAGATAAAGAACTCAGGATTTTGCTCTTGGTCCCGTCCGAGTCGTTGATTACTTCCACCCGGATCTGATGATACGAAGGAAGATTGTTAATGACAATCGTAGAACGATTTAGAAAACACACATTCTTGTAGAAAACTGGTACTGATTTTATTCCCATGATGCAGCTGTAATCTTTACTCTTCAGTTAAGAATACACAATAGCTAATCGATGTACACACAACTTTGATCACACAGATGATAATAGTCGATACTTCCGGACGGCATAAGCAGGAACAGGCGCTCTTCGAGGAGATGGAGCAGGTGCAGGAGGCCGTCAGCCCACACGAGATAGTTTTCGTGATGGATTCACACATAGGACAGGCCTGCTTTGATCAAGCGCGAGCCTTTCACGATGCCTGCGGGTACTGCTCATTGGATAATTCAGGACTGATCTCGAACTCGATGAATTTTTCTAGGTCTAGGTCAATTTACGGCCTACTTATCATCATGAGTGTATAACCTGTAATCTTCTACCTAGAAGATTGCGATTTGAATTGCCAAATCAAAGGTCTATCGGGTCCGTGATTGTTACCAAGCTAGATGGTCATGCGAAAGGTGGTGGCGCGCTTTCAGCTGTCGCCGCAACTGGTGCCCCCATTAGATTTTTAGGTACGGGTGAGCATTTCCAGGACTTTCAGATGTTTGACGCGAGCAGTTTCGTCAGCAAGCTTCTGGGGTTAGGTGATCTCAAAGGCTTGGTTACCACACTGCAGGACCACATGCCGGATCAGAAGGAGCAGGAGAAGATGGTAGAGCGGATGAGTCAGGGTGAGTTTTCACTGCGAGACTTCTACCAGCAATTGAAGACAATGATGAGCATGGGGTCAATTAGCAGCCTAATGAGCATGATACCAGGGATGGGCGGCCTCGCCGAGGGAATGGGAGCAGGCGGCGAAGAGGAGGTAGGACAGCACTTCAATCGATCTTAGTCTACTTGATATCACATTATGCTCTACTGTAACATTGTGACACCTTTCTTATATAACTTTCACTTGCATAAAAGAGCGATTTCTAGGTCTATTTACGAGCTGTGTTATTTGTGTCTTCATTTACATCGGAATCGTCATCTTTCTTTAGCCTTCTCATCATCACCTCTTTATCGTCTACACTGAATCCCCATCTTGTTTTCGACTACAACCTCCAGGCACAGAAGAGGCTCCGCCGGTTTCTTACAATGATGGACAGTATGACAGAGGCAGAATTAGACTGCAAGCCGGAGGCCAGAATAGAAAAAAATCCAACGAGAATACTACGAATAGCGAGGGGAGCCGGGGTCGATCCAAGATATGTCGCTGAAATGTTAATGGAGCACAAGAAGTACTACTTGTTCCACTATGATGATGATCTCTGTAGAACTAGAACAAGAAGTTTCATTAAATTATACCTCATACGTTGTGATTGTGTTTTTGTGATGATTCTTGTGGCAACGAACCTATTCGAAGTAGATCTTCTGTGATGATTACTTCAGAAGAACTTCTTGACCTACATCACGACCAGGTTTGAGAAAACGATCGGCAAGCTTGGTAAAAGTGGCATTATCGGCAAGGACCCGAAACAGATGATGCGAAACCCACAAGCAGCTATGAAAGCCTTGCAGGGTGCGATGGACCCTCAACAGCTTAAGCAGATGGGCGGGGCGAACGGGATGATGAACATGGTCAAGCAGATGGAAGGCATGTTCGGAAAGGGAGGCATGTTATGGCACTCGTTGTACAGGAAACAATTATATATAACAGACTAGAACTGGTAATTTAGTGAAGCCAAAAAGTATGGGCGCATCAGCATCTCTGCTTTTTTTGGCATTGCTATTGCGCTTGAGGCGTATTTGTAATACGAGTTAAGTACAACTTCTCGTTGTAGTTGTGACTCAGAGAGATCTACTACCTAGCAAGATCATCAAGATATAAAACACTGCTGGTTTCGGCTTCGTTAGTTTCCAATCCCATAGAACAAGATACCAAACGAACCACATCTAAGAATCGGCGGTGCAGGTGGAATGCCAGATATGTCCGCTTTTAGCGATATGATGCAAGGCATGATGGGCGGTGGAGGAAAGGGAAAAGCGGGGAAAATGAACGCATTGATGAACATGATGGGCAAGGGTGGAAAGAAGTAGTAATGTAATGTTTCCAATTTCATTCGACTTTATCCCTTCATTCTGCCGATATATTGGTCAGGAGTACCTGTTCGATAGTGGATCGATTGCTACGTCGAGAGCACCAAGGTAACACACGCTTACACAGCAACCACCTGTTGCGCAGAAGCTCTAAGGACGTGGTAGAAGTCTTAACGAAGCAGTTGAAGACCCATCGACCGGACCTTTCATCCTCCCCGTTCTCTCCCAATTATCCTCTTACGCTTATTACACTTTTCATATTCATGATCCAGTGATTAGTAGGGTACGGATGCGACCAAAAAATGCCTCCCTTTTTCCGCTCCCCTCCCTTTGAACATTTCGTCTTTGAAATAACCAGGAGCCCTGGATGCGTCCTGCGCGATATCGACTACGGACGATCTAGATCGTGTCAAAGATTACGGACGTTGAGATTCCAAAACTGCGGTGTTCGCATTTGTTCTACTTGTGCTGTCCTTCTGAGTAGAGGATGTTACCTCCAGAGAGTACTTGAATGAAAATCATTTAGTCGGCCTGGCTGTGCTTGCTGTTTTACTTAGTGGCTGGACAATCACATCTCCAGATGAAGTATCAAGTAGTGTGGATCTTCCTTCTAGACCTCTTCCAATTTCGTGAGTACCAAGTGCACCATCTATTGCTGCTGGGTAACGGAACTAGAATAAAACTGTTCCATAGAAAATACCTGATCTTGCGACGCGATTGATCATGCAGGTCCTCTTCCTCTTTTATACAATACTATGCATATACTAGTTCGTAACTACTAGTCAGTATCAGTCCTCGCCCCGCTATATCCCAAGCAACAGCTTTCGCATTACATCTTTTATGAGTGTGGTGGGAAAGGAGTCCTCGGGTTACGTTTTGGCCACCGGCGCCGTTTTTTTTTAGTTGTTGTTTTCCTTGTCAGCACACTTTCATATTATTTCGCTCTTTTTTCTAGTCTATCCTCAGTATTTCCTCCGTCCTTCGAAGACTCAGAAAAACATGTCGCGTGCCAACGTCACTCTGTATCGTGCAATTCTTAGGGCTGCGCACAAGTTTGAGGATGCGAATTTCAAGGCTTATTTTCTTCGAAGGGTATCTTGGTTTATATCAGTACAGAAGATGTTACTTTCTACCCTAGTCACAGAAATCATCTATCGATTGAAAAGGGTTTTATCTGCCGCTCCACGATTTTGCAAATGAGTATTTGGATTAGTATCAATACTCTATACACAATGAATGACCATATCAAGGGCACACACATGACATACACAATGAACCATTACTACTTTCCCAGGCACGGGAAGACTGGCGGTCAGGGAGAGGGGAGGACTCGGGATTTGTTGCGGAACAGAAGGAAAACTTGCGCGTTCTCGAACGCCAGGGGGTCATTTCCTCTTTGTTCCCGTCCCCGAGCTACAGCGCAGAAAACAAACACGGTCCGTCTTAGATGGCATGTGTGGTCCCTGAGAGAGCCCATGGAGCAGTGACGTCTTTTCAGGACATAATTTGGCTTTTTCCGCCTGCACGGCACGACCGAATACAACTACGGAGCTGCGGCCTAAGAATCACGTCGAAGCTCTCAGGGACTCTTACTGAGGGCGATGATGAAGGGCTGTGCGACGCAGACTATTGCGTGGTGCAGCTGCGCCAGCATCTGAAGCGGTTCGGCAGGTCGTGACTTCTTGCTGTTTGATGCAGGTCGTGTGGAAAGAGCCGATTGAATGTGTCTTGTCGCTATGGATGCGTACTTGGACACGACATAATTTTCGTGTATTCCCTGCTCCCCGCCTTCTTCACATCACCCTGACTTCCGCCGCAAGGCTTCCGACTTTAGAATTCGTGCTGGCACGATCTTCGCCTGAAGAATCTTACCCCCGATAAAAGATGTTACACCTCTGTTTTCGCCTCAGTATGTAGGAAATTTTAGAATGGCATGTTCCAAAATCTTGCTACTCAGGGTCGGTTGTGTTCTTCAACAATTATCCTGTGCAATCCCATGATTCCTGAAGCGTCCAATCCTTTGCTCCGTGTTTGTGAAACAGATCAAGAGCTGTCCTCTGATGATGAAGTCATGTGTTTTTATCTGCGAATCCGAAAACGAAGGCGGGTGAAGTCAACCACACATGCTGTGGCTGTAGTGTTTGAACATTTTCTTGCTTATGATAAATAGATCCTGTTCAATAGTTGGCTGTCTCTACATCCTGACAGTTGTGTCTTCATGATCATGGTTGTACTCGTTGTCGGCATGGTGCTCTTGACAACTCATCTTCGCCTGAAGATTCTCTGATAAAGAAGGTTTCCGGTTTCTCTTGGGTCGTTTTCCTCTCGGTTCTCTAAGTGGTAGAAATTACTAGGAGTAAAAGTAATATGAATATGTATCTATAAGTCCGCACCGGAGCAGACGTCAAGATCATGCTTTCCGATGTTGGCTTCTCTGCTTTGTTGGCACTTCTTGTGTGTTGAACTCGGCGATCGACAGATAACGTTTAAAGAAAGATGCCTGCTGGAAAGTTCATGCGCAATAATATGTTGTGAATTTCAACATGCAGAAGAATAGCTTTTTATGAATTTTTTTTTGAAAAAACACCGACCTTCTGGTACTGCTTTTTTTGTTCGCGTATTCATGACAACTATTCACTTTGTTTTTTCTAGAAATCTTTTATTTTTCGTCTTCTGCAGAATGCTTCTCATCCTGTTGCATCTTTTTACACTCTTTGATCAAAATTGTTGTTTTCTGTCCCGTGTCTCTCTCTGTTTGGTGGTTCTACGTCGACGCTGTACGCAGATGCAGATCTTACGAGGTTGACCACTCGGCGTTCGGCATCGCTGTGACCTTCAAAATGGACGGTCTCTGTAAGGCGCATCCGGGTCACAAGTGGCCGTCGGGAAATGCGAGCCGCACTTTGGTTGGATGGGTCATGATGAAACCGAATCAATGCAGCAGAACCGGCGCCTATCCTGTCTTTGGGTACCGCACTTGGGGACACAGGGCACAAGCTTACGCGGTGTGCACCTGGGGTCACGTGCAAAATTTCAAGTTTGAAATGTACTCCGCCAAGAGCACGCTTGGCGACGGCGACGCTGCAAAGGGAGACTACGGCATTTTGATTAGTATGCCATTGCCACTCGAATCACGTACGCCATTCGATGTCTGGCAACACGTTGCGTTTATGCACGACAAAGACGGGGGCCAAAACAAAGCGTACATCAACGGCACAGTCGTGAACAGTGGCACGCCCTCGCCTCGGCCGAACACACCAGTAGGAGTCCATGGGGCCTTCGCTGTTGGTGGAGCAGCTCACATCTGCTGCGATACGCTTGGTACAGGTGACTGAACTGCGGACGAAGACGATTCGACCACCTGCTTCAAGTACGAGGAGGATAACAGCCAATGCAATTTCTTTTCGATTAGCGACATTGGACACTTTGCAGTTTAAATACGACGAAGCGCTAAATGATGAACAGATTCTCTTTTTGGCCACGTCTTTGACAACGACGAAGGCGAAGGCTGCTCCACCGAAAGCGAAAGACGGGGAAGAGGAGGAAGAAGTAGAAGAAGAAGACGAGAGCGCGGCTTTCTCAATGTACACGCCGCAAAATAACCGAATTATGTGGCTGCTTTGCAGCTGCGCGGCTTGCTGGGCGTGGATCTGCTCAACGTTTTGATGCAAATCGCGAAGTCAGGGCTCGCCCGACTAGTAGGCTACTCTATGATATCAGAATAATAATAAAGAAATATTGAAGCGGCCATCTTCTATTTCAGACATGTCAAAATTTTTCTCGGGGAAGAATGAGCGACCTGCCTTCCACCTCTCTATATTTTTGCGAAATGTTAAAGTTGCTAGAAGATGAACTAAGTAGTACATTTTTCATCTTCTCGGTGATGGTGGCCCTTGTTCCTCTCTACATTTTTGCGATCGAAGAAAGGACCCTATACTCTCCCTATAAATTTTAGTTTTCCATTCTCTCTACTTCACAACACAGGGATTTCTTCAAACATTCACATCTCTCTACTGTTTGTATACGCGTGCGAACCTGGTGCCTGGAGAAATTCAAATGTTCGTATGCGTATTATTCAACTTGGGAAATGGAGTCCAAGTGTCTGTTGTGTTTTCTTTCGATCTTTTCTCTCTGCAATCCTTTGCCCTTCGTTGTCGTAAAAACTCAGCGTCAACAAAGCCCACTTTGTGGAGTCAACTGACCTTAGGGAGGCCGCATCTAGTCCTAACGAAAAAAAAACAACGCAGACCTAGACATGTGTGCGAGTACCGAATGAATGAAGCTGGATCCTTTTAATGACAAACAAGGTGGTGTGATCACCTCCCCTCTGAGATCATACATCTCACATTATCTTCATTGGATCACTTTCACTGGATCGATGTCGAAGATCATATACGAATTCGATCTGATTCATTTGGAATGTTAGAGTCATCGACGAGCCAGAACACACTACGCTCTCATCCCGACCGAAGATCCTCCCGATCCTTTGCTACTTGAGGGAGGATAAAAACGCTAGGATCCAGGAATCAACAATAAATGAGTACTAGCTCTAACCATGTACTGTCGCGCTTGACGATCAAACATACTCAGTTATTACAAGAGCCCAGAAGATGGCGGAATGAAAAATATTGATATTTTAGTTTCTGCATCCTGTCTTAGGCTTCCTGCAGTAAATGTAGTCTTCTACTCCTCATCTTCGCCATGCAAGAACAGCGATGAGTACTCGAGTCACACCAAATTTTTGGACATTAAGCAAATTTGAACGGATTGATACTTTTCTAGGTGCGTACTTCTAGCAGATCAAGAGGAGCAAAATAATCACCATGAGTGTTGTTTCACGAGAAGACGTGGAACATTCCGCCAGGGTCAGGGTGGACAGCAATAACCTGAATCTAGAGGCACTCTTCGGCGAGGTGTTTAGTTCCTCTGCTCGCAATGTTGCGACGAAATCGTCCAGTTCTAGTAGAACACGAGGCGGTCTGGACCCAGTAGTTTCTAGCGGCCACTTGAATTGGGACATCGACGTAGGAGAAATTGGAGATGGGCTCTATTTCGAGCAAGACACGCCGGTTGACCTTGGTGCGGCCCCAGGCGTCTCGCGATTACAGCCCGTGACATTGAGTCATGCGACTACACCTGCAGCAAGTTTGTCCCATAGGACGCGGCAGCAGCAAACAAGCGAACTCGCGGCCTCAGGGTCGTTTCCTTCAAAGACTGAAAAGCAGATTGAGAAGGCGAAAAAAGCGGCGGCGCATGTGATGAAAATCGATTGCGTTCCTGATCACGGCGTCATTGGAAGTCTCTTGGCGAAATTTGGCGGTCCGGATCCAAAAACTATTTTCTCATCAAAAACATTGACTCCTTCATCAGGTCGTGCCATTGTCGACGAGGACCTGAAGAGGCCCAGTTCTAGTGCTGGTGAGACATCATCTTCCACTTCTATAACTGCAAGAACTACAACAGGTGGAATCCTCTCACGCGCTAGCGGTTCCCTAGCACCGGTGGCAGGGTCCTTTGCGGAGAGAAAGCAGCAGAAGCGGGCTCAGGCACATGCGCGCAGCCTTGTGCGGAATGGGTTGCCGAAACAGGAGCTCACGCCAGAGCTGGAGAAGGAGCTCAAGTTCTTGCAGCTACGTGCTTATGCAGACCCAACAAGGTTTTACAAAGGAAACGACACCAAGGAGCTGCCGACGCACTTTCATATGGGCGTGGAGGTTACCGGCGACCGCGAAATGCCGGCCGTGCGCATGGATGGCAAAGCCACTGTCACCCTTGGCGACGGACACGACTTGCGCAAGAAAAAGAGAAAGGTACCACTTTGGAGCACTTTATCCTGCTACTATTTGTATCGTAAGAATTCCCTACGAGCGCATAATACGTCAACGTGCGAATTACTGAAACATGTAGCTTTTAGTAAATCCACAGTCTTGTAACCCTAGTATTCCGATACTACAGACAAAAAAAGATATGCTCACCGAAAATATATATTTGCTTCAACTGTCGTCCTAATGACCACACCCTCCGCAGGGCCAATCATTTATGGCAGAGATGCTGAAGGATCAACGGGTCCAAGAGTGGAACGACAAGCGGTACAAGGAGATTGGTGCCTACGGCCAAGAAGGAAGCATCGTGAAGAAAGCGAACACGAAGAAAAAGGGCGCACACAAGAATGCCTGGAAAAAAAAGAAGAAGTAAGCTCCATGATGTGCTTGTCTATGAGAGTGAGAAAAATACAACAAGACATCGTTGTATCATGCCCACAAAACCCACACATCACTTCTACGTGAAATATTCACACGACCTCCACCAAAATGCAACACTTTCACTCAATGTAATTGCTCAACGACAAAAATGTCTCTATATTATATAAATATATAAACATAACCGTGAACTAAGAAGACGCAGAGCATTCATGTTCATTGCGAACCTCCAAGTCGGATTCCAAGAAATACGTCAAACTTTTGCTGGCGTCCTGAGTGAGATTCTTCATCATGGGCTGGCGACTTCCGTGAGCAGCTGCGTTTTTCCCAATGTACGTGACTATTTTGGCTCAAGGTTCGTCCCTGATGCCTGTATCCAACATAACAGTGAGACCCAACCGCAAGAAGAATAACGTAGAAACGAATAAAATATTGTGAACAATCGAAATTCCATCAATCAGAATCATCGTAGTTGATTCCCCTGGCGGTTGGGTCTATAATGGGGCTAGAATAAGTAGGCCGGATGAGTACGGCGCGTTCTAGTTCTGATTAACTCAAACCAAATGGCTAACTGATTCTGTTGCGTTGGTGATGGATGAGTAGGCAGTTAACTCAATCACATAGGTTTCGATCATCAGTTTAGGAACAAAATGATGGGAAAGAGCTGCAATTGCAAAGACAGAACTAGAAGGAGCACGGGGGCTGGCACGTACGTAGCGGAGCACCCAGTCATACAGTGGATGGAGCAACTGGCTAGTGGTGACAAGGATAGGGGTCAGCACGTCGAGGAATCTTCGGCTTCTTCTAAGTGGGGGATGTTCTTATCATCGTCTACAAGAATGGAGGCTGAACAATTAACGCAGTACATCATGAAGAACATCATGGAAAAGTGGAGCGAAAATGATGGAGGGAAAGCGTTTGCACTTGCGTATGGAATGGAATTAACGTTACGAAGGCAGCAGAAATCATCGATCACCAACGGGGCAAGAATTACAGGGGCAGAACTAGAAGCACCAGAGCACAGGGATGCGTAGACGTTTAGATTTTGCGCAGCTTACCAATAAAGTTCGTGCTCAAATTAGCTTGTGGGTATTAATTCAGTTAAGTTATCCCTCTAGCTGAAAACTGGCGCGCGGTGCAAGGTGCTTGTGGTTGGTTGATCTCGTCCCGTTTGAAGTGGAGGCGTTTGGTGGCTATTATCCATGACCTGTAGTTCTATCTCTCGGCGTTGTGGTCATCAAATCCTGCCAGCTTGGTTGGTTTTATCTTGTTTGTTATGCAGGCGCTTAGTGTCTATTATCCCTGACCTCTTTTACCATTCGGGATATTCCTATTCGTTTGTTCTTAGCTCGCTCTATCGTGCGTTTGCCTGCTTGTGTTTTAGTTCGTTGGGTAAAGTTTATTTTCATAGGGTTTGATGTTTAAGTTGTTCGTGATTACTTCAGTACTCTGTCGTTTCAGATTCATTGATTTGCTCTGGTGGTATATTTCTGCTTCAAGTTTACTCATATCTTAAATGCACACTCAGCTCAACATCACTGAAAATTCAGAGCCAGGACGTTGAGCGCATCCCTCCCTCCCCTCTTGCTGAACTTACCCCAGATTGGGCACACGAATACCATTCTGCAGGAGAAAGGATCGCAAAACTTGCAAAATTGAGCGATCGAAATTATCATATCACTGCCGTGACTGCCTCCCGTATCTAAGAGGTAGTAGCCCATTTCGAGGGTGAGGGGCTGGCAAAATTTGCAAAGTTGGGCGATGCTGTGCTACGAGTCACTACGTAGGAGGTAGTCTTCCCGCGAAATGCAGCACCCACTTTGAGAGGAGGAGGCTAGCGAAAAGTTTAACATCACTGGATAGAGGAGGAGGCTAGCGAAATATTCAACATCACTTGATAGACTGCTCTATTAAGTCGGTTTCTATCTGTTGTAGCAGACTCGGTCACGGCCATGCTATGTATACTATAGTGTGTGTAGACCGATTGTTTCGGTCCGACCGAAGCACTGGCGTATACGGCGTCTGGATGCCAAAATTTTGTGCCCGTTTAGAAGCCGGAAGACGCGCAAATTTTTCAAATTACGTGTCCGAAAGAATTTTCAGCATTGCCGCCTGAACCTGAATAGAGGGCATCTCTTCTCCCCAAAAAAGAGAAGCGACACCGCCCAATTTGCAAAAATGATACGAAAGAGCCACTTGACGATTGCAACTCGCAGGACCAGGTGCAAAAAGAAAGGATCCCGAATCAGACGGGAAAAGAAAGGAGCAAGATATACTGAGTAATGTTAGAAGAGCCTTCGATTATCCCGTCATTATGGTGGAAGGATCCCAAGAAAGATCGCGAACCAAAATATAAGTGTGCATAGGATTCTTGTGAAGAGCATTTTATTCCTGTCCATCTGCCGTGTACCAGGACCTGAACAAATGTCAGTTCAGGGCTGAAAAGTCAACTATTCAGTTCCAAGCATCATTCATGGCTTCGCTCTAACGTGAGTAATGAGTCGACTAACAATATTATGGTCACAAGAGTATGGTTCCTATTGATCCTTAAACAGAATTCGGAAAAAGGATCACTTCCTGCGATCCTCATAGAATAGGAAAGCTTATTTTGAAGCAAGGTGAGCTATCCTCGTAAAAGCCGCAGCAGCGCAGTTCTGGCAGTTACGTTGATCTAAGAAGAGTTGTAAAGCTAACCGAGTAGGTATATTTTCATAACCATTAAGTATTCGATCTCCATTGTCATTAACTTCAAAGCGTGGTTGATTGTTTGATTGTTGTAATTCTACTTTTGTACTTCTACCTCCAAGCAGGGACTAAGTTCCCGTGCCTGACTCATCGTCATCTGCAAGCAAGTAGATCTTCAAGGAGGAAGTTTGAAACACCATAGATATTTCCCAACTAATACAAATCCAAAACGTCGTCCAAATAGTACTAGCTCAATCAAACAAATCGTAGTCTGTTTTTCCGTATTCAGTTCGTGCTAAGGTAATTCATCAATCAACAAAGATACTTGCAATCACCGCCTGCTTCTATTACAGTTCTCCTAGAAGTGCCATCTGATTACGTAATATCATTATATTACGGCAGAGTCAATCATTTTCATCCACGTTGTACTGGTCCTAGGATCACGAGAACGAAGAAAATTATGAATATTTTCGCTCAACTGGCCAGCTCGGAAACGTCCGAAAGCGGGTCCGAGATGGTCGGGTCCGCAGGACCGGCAGCCATGAGTCGTTCCAAGAAGAAGCGTGAGAAGAAGAAAGTGGCAAAGCGCAGCGTGCCGCAATCGCCTTCCACGAACAAAATTGAGGAAGAGACCAAGACCTCCTCCATGACCATCACCGTCTCCGAACTGGAGGAGGCAGTGCAACAAGATGTGTGTGCTGGTGGTACTTCATCTTCTAAAAAGGAAGATGTCAAGAAAGTTTTAGAGCAAACTTCCTCCTGCAGCAGTACTAGTACGCCCGTGCAGCTGGTGAAATCTTCATCGTCCCCCGTGCAGCTGGTGAATTTTCTGCAAGCGGTCAACGCTGTCCCAGTAGAGCAGATGCAGTACACCGTTAATACCAGCGATGCCGATGCTGCGAGTTACAAGACGCTTTCTAACCTTTCGCCATCACACAGTCAAAAAGAGACAAACGAACTACCAGAACGTGTTGTTCTAGAGGATGCTCCTCGAGTCGTAAACTCGCCCACCATGCGTTCGGCTTCCGCGCAAAAAGGAGCTGGAGAAAGGGTGTCAAAGCAGGACGAAGGAGATCATGCGGACGCGAAGAAGATTGAACCTTCCACAACATCACCGAGGACGCTGTCAATCGTAGCGGGCCTCGACATGGACTCCTCGCGTCGTACGCTCTCGCTGTGCAAGATCGTCAACGAGTTGGACTTGGGCTCGTTGAACAAGAAAGAGGAAAAGAATCCGTTGCCAGCTGATGGTCCGCTTCGTCAGGACAAAGGCGTGCAAGACGTCGAGGAACAGACTACGCCGCAAGACGAGATCGACACGAGCTGTACTGCGGGAAATCGTAAAGGTCAAGAGCTGATCGAACAGGTGCCTGCAGAAAAGCGTGCTGTTGAGGCTGAGAATAATGCAGGACGGAAAAAGGGTGCGAAAAAGGGCAAGAGCAAAGGTTTTGGAAAAGGTTCCACCTACGTTTACACCTACGGAGGTTCCGCGTCCCCTAGCGAATTTACGCTTACGGCGAAAAAGGGCTCTATTGATAAATCTGCTTTGCAAGGAACGCGAGCGGAGTGGTGGAAGGGTGCTGCAGGTTCGGGATGGAAAGGTGCCGCACATCCTAATATTTTTGGCGGGAAATCAAAGGGGAAACAATACTTTCCTGTTGGCAGGCACCAGTACAGTATGTTGCCCTTCGCTGATCAAAGCTTCTTGTGTGTTCCCTCTGCGGTCGCAGAGTCCATTGCTGCTTCTGCTCATTACCCTGGTACTGAGTCATTTTGGTATTTTCCACCTTACAGCCCCCATTACGATCTTCCGCTTGGTGCTGGTTTTACAGTAGCACAAGGATCGGATCACCTTGGCACGCCACTGAATGCTCATCTCCCGAGCACACCCGCAATCGGACATCAGCATCTACTGAGCGCACAGGAGACCCCAATCCGTTCTCCTACAACAAACGAGCGGGACTCGCCTTCATCTACCGAAAAATGCCATCGCTTCGATGCCGGTGATGCTTGGAGCGGAGGGGCTGGAGGGGCCAAACAAGATGGAAAAGGCGTCGTTTCTCCCTTTACGCCCGCTCGTGGAGATGCTGGCAAAGCTGCAGATCAGAGCCCCGTGACCGCGAAAAAGAAAAAGAGGGCTCCGCGTGAACGTATATCTTCGAGTGAAGACGGCCAGGACACCACTAAACCGCCGATGGCCGCGCCGCCAGGACTCGCCGACGTTTCGCTGGCGGACCGCGCTCGCAACAGCGATCACGAAGCGGATCGCCAATCGTTGCTGCACCGTCTAAAGGAGTTCCGCCGTTCGCTACAGGAACAAGAGAAGCAAGAGCAGAATAAAGATGATGTACTAAATCGCAAAGCGTCTGGTTCTACGCAGAAGAAGTCCACTGGGAGCATGCTGAAAACTGTACTTTCGGAAAGTGTGCTTTTGGATCCCAGCAGCCAAGAAGGTGTCGAGTCTTCGGATGACGAGCAAAAGCAGGAACTACAAGTAAAAGTAATTGGGGGTGGAGGACGCAAGACGGCTTCTGCTGCAGGAGCTGCTGCGGCAGAAAAATCCGCTAGCGCGAACATCAAGAGTACAACGCCTGCTAGCTGCCAAGAAGAAGGCGAAGAAAAAGTTCCTCTACTCGAACGAACGACGAAGGCCGCTCCTCATGAAGTTGATGACCTTTACGCGTTTTGTTATAATGGTGCGGGTGGAAGAGGAAGTGTTGAAATCGATTACGCAGGAGGAGCCGATGTGCCGTCTGGCGATCGTTCGGGGTCGTCGATCGGACTACGGTATGCGTCGCCGATGGTCTCCTCATTTTGGGGTCCATCGTCCTCGCTGAATTCCTTAACTCCTCAGCGCTATTTCAACTCAACCATCCCTCCTGCTAGGTGGTCGCCGCTCTCCACGAGCACTGCGACTCCTAGTCGCGCGACTACTGGGGACTCGAGCAAAAGAAACGCAATTCTGGGAGAAAAACTTCAACATGAGTTATTCGATTTTGGGGCTCTTCCGATGGGGACGCCTCCTCCTGGCCTGTCTATGCCACCTACAGCCGGTGCCGCTCTGGATCCTTGTTTTGGTGCAGCTGGTGCAGGCTTGATGCCGCCCCATATGGCACCAGCGGCCGCTGACTTTTATCCTTCTCCGGGTATCATGATGCCAGCAGGGAGTGGCACAAGCGCCGCGGGTTCTGCTTCTGCTCAACAACATCTGAATCTGATAGATCCTGCTTTCTTGCGGCTACCTCCCATGTGGCCACCAGAGTCTCCTGAAGATGCTGGCCTGGTCTGGGAGGAGATCGCAGATACCGACTTGATCTTGAAGGAAGGCGACGAGGACAACTCTGAGGAAGCCATTGCTGCTCGTGCGAAGAAGGATTACTTGAAGACAGTCGTCTGTCGCCACTTTCTGAGGTCGAACTGCTCCAAGGACACCCAGTGCCGCTTCGCCCATCCATCGCCGGCTGAACTGGCGGCTAGGGGCCTCACCAGAACCCGGTGGATTCCCAGGTGGAAACGACCCTACTAGAATAACGGGGGAGGTCATTACAACTACAACAATCAATATTTTCAGCATGCTGGCGCACGCGGCAGTAGTGAGCATCATTTTCAAAGCTACAATTCATCCTATCTCAACATGTACCGTGCATGATTGGCGACTGAGACGGGTGGATTATGAAGACGAAATTTGAAACGGTCGATCATGGTGCGAGCACAAGAAAATGATACTTTCTGTATTTGAAGATGTTGAAAATCATGTGACGCAGACTAAAGAGGCAGACGATTTTTGTCGTGGTGCGTGCAAAATACCAGTTAAAGGTATTCACTCCGCATGTGGTTTGGTTGAAACTTGAATGGTAAACTTCTTCTAGAGGATTTTTTTACATGTTTTAGTATTTCGAAGGATAAATATAAGAAATGAGTGTACGCGTACTTGTCAGTCACAAGCATAAGGGCACCCCCGCCGAGCACTCGCTACAAGAAAACTATAATTGAGAAGTCTAAAAAATCAATGTAGTTTGATTCTTCCAAATATCTGAAGATTGATCAGACGACTTTTCCATTACCACAAGGATTCAACCTGGTAGAAGACTGATTGACCATGGAGATGATTATTCGTTGATTTGATTATAGATTGATCATATTGGTTCTCGCTCCAAACACGGGAAGCAATCAATGAATGTCCCTTCTAACTATAATCACTCTTATTCCTGAATCCTCATTTTTACTTATATATAATGCGTGGATACTTATTCTTATTCCGCCACTTGCGGGTTCACACGTTTGTTGTGCACGACAATATGGTCGGTGGCTGCGCTAAGAATGGCCCACCTGTATTCCCCCATGTTGTTGCACACCACACAGGAGCGAATCGTAGTGCTCTCCACGCTCTCGTCACAACGAAGGTTGCCATCGATCTTAATCGTGGGAGACGCAGGAGGTGTACCGCGAAAGAGTTCCGCTTGGCTACTACATGCTCTAAGCTGCATTCGACTTTGAATTTCTCATTCACGAGAAGTTCACGTTGTTTGTTTTAGTTAGCAGGTCGTGGCCCAGGACCGTTTTTGATTCACTTCAGCAAGGGCCGCCTACACCCCTTGCGAAGACCTATTTTGAGCTCGAATTTTTCTATTTTTTTAGAGCGAACTTACTTCTAATCATGGTATAGAATAAGAACTCCGTGTTCGTTATACAAATTTCTCTTTTTATTTTTCGGCTGACTGATTAATTTACATTACCTTGGATAGTATGTGATTTCACATGAACGAATATTTTTTGAACCAAACCTACCTCCTTTCACGATTTCTTACAACTATCGAATCAACAAAGTTATGATCTTACTCCACCCCAATATTCAGTATACAGCTGGCTAGTTTTGATCTGACTTCCCTACATGATCATTCAATCACTGAGAATCCCTTGCGGCGTTGAGAAGATGGGAATGGTCTCGAGTTTAAAGTTGTGGGTGATGTTTTTGAACTATTGTCGTATCTGACTGCTTAGCTATCTGAAGCCACAGCTGGAAGATTATATCGCCATGACGGACTTCTAGATCTATTAATGATCACCAAAAAATAAGACCGTCGGCATGATCAGATACGAAGAAGCCCTTGCTGTCGTAGAAGGACGAACCTTTTCCGCCCGAATGAACTGTGCTTAGCATGTTGGAAAGAACCGTTTTTCTTCGTTAATTTCGCCGGTAAAATGAGAATGAAACAAGAAGAAGTACTGAAGTCTAGAAGAAGCCAAAGATGAAATTATAGGCAAGCCTGCAAAGTAACTAGCATATTAGCGTTTACTATTTAGAAGAAATAGAGAGTCATACCTTGACCTGATGGAATGATAGCGACTGTCGTGCAGAAGATAACATGGCCGCGACGAAGATTATATGCTTGTTCGCAAGCGACAGACTGAACATGAGATGGAAGACTGAATTTATCACGTACTGAAACCCCTAAAACGAAAACTGTCTGGCGACTGTGACGTCGCTCTTGCCGTAGCTGCCGTGCAAAAGATGGCGCTATCCATACAAAAAGATTCTATACCCTTAATACGCAATCAATCAGTCAATCAACCAATCAGCCATCCAGTCCCACGCTCGAGATTCACCTGACACAACGTGGCCATCAAATGGAATCAAGAACATGCTGTGCCGTCGGAAAAGGAACAAGAAAGTGTTACGTGAGCCTGCACCGTGAAATCCTAAACTCAAGTAACAACTTCGGTTGCGCTATTGCCATTTTTCTCCTCTCTTTTTCTTCATATGGAGTCATTCCCCTAGCAACCCGATTGGAACAGAGATTTTCGAAGTATCAATCGCAAAACGGATATTGTTAATCTCCGAATTCACTCCTCCTTTGTCAGGTCATGGATTAGAATCCACTGCCGAGGTCTGCTTTAACGTGATCCTTTGTGTGGTTGTGATACGCTTGCTTTCTAACATCACGAATCAGGAATACTCATTGGAAATTGTGTGATTAAAAAAGGTTCTCTATCTCAAGCACAACAGTGATCAGCTGAGCCATTCGTGCATGATCGTTCTCGAATATAAAGATGCCATTGGCACAACAAGCTGCGAAAGCAGCGCTGTCTAGGCTCGTATCCTAGATCGCAATGAATGCCCGGACGTGTGGCCCGATATCGATGAATAAGATACCGCTCGCGCCCCGCATCGAATGCTTCTCCCCCTCGGGAAGACGTTTCATTCAATAGAGAATTAATTGAAACAAACTAATATGGTGCCCTTCTTCGGGAGTGAAGCACGGCATCAAATAGTCCCATCGACAAATAGTCCCATCGACAGTTTCGGAACACTGCTCAGGGCGACACTCCATTCCATATCTCAAGCACAAGCAAAATCTCACGTCGGTCCACTTACTCATGTAAATTACAGATATTGATATTAGATCAACCACATGACGCTCCACACTAGTAACCGGACCTGCGTGCCGGTGACGCCCAGAGATCGTGCTACTTCTTCCACCGGACATGGCCAGACAGGCGCTACATCAGCACCGCAAACCGGAAACACAAAGGAACGCTCTGCCAAAAGTCCGGCTCTCTTTGCCGCAGGTCTTGTTGGATCCTCCTCCGTGCCACCTGGTTTTGAAGATACGCTCTCTCCGGAGGACCGTGCCCGCAATAGCCTTCACGATTCGGAAAGAAAGTCCCCGTTGGACCGGCTGAGGGAGTACCGTCGCACATTGGACGGGGTAGACCACGAGGATGAAAATACACACGCTGCACTTCTTCATCTTCAGGATGATCTTCTCGTAAAAGAAGGAGGGCGCAAATTGCAGAGATCTCCTACCGCAAAACCCTTGTTGGAAACAGTGCTTTCTGAGAGCATTTTGGACTCTGCTCCACATGGAGGTGGTGAGCAGGCGGATACTCTGTTGGCCGCTGCTGGTGGAGCACCGCCTCCAGGCCTTTCCTCTGGACATCCGAAAAACAGTGCGCAATCTGCTGAAAGAAATGTTACGAAAAATGTTACGTCCTCTTCTATGACTGCTGCTCAGGAAAATTGGCCTCTTGCTGCAACCCCTTCTTGGTTTACGGGTGTGCCTGAGTTATCGCCAACGCCCTACTTCGGGACCACCGGGATGCACCGAGGTGCCCCTCGGTGGAGCCCGGCGAGCAGCATGCTGATCGGCGCTGATGGCTTGAATCCGTCTACTGGTGTGAACAATGTGCTGCCTAACATGAACCTTCCGTCTCCATCCAGCATGGTTGTACAAGGAGCGCCGATGCCGGGAGCATCGTATCATCATCAGCCTGTGCCCGCCTACGGTCCTCACGGAATGACTCCCATGCCGCTGCCACTGCCTTTTCCCCCGTTCTCCCCCGTTCCGCTACCGGGTCTCCATCATGCGTACAGCGCGGAGGCTGCAGCTGCAGGAGGAGTGTCTATTTTTGGGTCGCAGCACCCCTTTGGCGCCGAAACTGGAATGATGCCCCCGACGGGAGCGGGACACCACTGGCCGGAGACGGTTTGCGTGGAAGTCGAATCTTCGGAGAGCACGCCCGAACCGGAAACGGCTGGCGCCGCTCGCGCGAAGAAGGAGTATCTAAAGACAATAATCTGTCTGCACTACATGAAGGGGAACTGCTCCAAGGGCGACCAGTGCCGTTTTAAGCACCCCTCGCCGGAGGAACTGGAAGCCACCGGGATGAGTAGATATTTTTACCACTCACGCTGGAGAAAGTTCCAACGAACAGTGAAAGCCAGGCAAGAGAAACTGGCTAAGCAGCAAGCAGATGAAGAGGCCGCTGCGGCGAATGCGATGAAGCTTTCACAAGGTCGTGAGGGTGCTAACCCAGAAGATGGACAAGAAGCTACGAAAGCTGCAAGAGTGCTGACGGCGGGACACGAAGAAAAAGGAGTGCGCGCGCCAGGTAGTAGCAGCAGCAGCAGCAGTACTAGTAGCAGTACTCTGCCTGGAAGTCAGCCCGCACAGCTTCCTCTAACTGCAGGTGAAAAGAGATGGCTTAGCATAGAATGCGGGCTCGCCGCTGGAGGAATTATAGTCCCTGGCACTAACAGCAGCACTCCTGTGGCTGTGCCCGACGTTGTAGAGCCGAAAGCCTGACACAGACTGGCTCTTTTTTTTTTACGTCGTGAACCTAATTTGTAATGTATGTAAGGATATGCTTCGGTTGGCACTCACGAGACCACAAAACGAAGAAGCACGAGTTAGTAGAATTACCCTCAATACGAGAGTTTCAATGTTTTTGTAGTTGTATAAAACTGACGCAAAACTAGCAAAAAGCCTCCCGTTTGAACTGCAGGAAAAAAAAGACTCTCTGTCTCTAAGATATTTCTGATGACCAAATGCGGACGCACAAAGTGCGAGAGATGGCAAATTGACCTCTGTCACAAGGCGACGACTCTCAGGCAGCAATCAAAAAAGGACGGACTGCTACAGATCACACGTCCGCAAATGCAAGGGGAAGAAACAAGATGCATAATTAGAAGGGCTTCTTTTATACCTCTAGACTGGGCACACTACTGCTACTACTACTACTAATACCACTACAGCAAAATGCTGAAGTAGGGTTTTCATTTTTGCGGGACACGACAAAAAGCACTGTAAAATTGGCGGGGGAAAAATGGCACTTCTTCTACGGGCTTGATGATCGTGATCCTTAAGTATGTTTACTTAGATTGATTTGAAAGGTAGCTATTGAGAATATTCCAAGACCAAGTTACGGTCGTCTGCATACAGCAATCACGTTGAAGCCACCAGTTGTTTGGAGAAGCCACAGCAATCACGTATGACGATGACCTGCGCAAACTAAAACTTGGCACTTCAAGCCGCGCAATATCTTATCAATATCCATCAGCTTAGTTGTTACGTTTATATATTTACTAGCCTCCACAAGCTTCGCCCGGCTTCAAGTTATCTAAGCACTTTTCTGCAGCCTCCCACGGGCTACAGCCGCTAGAGTAGAGACAGCCCGCGGGTGAGCTGTTGCACCCTACGAATTAACTACGACAAGAGCCGAGCGCCGACGGTGGCCGACTCAGGTCGATGCGTCGTCTCATGTGCAGCACATTGCGCTGCCTTCGGTTTTTTTATGAGATTGCCGGGGGGGTCATGCAAATTCTTAAGAATTTGCAAGACCCTCACGGCAGTCCAACGAAAAAACCAGAAGAGGGCCACCAGACACGCACAAGAATCCGCAAGCCCCAACGCACGCAAACGCCTCGCGGTGGCGCTAGGCAAGAACGGGCGGCGGCTTTAGCGGGCCAAACAAGACAGAGCATGAGCAACGCAGGGCCGCGCTGCTCGGGTCTCTCTACGCGCTTACACCTGGCGGGGCTTCTTTGTTATTGTTTCGTCAGATGTCCCTCGACAGAAACAGACGGGCGCACTTCGCGGGGGCGTGGGGCGTCGCGCTTCGGGTTGTGGCTGAAGCCTCTTGACTGGCTGACGTCTTTCGCCAGGATGGAGGCTGAGGCCTTCCATCAGACTGATGCCGTTCGTCAGACCAACGCGCTGCGCCAGGCTGGCGGCCTTCGTCGGACGACAGGCCGGCGCCCTTCGGCGGACGTCGTGGGCCAGGCTGAGGCCCTTCGTCAGGGTCGGGCGACGTCTCTCGCCAGGATGACGCCTTTCGTCAGACTGAAGCGCTTCGCTTGGCCGACATTCCTCGCCGGGCCAAGACTCGCGCCGCTTTGGTCAGGTTGATGGCTTGCTTCAGCATGGCGCCGCTGGTTTGTCAGGCTGATGCACTCACCAGCCAGGTGACGCCTCTCGCCAGACCGGCGCACTGCTTCGCCAGGCGTCTGCCTTGCGTCGGAAGCGGAACAGGAACAGGTTGCGCGGGGCCTTTCTTCGGGCTGCGGATGTCTTTCTTTCGTGAGGTTGATGCCACCCCTTCGCCGGACTGACGTTTTTCGCCAGACTGACCGCGTTCGTCGGACTGACGTCCTTCGTCAAAGGTCTTCGCTATCCTCGTCGAGGTAGGGCTTCTCGCCACAGGTCAGGCGGCAGCTTTTCTGGCAGAGGTCGCTCGCCAGATGTCTGCCGTCGCGGGTCTCTTGTCTTGTCGGAGGTCTTTGGTCCAGCGGTCGTCTCTGGTCGTCCAGAGGTCGCCTCTGGTCCAACGGTCGCCTTTGGTCCAAGGGTCGCCTTTGGTCCAAAGGTCGCCACACTTTGGCCCAAAGGTCGTCTTACTTTGGTCCAAGGGTCGCCTTACTTTGGTCCAGCGGTCGCCTTACTTTGGTCCAGCGGTCGGCTTACTCTGGTCCAGAGGTCGCCTGAAAAGGTCGCCTGTGGTCTGCAGGTCGTCTGTGGTCCAGAGGTTGCCTCTGGTCTGAGGGTCGTCTTTGGTCCAAAGGTCGGCTTTGGTCCAGAGGTCTACCGTGGTCCAGAGGTCGCCCGTAGTCCAAATAAGGTCGTCTTTGGTCCAAAGGTCGCCCTTGGTCCACAGGTCGCGCCTGGTCCAGAAAACGCCTCTGGTCCAAAGATCGTCTTTGGTCCACAGGTTGTCTTTGGTCCAAAGATCGTCTCTGGTCCAAGGATCGCCTTCGGTCCAAAGATCGCCTTACTTTGGTCCAAGGGTCGCCTTATTTTGGTCCAAAGGTCGCCTCACTTTGGTCCAGAGGTCGCCTTACTTTGGTCCAGCGGTCGCCTTACTTTGGTCCAGAGGTCGTCTTACTTTGGTCCAGAGGTCGTCTCACTTTGGTCCAAAGGTCGTCGCACTTTGGTCCAAAGGTCGCCTTACTTTGGTCCGGCGGTCGTCTGGTGTGGTCCAAAGGTCGCCGGTGGATGTGGTCCAAAGGCTAAGGTCGCCTGTGGTCCAAAGGTCGCCGGTGGTCCAAAGGTCGCCTTTGGTCCAAAGGTCGTCGCGGGTCCAGCAATAGCAAAGGTCGTCTCGGGTCCAAAGGTCGCCTTTGGTCCAGAGATCGCCGCTGGTCCAACGATCGCCTTTGGTCCCAAGGTCGCTCTTGGTCTCACGATCGTCTCTGGTAGGTCCAGCGATCGCCTTTGGTTCAAAGATCGGACCAAGGATCGCCTTCAGTCTGGAGGTCGCCTTCGGTCCAAAGATCGCCATTGGTCCATAGGTCGGGGGTCCAGGTGTCTGGGGTCGAAGGTCTTTCTTCGGCTGTTTCTCTTTGGACTTCTCTCGCCAGCTTGCGCCCCTACCCCCGTCGGGCATTTTTCTGGCTTCTTTTCTGGTAGTCTGCCACGGGGCCGCAGCGTGAACTTCAACAAGAAAACGGCCGGAGACTATCGGGCTTGGGAGTGAGGGGAAAGGGCAGGAGGCTATGGGCAATAGCTTCGCGGCAGGAGGCGACTAATCTCCGCAGGGTTAGGCGGGGAGTTTTATGGCGACGGAGATTAATAATATAGATTAATAATGTAGATTAATAAGATAGATTATTTTTTTGTTATGTTTTTTATCTATCAACTTATAAGAATTATTTTCTGACTCACATGAAGAAGTTGGGTTGTCAAAGCGCAACGCAAATCTTTTCTCTGCGTGTTAACTCTTTTTCTCGTCATGTTCTGTTAAGTGACTGTAGTAATCCTCTGAGAACACCTGCTCGTAGTATTTGTCGCATATCCATGATCTAATGGATTTTTTACGCCTTGTTAAATAACTTACAAGAACGTCACTGATTACCTGTATCCATGGGTATTAAAACTGCTCGTCGTTCGCGTTCCCGCTGCTGATTGTTATTGTGGAAGATTTTCGTTTAGTTTCCGACAGACTGTAAGGATTCCATTGCATGATAGTGATGCCTGTATTTACTCTTCTCTGCCGTTCGTTTCGCTTCGGCCCTCCATTTTTAAGTATGCAGCATCAACCCCATTTTAGATGAAAAACGCATCCACGACGCACCCCAACGACATGCGTTCAGCGGATTCGTTAATAGATCAAGTTCTTTTAGTACAAACAGCTAGAAGTGCTGAATTAAATATTAGTTTGTTGTCTGAAACTCATGAACATGATCGACGCGATCATAATTGTTTCTGTACTCGATCTTCCAAGGATCGTGCAAGCAGGATGGGTTTAACAAAAAGTACGGGCACTCTTATAATATATTTTTCTACACCTACGGGGGAAAGGATTGATCAAAAGAAGTGCTTGCTTCTTGTGTCTCTATATGATTATGATTTTATAACCTTTAATGAAACACCCACGCCTCCGTTCTGGTCGGTTCCGACAGAACGTCGAGGAGTTATAGGCTGCCCTCAAATTTTACTCTGAGCAGTTTGTTGGAGACGGTCAAACGCGTGACCAACCCCGTGGCTTACATTTTTTGAGTCAAGGATCTTCAAGCAATGAACTGCTTAAAAGACAATTACGCCGTTTCTGCAGATGGTATAGAGCAAAAGGTCGCCCGCTCATTTTGAAAAAGACGCCAGAACACCTCACCTAGGAGGCGGAATACGTTGTAAACGGTATCCCCGACAACATCGTGCTAAGGCATTTTGCGTTCGGAGTTGTATCGCCAACTCGGACCTATTATATTGTTTATACTTGTACTAACTACTAAACGAATATAGAAAAGAAGCGACTTTGGATAGTAAAGTGTGGAAGTCAATGAGTGCACATCCTCCATCAACACACGCGTAAGGGACTTACATTTGCGCTGTGGGAGGTGTGGGCTTATTCCCTTTACGATTTTCACAACTAGGATATCCGAGCGTTGTCACTTTTGTAGCGAGCACCGTCGTCCGTTGTCCTTGGTATCTAGTCATTATAAAGTTGGACTACTTCGGGGTGGGATCATCAACTATCTACTTACAACATGATGGTCTGATGAACCAAGATGAATGCTGTAGTTGTTCTTGATCTCTTGCTGTACTTATCAACTTTGCAGCACTTTGAAGAAGTGAAAATATATTAACTAAGAAGTAAAAAGATCTATGGCAATAAAAGGAGTCGCGGTGGAGGACATAGAAGATAATACTTTAGAGGAGTAACTAAGTGAACATCAACAAGTAGAAGGATCAAAAGCATCTGCGTACTACGTGATGCACCAGAGGAATTCTTTCTTGTTATGATATTGGATTCACAGTGAAGATTACTAATCTTGTTCGGAACAAGTTATCATCCCGCCGGTAGACAAGGAGAACTACTAGGGATACAAATGAATGAATGAAGTGAAAAACACATCAGATGTGGGGAGACGCTCACGTCGAACGTGGAAGAGAGCAGATTTATTTTTTAGATGGGTCGGTTGGGTGAGTAGAAGCTGCTACTCAATGAGAATTCGTTGTTTGATCTTTCGTCCGTAAGATGGAGAGACGTGGAAGAGTGTCCGCCTCCGTCAGCGTCGATGAATCATTGCCGTTCTTGTTTTGTTTTTTTTTTTATACTTGAGTTAATTATTAATTTGCATGCTATTGTTAGCTACCATCTTGGCATTATTCATGCCTATCGCATCGGTTTCTTCTGGCTCTACTCGAGCCTGTTTCGTCCCGGACGGCACGGCCTGGCCGTAGAGCCGCGGACCGACCCTAAACCTTGAACTTTGAGCCAGTGGTTGGGAGGGTCTTGTATCTGGCGACGTTGCGCAGGATTACGCGACGGCACCAGATCGGCCGCGAACCTGCATCAACAGGCGCGATGTACGAGACAGACGGGCGCGTGCCTAACTAAAAACCACGTTGCTTGGTACATGCAAAAGGAGTGCTATATTAAGCTCAAATCGTTATGTTTCTGATTATTCCACGACGCATAATTGAAGAACGTGTCTTTTTTTTCTGGTCCTATCTATCTCTTAGGTGGAGGTGCCAGCCTATCAACCAGTGCTGCAGGACGGGTATGGGCATAAGGGGAACCCAACGACCAGTACAAGAATAACGCAACAACAAGAAAAATTCCGGAGCTAAAAAATCTTTTCAATTATACATAGCATCAGTCACTTTTATAGAAGAAAATTGAATCACGGGGCGCCGTTTGGTCAAAATTGATCTACCAATATTCATCAAAGGGGCTGCTAAGACACTCATGAAATGATGATGAAGATGGATAATAGAAGGCATTTCGTTATCAGTAGTAAAAGATATTTTTGATATGGAAACGAATCAATCCAGCGCGAATCAATCCAGCAGAGTTGCATTGTTTATAAATCTGTGTCCTAACGGAGGATGCTGGGCCTGGGAATCAATACCCAGTAAAAATCCGTTGGCACAGATTGATAGAATACGTGATGTTGGAAAGTGTAGTGATAAATTGCGCAATATTCCCCCAAAAACACAAATTGATGTGAGGAGACCCATGAGGCGGCAATCCATGGATACATCATCGTTATTGTGCTACGAAAAAGGAATATATAGTGATAGTGGCCGCCAGCTGCAGCTCCTGCTTTTTAGATTGCTTGTCGTAGCGGAAGGCATGTCAACTTGGATCTTGACTTTTTTAGTGTTCCTCTACAAAAACTTTTCGGACGAGGAGACCTTAGGGTAACAAAGAGGAGATGCTGCATGGTACGAACACAGGGACCTTTTTATTTCTCCACGTCCATCCATGCTGGTGCGTCGAAAAAAATTGAAAAGTTTGTTATTGTGTTGGATACATTCGAACACAGACTGTTAAGTCGCGTCTAGTTCCTCGGTGAGAAACACTTGAGAGTGATACAGTTTGCACAATTTGCACTCACAGCCTGAGACTAATGATCTCTGGCTGCTTTGATCCCTGTGGATATTCATTGGGGTTGCAAGGAGGAAGTCTCAGCTTCATCATTGGGATACCATGTGGCATGGGGAAACTTTCATATGCTTCATACGGAATCGCTTATGCTATCATCATTGATTCATACGATCATCATGCACTGGCATTCTTCATTGATCAGAATTTGACAAGACGTTATGGACCTGATTACAGCTATGAAACATTCTTCATTTCTTCTTTCTGAATACGTTGAAGGTCCTTTGCCTGTTGATCATTGATTTTGGAACCACATGCGTTTAGGTCTGTAGGTTATCTTTGAGATCATTCCGGTGCTGTTTTGTCCTTGACTGTATTGGGAGGCTTGAGCCACAAACGAGAGAGAGAGAGGAGAAGCCAGAGACACCCGCGCGACGGTAAACCCGTCGGGCGTTTGGATGGTGCTCCGGTAACCTTTTGCCTGGCGATCTTGGTCATTTTGATGATCTTCATCCTTGTGATCTTTGTGATTCTTCTAGGATTACGATCTTGACCAACGCCCCTCCTCAATCGTTGCGTGTCGAAGTCCCTAGTCTCCTGGACTACTACGGAAATCATATCTCTTAACTAGTCATCTATGGCTACGGTATACTTGGCCAGAAGCCAAAATAAACCGAGTATACTACAATATAGTGAGCTAAATCATCCCCATCCGTTTCATCGTCTGAGGAATCACAATCATCATACTCAACTTTATGTATCGGATTATCTATATGGTGAAGTAGTAGCCTACGTTGAGACGAACTACATTCTAGCTTAGTTAAGCCATCAGCCTTCATTAAGTTAGTTGGACAGAAAACTATCTTACTGGCCGCATCACGTACACGCAAGTAGCGTAGTGCTTAATGGCGACTCTTCGGGCGTGTGTCAGTTGCTTTTGCTGTTGTGATCGCGGATTGGTTGTCGATCCAGAGCACAGCATTGTCTAAAGAGGGAGACAAGCCGTTCTGTGTGTGTACCAACTGAGTTGGTAGAGGCCTATAGAAGTCTGTAAAGTCATGCAGTTCACTAAGCACAATAGTGCCAGAAGCTGCAATATATTCACTTTCAGCCGTAGAATAGGCGCGGACAGTTTGTCGGTTACTTCTCCAAGCAATTGGAACGCCTTTGAAATACATGATCGATCCACTTGTGCTTCTCATAGTCTTTACGCAGTTGGCGAAACCTGCATCACTAAAGATATTCACCTCTGGCATATCTCTGCCTTCAGGTAGTAACTTTGAATATATTCTATTGAATTCTTCTTCTTGTTCTGGTGAGTATTCCAGTCCTTGTTCTCTCGTTGTCACCAGATACTTTAGCACTTTTCTGGCTGCTTTAACCATTCTCGTTGACGCGGGTTTGCTGACATGTCTAGCCAATGCTGCCACCGGAGCAGAAATGTCCGGGCGCGCGGTTACAGCTACCCATAGCAAGGCACCAACTACCTCACGAAAGGGATACCCCTCGACTATCTTGATCCCCTCCTCAAGAAAAGCCGACTCGTCAAAATTGGGCGAGTCAACCGGTTTTCCGACATCAGTTTCGAACTTCTTTGCGATTTTATCAATGTGCTCCTCCATATTGAGCCGAAATGTTCGAGCTTCACGGCAGTAGTACACGATGGCACCTAAGAAGTCGAACCTGAGCCACGTTTGACCCCAAGGGGTTGGAACGGACCCCAAGGGGTTGGAACGGCTCCCAGCCAGTACTGGCTAGTATGTCGTGATATTTCTTGAACCATGCTCGTGGTGCGTCCTTCAAGCCGTATAAGGCCTTCTTGAGCTTCACGATCTCGCGCCCATGCTTCTCTGCCCAGATGGGTGGGAGACGGCAGAAGACATCGCGATCGAGTTCAGCATTGAGGAACGCAGAATCTAAATCGAACGGGATCACGTAGTCCTGTTCTGACGCAGCAGAAGTCAGGGGCAGCCTATTAGCGGCGTGTGAAACTACGGGAGCAAAGGTGTTTAGCTCTCCTGAACGATCTAGATTACCGAGGACACAAGCGCGGGCCTTGTATCTTCCACGTCTTTTAATAGTTAGAATTATGGCAATTGGTAGAGCCTGCCGCGCGGTCGCAAGCTCCTCGCCAGAAGCTTCTTTCCACGTTTCAAAGGCTAGTAGTCTCGCGTGCTCTTTGTCAATAACCTCCCGCCACTTGTCGGCATCAGGAGACTTGAGTGCTTGAGCAACGGACGAAATCGCATATGATTCGACGAATTCCTCATCTTCGTCTAATTCACACGTGCCACCTACTGCACTAGCGAACAGCGCCACACTCTTTCTCAGTTCTTCTAACTGTTTCTTTGTTCTTCGAACCCTGCTACCTGCTTTGTCCTTCGCTCCTTTTGGTCGGCCGCGCTTCTTGGCGTGTGTATGGCGTTCGCCTGCCACAACACGTGCTGGAGAAGGCGCTTTCGACTTAGACGGACTTAGCGGAGCAGATGTCTCGCGATCCTTCGCTTCAGCATTCCCCTCCTCAAGTGAAACATCTTTAGGAGAGTCAGCTGCGTTGGATTCCTCTACTTTATCCAGTGTCTCAATAAATAATTCGTCGGAAATCGCGGTCGGTCCACCTGGAATGTGCTCCGTGCCAGAGAACCCCGATTGATGATCCAGCCTTTGCACTGACTGTCCAAGCAAGGGGGAGCCCAGCGACGACGCGCCACTCTGCAGATTTTCCAGTTCGTCATACTCAATGTAGATGCCCTTCTGATCTGGCAAAAGCCAATCGATATTTTTAATTAGATAGTCCTCTCTGAACTTTACATCTAGGGTAGAGTATTCCGCCCATCGATGTCCAAGCTTGCAACGATCGTCATGAGCGAAAGTTCCAACCAACCAACCAGACGACTTCGGACAGAGTCCAAGGAAGACGCCACGGCGGTACTTGGCCGAGAGCTTGGGTTCAGGAGTGTTGGCTTGAATTTGTTCACGAAAGTAAACTAGACAACCAAATCGGCGGAGCATGCCGATTGAACTCTTCGATGAGTTTCTACCAGTCCTTTCTTCTAAGATTTCAATTGGACTCTTTCCATCATGTTGAGGCATTTTTGCATAGTTATGCGGTAAACGATCCCAGCAGTCACCAGCGTACTCGACGCAGTAACACCAGAGGCGTTTATCAACTTTAGTCAGCATTGTGCGTACACTGCCGAACAAAGTCCGCATAAAACGTTCGCAGGTCCCATTCATCTCCGGATTATAAGGAACAGCCGGACTGTCTGAGACTCGCAGCGATTGCATAACTTTGGTCATGTCATCACTGCTCAGGACAGGTTCTCCATCCCTCCGGAGGAACCACACTACCTTGTCATCAAGTGATAAGGAGTAGTCCTGGCGAATGCCTTTGATAACTTCTTCTATTTCCTCCACACAGTCACTTTTCAGCTTAAGCGGTCGACAGAACACCTTCTTAATTACATCACAGATGATCACTAATACACATCTCTTTGACCTGACTGATACGGGTTTGATTCCAACAGCAAAGTCGATTGCTAGTAACTTCAATGGTTCAGGTTTGTAGTTCGAAGTATCTCTAGCTTTTGCATGTGGTGCGCGTTGGCCTTTATGTAGATCACACTCAGGGCAATTTACCTGGAGGCCATCTATATGAAAGTGCCCACATCTTCTATGAAGTTCGAGTCTTGTAAGATAACAGCTACTGACTCCTTCTTCTACTGTTGAACAAATATAACCACTATCAGTCTCTTCTTTAAACAAGTTGCATGCAAGTATGGGAAGCTGCAAGCGTGGGTGACTTCTTATGGGTATGGCCTGGCCGGTGTCCGTATGTACGAGACAACCGCCTGCGCCTTTGAAGTTGAATTCCCATCCTAATTGCGAGCAGTTCCCTTCACCTAACCAAGGTATGACACGATCTAAGTCCTTTGGTAGTGAATCATAATAAACACCATACTGGAGCCCTAGGGTGTTTGGCTTTAGTTTTCCTACTCTTCCGTCTTTACTTCCAGCGCTACCAGTAATCCTGCAAATTCTCATAGTTATTTCACTAAGATCATCTTTGTGTCTTGAAAGATATTTGTTTGCACAACTATCAACCAGACTAACTTCTTCCCTTGCAGTAATGGAACTAGTTGAAAGACTATGTCCCACAAGTTTTACCTCCCCAATGTTATTTACGTTTATTTCTTCACCCTCATCTTCATCCAAGTTCAGCGAGCAAAATCCGCTTTCCACTGGTTCCGCAGCTCAGCTCTGCTTTCCGCCGTTGAGAGCTTGCCACAGCTCCGCAACTTGGGACATGTGAACCATGCCATTACCCTTTCCACCTTTACCCATAGCACTACTAGATTGGGAATTGGTGTTCCAGTTCCAGTTTGCCTGGTTCTGTGGATTCTTCCAACAAGACGCGGATTTGTGACCCGGTTTGTTGCAGATCCAACAGACTGGACGGGTGCCTTGTTTTCCAGAACCTTTATTATTTTTGTTCTGCGGCTTTCCTTTGCCGTTCGAGTTGGAGGCATAGACCTCGGCGGCGATCTTCTTCTTTGTGTTTGCCTTGAAGCGCTTGAGAGCACTTTTAGACAGAAAGACCTTACCACCTTCATTGGCCTTTTCCTCGTCATCCTCCTCTTCACGAGAACGTTTATTCGAGGTCTCCTGAACATTGACCGGTAACGCCTTCCCGAAGGAATCGCTCTCAACTTTGTAGGTTCCCTCCTCGATCAACGTCGCA